CAGGTTTTAGCGGTTAAAAATCGATCGAAAGTTGACTTAAAGTCGTTCATAACCTCTACATAACACACATCCCCCTTCCGTTCAATTTTTCACAGGTTTACAAATTTCATTTTAGCATAAAATGATGTTCTTTGAGCTTCTAAAACGGAATAAATAAGTCTTTGTACAAAAATTTATTTTTTAGACCTTCAACTTCGAAAAAAGATGGCTCAGGACAAGAGCGGAATAGAACCCGAGTCCACTGGATTTCCAGACTAACGCGCTAGCTACTGGGCCACACCGCTCTCTATGAATAAGGAGATCGGCCGCGCTTTTTATCGTGTGGCTTTTTTACCAATGCCTTTGCTGACAAATCAAGCCAATTTTTGGGCATTTTCACCCCTAAAGCCCAAAATTGGGCAGCTAATTTTTACACCTCATTTATCAGCACGATTTTTCGGATTTTTTGAGATATCTCCCGTCTAAAAGTGGGACCCCCATAAAATCACTTTCCTTGCAAGGCCTGAACAAGATTGGATCTAAAAGCTTTCGTTTGTTACGCTCTTGTAATTTTTACAAAACAATAGCCCCAAATCTGTGACCAACACTTTGTCTCTCCCATATTATCTGCGTTTGCATCACTCCACTTGCAAATTCCTTGGGGTTTTCAAGAAGCGTGCACCTTGACCAACGCCAGTTCCTGTTCTCTTCATAAATCATTTCGTAACCGCCCAAGAAAAGGAGTTGTTGACTGCAGTCGAAAAAACCTGCTAAAATCGGTGGGGGAATATTTGCGTTTGGTGGGGCCTGATCCTAATCGGAACACGCTTTCCTCCCCCCATCTTCAATAACAGACGGTGCGAAAAGCGGCGGCGGAGAACGCCGCAGGGAGATGTTTGTTTTTTGGGATTAAGGCATTAGATATATCAATAGATATATCAACGAGGAAGTGTGTTGAAGAACAGCTAGACAAGGATTAAAAATAATTGCGGAAGCCATCGATATTTTCAGGTTAAAAATTCCTAAAGAAATCGATAGATTTTTTCCATTGAAAATATGGGAAATTATACAGGGTGGGCCACTCGAAACTCCCAACCTCTTTTCAAGTATTTCTCCGCCGATAATGCACCAATTTCTATAAAATTTATATCAAATTGAAGCAGAGACACCCCATTTCTTGTCCACCAAGTATGGCCCGTCTAACTTCACGGAGGCACCCGTGCTGACCTTTTACATTTTCATTCCAAATTTTGGAGCCCGAAATCGGTGAAACAGAATTTTTTTGGATTGATTTTCAATTGAGTTTCTCGGACTTAGAAAATTTTTAGATTACCGGCAAGAAAAAAGTCGACAAATTCGCGGAAAAAATTTTAAAACATTAAAGTTTACGTACGTACCAAGTGTGTTAAGCCTATATTTCAATCAGGCGAGGTACCAATTTGGGCGAGTGAGAACGAAAGCTGTTTTCTCGGGCAATCTAAGACCGGGAAGTTTCTATGCATCTGCGGGGTGGATGTCGTCATGCATGTAGACAGTTTCGCCCATTTTTTTACATTTTGAAAAATTTCGAATAATTAAGCCTATCGCCCCAGAACACAAAAGCAACGCCTTGAAGAATAATTTTGACTATTCCGTTGACTGCCATCATTTTTTTTCTGCTGCTTATAAGAGTTTTATCTAGTCAAAGGCGCGAACATTTTCCAATTCCGAGAAACTCAACTGGAAATCATTCCAAAAATTTTCTAAGTTTCACCGATTTCGGGCTCCAAAATTTGGAATGAAAATGTAAAAGGTCAGTGCGGGTGCCTCCGTGAAGTTAGACGGGGCATACTTGGTGGACAAGAAATGGGGTGTCTCAGCTTCAATTTGATATAAATTTCATAGAAATTGGTGCATTATCGGCGGAGAAATACTTGAAAAGAGGTTGGGAGTTTCGAGTGGCCCACCCTGTACTTTTTTTACCAGTAGAAGGCTTCAATTTCAATTCAATTTACTTACACTAATTGCATGCAAAAAATCATGGAGGAAGATCGCCCCTTTGGAGGCCATGATTCTTCCCCTCGATCCATTCCATCCTGAAGCACCCACACGGTCGTCGTGTAAAGGGGCTGTCGAATTCATCTATGATAACTTCCGCTTCCAACAATTCCTTGAACTGCTCCAATTTTCCCTCATTTTGGAAAGGACCTAACATTGACAGTAGGAACTTGAAATCCATCACGGTGAACAGATACTGTCCCCGGCGAAGCTCTTTGTGCCCGCAACGGCATAGGTGGACAGGAAAAACCGACCGCTCTCCAGGAAGAAAAAGTCCGAACGAGCTAAGGAGAAGGTTTAGTAAGTAGAAATAATAAGATTTATCGGGCCTAAAATAGCTTATCACCTAGTTTGAGGTACATGTTTTACATGTACTCGCATCAGTAAAGTAATCCTGCAATCTCTTTTTTTGGGTGTCTACCTGCCCTACGTCCCTATCGATCGATTTTGTGTTGACCGAACTTTCGACGACCCGAAAAGAACATCAAAATCGTCTCCACATGTAATTTATGTAAATATTTGCCACTTTTGGAAAATACAAACATCAACAAAATATGTCTGTGGATTCCTTAGATTCAGCGAATCAACCGAAGACCTAATGGAACTCCGAACTCCCGACAAATCGTCTAGCAATAATCCACAGCATTTTCCTCACCAGATAAAACTGTCTGATTCGTACGAAATGATGTGTAGCCAGGGCAAATTCAATTGTAAGGCTTTGCGGAAGACTTATCCCGGCTTTCGGTCTCGATAATTCCAAACAAAGACTAGTTGTTTTTGCATGCTAATGGTTTATAATTTGCGATTAATCATTGAGATGAAAAAATTTGGCAATCTTTCGAAATTTTTTTGGGGGACAATAGAGGATTATCACTGTGGAAATGCAAAGCGGGCGAAGGAGGGAGGATTTAGAAAATGACAAATTATTTACATATTTTAAAACTATCTACTAATAAACAATTTCAAGGACAGCTTTCAACAAGCTAAAGCGCAATGACTTGTCAATTGGATTACGACGTTATCTTACAAGTCTGAGTGACCTTTCACAACTAATATCATCAACTTTAAAATTCGAGAATTTCTATTCCCTGCCACTTGGGATTCTGTTGTCACTGGCCCGGAAGTGAAGTCATATAATCTCGTCGGAGAACTTTGCTGCCAATAAGGAGGGATTGGACAAGAATCAGTCTGTCGGGAAAATAGTAAGCACGCTATCGCTGCGCCAATCGCGTCGCTGAAGTGAAAAGCCATGGGATGTTTTCGATGCGGCAGAGCGCTCACTATTTTTCCGACAGGCAGGTATAACAACGTAGGGTTTTATGAGGGCTCCTACTGTCTTATGACATACTTCAAAAATTATGGTGCTGATTAAGAATCTATAAAAATTAGCTGCTCAATTTTGGGTTTCAAGGTCGAAAATGAGTGCCGAAGTAAAAAAGACAACACCGTGGCACGGCAACCCAAAGTGTTTCCTGGCTCCTTTTGACTCTTCGCCCACTCTGTATCGATTTAAATCAAACGAAATGTCACAAAAGAATTTTTCGTGACGTTCCTATGCGTGATGACTCTTTGTTGGGCAAGGGCACCTCCGGAGGACAAACCATACGTTTTAGAAAACTACAGCCTGAATTTGATCTAGTTTGACGAAATCTGACAAGGGAAGTCGTTCAGATCGCAAATGAGTTGAGCTATGGGACCGGTATATTCTGATTCTCCATATTCGAAAATGGTAAGAGCTAAAACAATTTTTCCGTCTGGGCCTTGGTTTTCGAGAAAATTGACCGATAAAGTTTGACCGGAAAAAGCCCCGCTAAATAGTCCTCGCTCCGAAAGACGTTTTGATCAAGAGCCAAATGGCGGAGGGCGAGTGAAAACGCTCTCAAAATTCTTTTGTCCGGGATGCCGGGGAAGGTTCGAGTCCCGTTAGGAGCAAACCCTAATTCATAGTGGTTGCAAAGCAAAAAAAAAATATTTTTCCTTTTGCATACTTTGGATAAAATATCGAAATGCATGTCAAATAGGCATATTTCTGCGTTGAACTCAAAAATGAAGCGTTCATTCCTAAAAAACTATTTGATCTAAAATTATTGGGGTACACTTCGCCACAAAAAACTAAATTTTTTTAAATTTTTTATCATTTTTAATGTCGAAGTTCTTTGGACATGGGTTTGAGCCTAGCGGAACTCGAACCTTCCCCGGTATCACGGACAAAAGAATTTTGAGAGCGTTTTCACTCGCCCTCGGCCATTTGGCTCTTGATCCAAAGGTCTTTCGGAGCGAGGACTATTTAGCGGCGTTTCCGGTCAAACTTTACGGTCGATTTTCTCGAAAACCAGGGCCCAGACGGAAAAATTGTTTTAGCTCTTACCATTTTCGAATATGGAGAATCAGAATATACCGGTCCCATAGCTCAACTCATTTGCGATCTGAACGACTTCCCTTGTGAGCGCCTCCAGCCCAGTAAATTCAAATTTATATACAATTGCACTTACGACACCGACAGTTTATAAGATCATGACTTTCCCGCCGCCATTTCGCAAGCCCTGGTCACTAAGCCTTCCCAAAAGCGGGCCAGAATCTTCCACGGGCTTCAAATCCGCCTTCGCAATCCCACCGGCAGGACATGGCTTCGTCGGAGGACAATAATAAATAAACTCCGGCTTCGGTGTATGGACAAGACAATTTATTCGATCCACTGCTCTATTACTTTACTGTCCTACAAATTTTTTGACAGTCCTTTGATTTTATTTTGACAATATTTTACTGCTATTTAAGTTGAGATTTACCCGAAATTCAGCTGGAAAATAAAGATTACTGGTTGATATTACTATTGTACTAAGAAATCCTAATTACTGAGTGCTCATTCAATCCGATTAACTAGGCTTCAGAAGCTGCTAAGGACTGGTTATTACTAAAGCCTTAAAATTTTTGAATTGGATTGGTTTTCGACTGTTTTTTGGGGATTTTCACGTTTGTTACGGTAAATGCACCGTCGTTGGGACGGCGCCAACATCTTCGTCCTCTACGTTGCTTGCCTGGTAAGTGGGGCGTGATTCTTGTCACACTTAAATTTTGATGAAACTTGGCGCAAATTTAGACTAATTTTTTCAAGACATATAAGATTTCTGGCTCGCGCTTTGCAGAAAAAACCGAGATTTTGAGAAAAAAAGTTGGAAAAATGTTTTTTTTTGAACTCTGCCATAAAAAATTTTAAGCTTATTTCTACTGATTTCAATAAAAAATCAATTTTTTCTGCGCGAAACTGGCGAAGATACGGCCAAAAATGGTCTTCTTTCGGACCGCTCTCCGCATTTCGCGTGCTCTCTCGGCCCGCAAAGATCGTTTAATTTCTCGGCGCTGCTTTCAAATCGCGAGATGAAAATTTTAGGAATTGATATGCGGCTTATGCCTGACATGTGTGAAAAGTTTCATCAAAATCCGAGGGTCGCACTTGGAGTACTCTCCTGTAAATTTCGAAGGCGTATACAACCATTTTTTAAACCCTAAGGTACCCACAATTTTTTATCTGCACCTTGAGTTATACTACTAGTCGTATACGACCACTTTTTACACCGCTGCTACATTTTGAACGGGTGGAAAACGCATTTTTTGAACACGTTTTGATTTAAGCCCCGAGGGAAAATATGGTCATTATGGTCAATAAAATATGGTCAAATATGGTAAAAAAGCGTTTTTCATATATCCGTTCCCCTTATTTCGGTATTCTCATTCGTTGAATATCTCAGCTGCGCTTGCAAAATGTCTAACTAAAGTTTTTAAAAATTGATATGTGGCCTAGAAAAAGGGTATGCGAAAAAAATCACAAAAACATGAATGCTCCCCAAAAACTGAATTTTACCTTTGAAGTCAATATCTGTATGTAGAAAATGTATTTTTATTCATATTCATTTCAGAAATGCGTTCTTGCCCAGTTCACAATCCCTCCAATAACCCCCATGACTTTCCCAACTCTACCAACTCTACCAACCCTCGCTCCGATGACATTCCCAACCCTGCCTCAGCTGGGTGGTCTGCAGCCAATCACGGCGCCCCCAAATCTTCCCACAATCGCCACTGCAGCGCCAGTTGCAGATCCCGTTGCAAACATGGCTTCTTCAACGTCTTCAACGTTGTCGCCAGCTATAGGAACTCCAATCACCTTGCTTCCCGGTAGCGATACAACTGTTTCTCCGTTGTTTACTCTGCCTACTATTCCCGCGTTATTACCGGTTACAACGACTATTGTGCCTTTGGCTGCGACAACGTATACGCCGCTTATGGGGATTGATGGGAAATATCAGATAAAAGTAAGCACAGTGGCGGACCTGATCCAGTGGCCAAAAACATACCGTTTTGAATCCGGGAAGTATCAAAAAGTGGCAAAATACCTCCATTTCCAAGTGACAGACTCCGATTTCAAAAGCGCACCCGCTCTTTTTGTGAGGGTGCAAAATGGCACGTTTTTTGCCACTGGATCCGGTCCCTCTGTAAATGCAAAAAAACTTATGGAAAGAATACCAGTCTGTCGGGAAAATAATGAGGGCAATGTCGCTGCGCCGATCGTGTCTCTGAAGTGAAAAGAGCTTTGATTTTGGCGCGAGACAATTAATTTTTTTCGGCTGCGATTGTCACGGCGACAGAACGCTCATTATTTTCCCGACAGACTGATATTTCGTCCACAAAAATATGACATTTTCAGGTTGGTCTCCTCTTCCCCAACAACACTCTCTATGTCCGCCAAAAAGAGGGCTTCGGCCAATCGGCCCCAGCTCTCTCCGTGGCCTTGGATCGGATCCAATCGGAAGGATTGCTGGCCAATGTCAACATCTCATTCGTCTGGTACATGGACGATTGCTCGTCAACAAAAGCGGCCGGATTTGTGGCCCGGTTGATCAATGTGGACAAGGTTTCGGCGATTCTCGGACCTCCTTGCTCAGTTAGTAAGTTTGTTTTCGGAATTTGGGATTTTAAATAGTGATCAGAGCTGATAAATATTTGTTTTTTTAGGTGCATTAGCAGCGGCGTCCGTGGCGTCGTATCAAAATTTACCTCTGGTTTTGTGGGGGGCTGGAGTGTCCTCACAATTCCTCAACGTCGAAAGCTTCCCGTCGCTGATGAGTGTCGTTACCAACACATTTCCGTAAGTTCGCAGCGAGCTGTTGCGGTGATTTTACATGGCTGGAAACTTTTGAGTCATCCTAATAAGATTTCCCAGAAGTCTTGCAAATTTTTGGACCCGAAAATTAAAGTCCCATTTCGAGGGCCTAAATCACTGCACTCCTTAAGCTTTGATACTGTTAAAACCGCCAATTCTTACACTTAAAAATACCTTAAAAATTTTAACCAACCAGATGCCCTACGGGATAATAATTGAAATTCTATAATACCATCCCCTTCTGAGAAGGGCTAAGAAAAAAGTTTGTTCTTTGGTGAGACAGTTGGACTTACAATTAGCTCCTCATATACGATTTAGAAGCGCTTTGTCTGAGCTTCAAACACGTATCCAACATACCCCGTAATGCGTTTTAAAGTTCACAGGAATTCGCTCAAATCGGCGACCCAAAAATTTGCAAGACTTACCCTAATATCAGTCTGTCGGGAAAATAATGAGCACTCTGCCGCGTCCAAAATCGCATCAAAAATGAATTGCATCGCAAAAAAATCGATTTTTTTTCTCTTCAACGACATGATTGGCACAGCGACATAGCTCATTATTTTCCCGACAGACTTTTCATATTTTCTTTTTCAGCATCGGTTTCGCTATCAACGCTCTGTTAGGTTATTTCAAGTGGACCGAGTTTGCCCTTCTTTACTCAACGTATGAGTATCTGAGTTTCTGCAACGAACTTCAAATGGATATAGAGGTTTGTCAAGCTTTCTTATCAGTCTGCCGGGAAAATAATGAGAATTCTGTCGCATTAAAAATAGCATGACCGATGAGAAAATGAATGGTGTCATCATTGCTTCAATTTGTTTTTCATTTTAGCGACGCGATCCGCGTAGCGACATTGTTTCATTATTTTTTGTTCTTCCGGCAGACGAATACCGCGTCCCGAGTTTTCGGGTAGCAACAGTTCGGGTCAGCATGCTGTGGATCGTGTCGGTTCGTTGTGTGCATGGGGGAGGCTAGGAGAATGCTGATTGTTGGTAAACAGAAACAATAAGATTGATTGGGTCCTAGGATGGCTTGGTAACTATTTTGAGGTGACATGCGGTCACATCCGTAATATTTAGAGTTGTATGAATGGAGGAGGCTAGGAGAAGGCTTAGTGAGTAGAAATAATAAGATTGATTGGGTCCTAGGATAGCTTAGGACCTAGTTTGATGTATTTTACATGTACTCACATCAACAACATCAAGATAGAAGTCACGGATCTTAATTTTTTGCCCTCAAATTTTGGTCTTTTATTATATGTTTCAATTACTCAGGGTAATGAAAACTAACGTTAGTAATAGCTACAAATAGAAAAAGTGGGCATATTGAAAATCTTCGCCAAGTCTCCGCCGACCCTTCAACAACCATCCAGCGGATTTGCAATGCCTCGCAGGACTTCCTAAAACCTTTTTTTGGGTGTCTACCTGCCCTGCGCCCCGTGTCAATCAATTTTCTGTTGGCCCGGACTGTCGCTGAAGTCTTAGCGCCGATAGAACCAATCATCATTGAACGTACAGCGGGGGATCTGATCCAGAGGCAAAAACGCTCCATTTTGCATCATGGGAGTATCAGAAAATGTAGTAAAATGACTCCCCTCCAAGTGAAAAAACTCAGATTTCAAAAGCGCGCCCGCTCTTTTTGTGGGGAAAAGGCGCACCCTTCAAACGAAGCTTTTTACTTGGAGAGGGAGGCATTTTGCTACATGTTTTGATACTTCCCGGATATAAAATGGTACGCCTTTTGTCACTGGATCAGGTCCCCCACTGTATTTTGCAATTGTTAAATCTTCAGAAAGCAATTCAAGTGAGTGGATCCGGCGCCTACATCTCGTACCGGCATTACATGAAGCCAAATAGTCAAAACTATCGGACTTATCTCCGGAAGAGCAAACAGCTCGCAAGAAGTAGGTTATTCTTGTCGTAACACGGTGGAAAATCGATCATATTTTACAAACTATGTTTTGTAAAATGCTTTGTTAATAATACCAAATTTCAGTTTTTGTCGTGTGCACTGAATTCGCCAACGATCAGCGCGATTTCATGCTGGCGGCTTATGACGAAGGGATGGCGACGGACGAATATGTCTACATTTTTACTGCACTCGCCAACTACGGAATCCAAACGAATGGGGAGAGGCAAACAAAAAATACGGACGTCTGGAGAAATACCACAGCCAACGATGGAAGAGATGATGATGCATATCAGATTGCTAAGCGATCGTTCACGGTGAGTATTACTAGCTACAGTGAGGGACCTGATCCAGTGGCAAAAAACGTATCATTTTGCATCCGGGAAGTGTCAAAAATGTGGCAAAATGCCTCCATCTCCAACTAAAAAAAACTCCGTTTGAACTGCGCGCCCTTTCCCTCACAAAAAGAGTGGGCGCGCTTTTGAAATCGGAGTTTTTTCACTTGGAGAGGGAGGTATTTTGCTGCATTTTTGATACTTCCCGGATGCAAATGATACGGTTTTGGCCAATGGATCACTGTATGTATCATACGGCATGACTGAACACAGAGTAATTTCACTGTATTTTCACCACAAAAGGATGATGTTTTAACATAAAGAATTGATTTCTAAACTGGCAAAGATATGGCCAAAAATTTATTTTCTCTCTCGGACCGCTCTCCGCGTTTCGCGTACTCTCTCGACCGCAATACTTGTTGAATATCTCAGCTATAACAGCAAAGCGCGGGCTAAAACTTTCAGGAATTGATACATGGCCTATGCCCAGAGATTGCCACGGTCAAAATGTCGGCTCCGGCTCCGGCTCTTAGCTCCCAGAGCCGGAGCCGAGGCCAAATTTTCAGCTCCGGCTCCGGCTCTTGGCTCCGTGCAAAATTTAAAAAGGCCTCCGGCTCCGAATCCCGGCTCCTATGCAAAATGTTTTTTTAAAAATATTTTTCCAAAAATAAAAGCTATTAGTGCCAGAGATCATACAGCCAACGTTTCTGCAGTCAAGTCACATCCTCCGCAGTGTTTTTCAAGCAATTTGGTTTAACAAGATCACGAAATTTTTACATTTCTGACCGCTGGGAAGCCTGGCTCCGACTTTGGGCTCGGGAGCCGGAGCCGACCCCAAAATTTCCGGCTCCGGCTCTGGCTCCCGGCTCGGAGCCAGAGCCGCTCAGAGCCGGAGCCAAGAGCCGGCTCCGGAGCCGTGGCAATCTCTGCCTATGCCTAAAACACATGAAAAATCTAAAGAAAATCCGAGCGATGAACTTGGAATACTTCCTCTGTTGTCTTCTTGTCCATCTTCCATATTGGCGGACCTGGTCCAGTGGCAAAAAATGTCCCATTTTGCTTCTGGGATGTATCAAAAAATTTAGCAAAATACCTCCCTTTCCAAATAAAAAAACTCCGTTTTGACGGCACACTTTTGAGACCGGAGTTTTTTTACTTGGAAAGGGAGGTATTTTGTCACATTTTTTGATACTTCCCGGATGAAAAATGGTACGTTTTTGCCACTGGATCAGGTTGGTCACTGTACGTGGGCTATGCTTAAAATGTATGAGAAATCTGAACAAAATCTGAGCGTCGTACTTGCAACAGTTCCCTTATTTCTATGTACAAGGATGGACAATGTCTATATTTTAATTTTTCAGCTTGATATTGCAATTTCCAACGAACAAGTGGTCCAAGAATTCCTGACCAAAGCCAACGACCGAATTGGGAAGGAGCCGTTCTACTGCGATGCCCAATGCATGGGCTGGCCACATGGGGTATGAATTTCTACCAGCTTGCAAAATATGCTGCGCAAACTTTTGATTATTCAATCGAATTCTTTTAGATCTCATCTTATGCTGGGTTCTTGCACGACGCGTTGTACGTCTACGCCAACGCGCTGAACAAGACAATAACGCAGAGACGGATAAGTCAAGTGTCGAATGGAACTTTGATGACGGAAAACAGTCAAATCCATTTTGATGGTAAGCGTTTTCTTTTAAAATGAAGAAGAAGACTTCACAACGTATTTTACAATGCAAGCAAGGTCTTGTTTGTTTTTTAGGGATCTCCGGAAAAGTAATCATGTCAAAAAATGGAACAAGAATTCCAAGCATTACCGCATATGGACTAGATACATCAAGGACCGCGCAAGCTCTTTTGGAGATCAATATAACCGGAAATAATGAAGTAGTAAGTCAATCAAGGGCTCAGTTTCCTAGAGAGAAAGATCGTTCCCTACTTTTGGGTCAGCGGCAGTTCGGGTCAACACAGAATCGATTGATACGGGGCGTAGGGCAGGCGAATGCCCAGGAAAAGTTGTGAGAAGTTCCTGGATGATCGGCGGACGCTCGGCGAAGGCTCGGCGGAGACTTGGCGAAGGCTTGCAATATGTCCACTTTTTCTAACTTTAGCTATTACTAACGTTTGTTTTCTTTACCCTGAGTTATTGTAACATATACAAGACCAAAATTTGCGGCAAAAAACGAAGATCTGTAACTTTTCACTTGATGCTACTGATGTGAGTACATGTAAAATACCTCAAAATAGGTGATAATCTATTATCCTAGGACCCGGCCAAGCTTATTATTTCTACTAACTAAGACTTCTCCCAGCCTCCCCCATGTACATTACAAAAAACGACGCTATCCCTAGCACCGTTGACCCGACTTGTCGCTGACCCGAAAAGTTGTAGCGCCAGCAAAATAAACGTGGATATTTGTACCTCAAAGCTGTCTTTGATCACACTCCTTGTCTTGGGACTAATAAAGCCTAACAAATATCCAAAACTTCAGTCGATCGTTCCCCTCGTCGATGAGTCAGTGATGTGGGCTCAACGTTCCGACCACCAAATGCCCCTGTCGCGGCCTCTTTGCGGATTCTCCGGCAACGAATGCCCCATGAGTATTGGCGCCTACATTGGAATCGGAGCCGCCCTAGTCGCGCTAGTCCTACTTGTCAGCGGCGGCGTTGCTTTGTATTTTTTACGGGAGCGCCTTCGTGAGCAGAATCAATCCAAACTCGAGTGGGACATACCGTATTTGTCGTTGAAGAAGGTGGAAGAGGACACTCCGGAGGCCATCAAAAGTATGCGCTCCATTGCCAGTGTACAGAGCAATGGGAGCAAGACGAATGTTAGTGAGAATTTCAACGAGACCGAGACTCACTGCTTCTTTATGTATCGGCGGAATGTGGTGTTTGCCAATAAGCATCCAGTGCGAATGAGGCTGAATAAGCAGGACGTTCAAAGGATTAAGACGGTAGGTCAGGAAAGTGAAGCCTAGCGACGGTTTTCTCCATGTACTGTGACGGATCTGATCCAGTGACAAAAAATGTGCCGTTTTGCATTCGGAAGTATCAAAAAATATAGCAAAATGCCTCCCTCTCCAACTAAAAAACTACGTTTTGAAGGGAAAAAAGAGCTTTTGAAATTGGAGTCTTTTCACTTGGAGAGGGAGGCATTTTGCTACATTTTTTAACACTTCCCGGATGCAAAATGGGACGTTTTTTGCCACTGGATCAGGCCCGTCAGCTGGGAAATCGTGTCTTTTTTGTTCCTTCGCCAAAAAATTCGTCGAGATCGCGGAATGACTATGCTGACTGCCAACCTTTCTCAAAGTGGTAGAGCATAATATGGCGAATATGAGTATGGTCTTCGACACGCATTTTATTAACCAAATAAAAAAAATAATTATTATAAAAAAATTTAACAGAACGCGAATTTTAACTAATCAAAAATGCACCACTAAAACCGCCGGATATATTTGAATCCACCTAATAGTTTTTTAGTTGTTGAGGGAAGCATTTCGCTACATTTTTTGATGCTTACCTGCAAAACGGTACCATTTTTCCACTGAGTTAGGCCCGTCATTGCCCATTTTTTTGGACACAGCTCGGCGTCAAAAAGCTAACTTTGGAGCAATATACACTCAGAAATATTCCTTTATCTGTTCTCTTTACGTAAACGGTATTATATGTGCGATGTTGTTTATAGCTCCGTCAATTCGATCACGACAACGCGAATCGTTTCTTGGGGATCTGCATGGACGGCCCAATGATGTATTCGTTGTGGAAGTATTGTCAACGTGGCTCTTTACAGGTAATCATCTTATACAATCATTTTGTTTACAAAAAGAAAAACTAACCATCACGTATTTTAAAAGTGACTTTTTCCACAGTATAAAACGCACCTCCAGAGAAAAAAATAAGAGCCGTAAGAACGAATTTTCAGGACGTTCTCAGTAAAGAGAGCTATGTGCACGACCAGTTCGTAATGTTCGCGTTGATGAGGGACATCTGCAACGGCCTTTTGGCCATTCACAGCTCGGACATTGGAGTTCATGGCGCCTTGAATTCAATGTGTTGCTTGATCAGCGATCGATGGCAAGTCAAAATTGGGAATTTTGGACTTGGTCCAATCAGAGACCAGCAGCCGATCAAACGGAAAGGTGAGGTATTGAAGAGACGTCGGGTAAAATGACATGATGTATGATTTCACTTCAGTGACGTGCAGCGGCGAAATCGTGCTCATTATTTTACTGGACAAAGTGACATCTTCTGCATACATACTCTGTTGGCTGTAAAAACCTCTGAATTTAAAGATGATACCTTCAAATGATGACTTAGCATGCATAGCAGAAGAAGCATAGTTTTTAAGCGATTTAGAAGCGATATAACATCATAGTCGTCCCCAGCGCAAATTAAGAAAAAGAAAAATAAAGCAAGATGTCGATATTTTTTTATCATTTACACTTTTTCAGAATACCTCTGGATGGCGCCCGAGCTAATCCGAGTCGACGATCGGCACGGAAATCAACCCGGCGATGTCTACAGTTTCGCGATTATTTGCTCGGAATTGTTAAATCGCGAGATTGCATGGGATGCGACGGAGAGCGAGGACGATATCGATGGTATGTTCAATACATCCATAATTGATTACGTACTTTTTCAGAGATCATTTACCGTCTAAAACGAGGCGGGAGCACTCCATTCCGACCAAATATTCACCCGCCGGACGAAGTGGACAGCAATATTGTAAGTTGGGAGGAAGAGGGCCGGGATACAGTGACGGACCTGATCAGTGACAGAAAATGTATCATTTTGCATTCGGTAAGTATCAAAAAGTGTAGCAAAATGCCTCCCTCTCCAACTAAAAACTCCGTTTTGAAGGGCGCGCTTTTGAAATCGGACTATTTTCACTTGGAGAGGGAGGCATTTTGTTACATTTTTTGATACTTCCCTGACGTAAAATGGTACGTTTTTTTTTGCCACTGAAGGATTCTCTATGGTAGAAACAGATACGAAACTTTTTATGTGAAAGTCAAGAGTGTCGCCGACTTTCGATCCAAAAATCTCCGTCGTCTCTGCAAAATGCGAATTAACAGTCTCGTATATATCTGACAAAAAAATTGGTCTAAATGTGTGCCAAGTTTCATCAAAATCTGAGTGTTGCACTTGAAGCACTTACACTTCCCTTGTAAAATTTTTTTTGTGAAAAATAGAAAAATAAAAGTTCATCCAAGAATTCGTATTTTAAAAAGAGAAGTGTCTTTTTCCTTCTAGAAGTTATTTTTTATTGTTTAGGTCCTTCTAATCAAGGACTGTTGGGCGGAGAATCCGGACAGTCGACCGACCATGGAGAATGTCAGGGTAATGTTGAAACAATTGCTCAAAAATAAGTGAGTTTCTTTCCAGCTGTTATTAAACTATCCTAAAAACAAAGTGCATTGACGTATTTTACAGCAAACAAAACCTCATGGATTATGTGTTTTCGATGTTGGAGAATTACGCCGGCTCTTTGGAGCAAGAAGTCGAACAAAGGACAAGAGAATTGACCGAGGAGAAAAAGAAAAGCGACATTTTGTTGTATCGACTGATGCCTCAGTATGTTTATTCTGCCAAATTTTATAGAATCAGCCAAATTTTCGAAAAAAAACTTGATGTTTTCGTGTCGGGACCAAAAAATGGGAAAATTCGGAAATTACTGGGTCTCACCGCGAAAACAACTGGAAAAACTGAAAAAAATGTGTGTTCTGTACATGGTAGAGCTTACAACATTATTTTCAAATGTTTTCGTGGTGAGACCAAGGGTTTAAAACAAGTTTAAGAGAAATGTTGGGTCTCAGCACGAAAACTCCCAGAATTAAGCAATATAAAAACTTTTTGAGTGAATCTGAATTTTCAGACAAGTAGCCGACAAATTGAAGCTGGGAGAAGTTGTTGCGCCCGAAAGCTTCGATATGGTTACTGTATTCTTCTCTGACGTCGTGTCTTTCACTACTTTGGCTTCCAGATGTACTCCGCTGCAGGTAGGGGAAATTGGAGTGCTTTAGAATGATTTATAAGGCCTTCAGAGAGTTCTAAGGCGTATTGTATACTTATAAGAGCTATAATACGTGTTAGGCTTTGAAATCACAAAAAATAAAATTTTTGGACTAAAAGTTGGTCTTATAAACAAACGTAGTTTTTTCTGACATATTTTTTTAACAGGGGTTGTACCGCAAGTGCGATGGTTAGATTTTGATGAAACTTGGGGACAAATTTAGAACGACTTTTTCGAAAAATATTTGCGAGAAACCTTACTCGCGCTTTGCAGAAACACCCGAGATCATTAGACCGAAAGTTGGCGAAAATTTGACAATTTTTGCCGAATTTCGGTATGAAAAGTTTCATTCCATGCCTTCATAAAAAAATCAATTTTTTCCCGCACGAAACTGGCAAAGTTATGGTGAAAAAGTGTTTTTCTCAATGCTATCCACGTTTAGCGTACTCTCTCGGCGGCAAAGATTGTCCAATATCTCAGGAGCGCTTGCAAAACGCGACCTAAAACTTTGAGGAATTGATATGTAGTCTATGCCGGACATGTGCACAAAATTTTAATAAAATCTGAGCGTCGCACTTGGAGAGACTTCCCTTGTAAGGAAAGTATTAAACTATAGCCATTGGGGAAGTAATCTATTCGATCCTTCAAGCTTAGAACTTTGTAATGAGTCCCCTTTTAGGTGGTAAACCTCTTAAATGACCTCTACACGAATTTCGACGGGATTATCGACAGTTGTGATGTTTACAAAGTCGAGACAATTGGCGATGGCTACCTTTGTGTGTCGGGATTGCCCCGGCGAAACGGCGATCTTCATTGCAAGGAGATTGCCAACATGTCCATGGCATTTCTGAAAAGTCTTTCCACATTTCGCATTGCTCATCTGCCAAATGAGAGGATCAATATCCGAATTGGATTTCATACAGGTAAAGCGTTTGCATAAATTTATATATAGTATATATTTATGGCAAATAATATTATTATTGCAGGGCCAGTGGTCGCTGGGGTTGTTGGGCTGACCATGCCGAGATATTGTCTGTTCGGCGACACTGTGAATACGGCGAGTCGGATGGAGTCGAATAGCAAACGTATGTGATTTATATTGGTATTTTTATATCAGTTTGTCGGGAAAATAATGAGTGGAATGTTGCTGCGGCAATCGCGTCGCTGAATTGAAGAGCAATTTGACTTTGTTGGGAGACAATTTTTTCAAAAAAAAAATTTATAATGCGACAGAGTGCTCATTATTTTCCCGACAGACTGATAATCTGCATGAACATTTTTCGCGTTCGCACAGTGCATCGCGAATTCTTCCAAACCTTGTCGCCAGCGCACAGTGCATTTTTCTTTTTCCGCACAGTGCAAACTTCAAAAAGGCCGCTTGCACTGTGCAAATTCCTGACGCCGACGCAGCGACTTTGCTGAAACTTTCGGGTGTCGCAGCGATATTTATAGTTAGACGCACAGTGCAAAGATCAAAAAAAAGGTGAAATGCACGGTGCAAAGCAGTGTTTTTGTGCACAATGCGGGCCGCGAATAATGTCCATGCACTTTATGAAAATACATACCATGAATCTGTCGGGAAAATAATGAGGACACTGTCGCTACTTTAATCGGGTCGCTGAAGTGAAAAGAAATTTGACTTTTGCCGCGACACAATCTATTTTTTTAAATTTTTTGCGTGAGGCGATTTTCTATGCGACAGGGTGCTCATTATTTTTCCCGACATACTGATAACACATATTTCAAGGCGTCAAATCTTTTGTGTACTCTCCAAAACCCCAAAAAAACCTCTCACTTTCAGCCGGTCGAATCCATATTTCCGCCTCCGCCAACCACTATCTGTCCGAGATTATCGGCGGCTATGCGACCGAATCCCGCGGCGAGGTGATGATAAAGGGCAAGGGATTAATGGAGACTTTCTGGCTTCTGGGGAAAACAAATCCCCAAGGAGTAATCGTTGATGCCGTCCCCGACCCACCGGATCCGGAGCAATTGAAGGCGGTGGCGGATGTTCCGTTGATTTCTCCGCACATGATTGCGAATCCAGCCATCGACTTGACGAAGAAAAACTCAGAAGTCGATGTGGGAGATATAACTCCGGAAACGGCGAGGGCTAATGATGTATTTAGTGAGAGATTGTGATCTCAATTTATTTTTTACAAAAATTATTTTTGAAATTTTTTGTTGATTAGTTAGATGTGCAAAGCTATTAAATTGTTGAAATATTTTTCAAAAAAGTTATTCGGGTAATCGATTGTAGAGCAGGTGAACGCCCAAAAAAGCGTTGTAGCAAATGCCTATGAGTCCTGACAAAGCCGTTGAATGGTCGGCGAAGGCTCGGCGGAGACTTGGCGAAGGCTCGGCGGAGACTTGGCGAAGTCTTTTAGCATGTCTATTGTTGTGTCCTTCACGCGCCAGTTGTTGTATGTTGACTGGTGGTGGTGAAGGAGTCAGCCAGATATAGAAGGGATAATAAGGATAGATTTATTATCAGATAAAAGTAATAGTACGTAGCATCACACCAAACATTCACTGAATAAATGTCGCAACCGAGATCCTTTTTCCTCTCACAGGCTTTGAGAAGCTTCGAATGAAACGGAATGCCAATAACGTAGTCGTAGGTTTCGTCTCGGGACTCAACATCTATTTTCCGAAAAGTCGTAGAGCAGTTGAAACTATTAGGTTGGATAGAAAGTTACACGTCAAATTGAGGAGTCCGGTGACCGGAATAGACCCTTCGCTATCGGTTTTTTACACTTCGTCTTGATTTTCCAGAGAAAGAGAGAAAAAAGACACGCAAAAGCGAACTCTCTCGCCCCAAAAATTCCCCATTTCTTCCCCGACAAAAGGTTTTTTCGCGTTTTTTTGGCAAATTGCGAATCCATTCACCGGAATGTTTTAGCTTATCTCAGTTTGACGTGAGTTATGACCATTTTCTTGCAACAGTTTGAAATCGATTATTTTCTAGCTCAGATCCATCTTTAGTTCAACATACTTGTAGACTAATAGAGGGCTTATCAAAGTTTTATCTAGGGTGTAGTCACAGACATGTAGAATTTTGGAGAACATCATTGGCTATTCTTTCCTGGCTAGCTGTGACAAAACCTTGCTTTCTGCTCAGAAAGTAACGTCCTAAATTTTCTTTGATTTTAAGGCCAATTTTGTCCTCCAAAGAATTTGCCTAAAGAACTCTATGATAATTCGGGAATCTGTTGGTCAATCAGTGTGTTGATGAGACCTCTGAAGGTTCAGGAAAAACTTCATTTTGTACGGTCTTTTATTAGATACAAGATCGACGATTGCCACAAAATCAATGGTACCGAACGAGCGGTCCAATAAAACTTCAAATTTATTACTCTTGGCCATACACGAAACAATAGTGTCTACAGAAAACAATATCCATTTTACAACTTCTTGAGCGATTGAGCCAGAATTTCCGTGGCAATGTCCGCATGCTTCTGCTCGAAGATCAAGGCCGGTCTGAAGCGCACCGTCAAGTCGCCGCATCCGCCCACATGCAGGCCGTATTTCAGCGCGACGGCCAACAATTTGTCGCGTTTCGCCGCGTCCGGAAGATCGAACGCACAGAGATTTCCTTGACCACGCACATTGGAGACGAGGTTCGGGAAGTGGCGCTCCAAATCTTCGAGGGATTTGTAGAGATGGGCGCCGACTTTGGCGGTTTGTTCGACGAGACGGTCTCGCTTGATGATCTCGACCACTTTCTCCAGAATCACCAGCTTTGTGGGCTCTCCCATCCAGGTGTTGAAGATTCGGTAGGGCTGGAAATAAAGGGGGAATTTGGATTGAAAAATTAGGTTTTTTGGGGAAATGTAAGGGTGTAGTGAAGGTCTCAGAGCTTAATAAAACTTGGCAAAAAATAAGTTTTCAGTTTTCCAAGGCATATGCGAGATTTTCACATTACTCCTTGCTAAATAATCAACATTATCTTAAAAAAAAAAACACAAAATTTTGAAAATTTTTTGGAGATTTGAAATTTGGCCTGCAGTGTTGGGCCTGAGCCAGTGTCAAAAAATGTACCATTTTGCATCCGGGAAGTATCAAAAAATTAGCAAAATACCTCCTTCTCCATGTGAAAAAAGTCCGATTTCAAAAACGCGCGTTTTTCCTAGCAAAAAAGCGTTCTTTGAAATTTTAGTCTTTTCACTTGGAGGTTGAGGTATTTTGATGCTTTTCCTGATACTTATTGGATGCAAAATGGTACGTTCTTTGCCACTGGGTCAGGTCGCCACTGTCACAGCTTTCTCTAATTTGGGGACGCCTCCAGTGGCGGACCTAATCGAGTTTACTTTATAACAATAAGAGCCCTTCAAACCGGCGTTTTTTTAGTTGGAAAGGGAGGTATTTTGCTGCATTTTTTGATACTTCCCGGATGCAAAATTATACGTTTTTTGCCACTGGATCAGATGCGTCACTGTATCGAAAAATTTTTATCTTTTTTTGACTTTTTTTCAAAAAATCTTATTCTTTCCTCGTCCAAAATTACACCTTCAAATCAAAAACCTGCTTCCAATGAGCTATAAAAAATAATAAAAATTACCTCGTTGACAGTCAACTCATCCTTGTAGTAATATCCGCCAATCAGCGCCTTCTTCGAGAACGTCACAATATCCGGCGCCTCGGGCAGCCCCCATTTCTCATGGGCCCAGAAGTGTCCACTCGCCCCGCCACCGGTCTGAACCTCGTCCACAATGAACGTGACGCCGTGTTCTTTGCAGAGTTTCTGCAGCTCGTGGAAGTATTCGTTGGAGGCGTGGAAGTCGCCGCCCTCGCTCTGGATGGGCTCCACGATCAGCGCGGCGACGTCGCGCTTCTCCTTCTTGCGCGCGATGAAGTGTTTCTTGACGTCTTCCAGCGACTCCTCGTCCTGCTTTTTGTTGTAGTTCTCGTGCTTGACCAGCGGGTATTTGTAGCGGGGGAATTTGGCAATGGGCCAGTCAAAGGCGGGGATGTCGACTTTGTGGATGGCTTTGGAGCTGAAAGAGGGGTTGTCAATGGTTTATTGAAGGCCACAAATCGTCAGGCGGCGCAAAAAGTCCTTCGAATTTTGGAACTGGGACGATTGGGGAAACGGAAAAGTATTATTTTTCTTCGATGCAAATGTGAAATTAGGATAATCGAGGGTGCTTATTTCGAAAATGACATTCATTTTTTTGATAATTACTTTTTTCCTTAAGTAGTACTGTAGAGAAGTAAATTTTTGATTTTTTTTACAAATACTCGATTTAGGGGTTTTCGAGGGTGCTGATTTCGAAAATGGCATTCATTTTTTTGATAGTTACTTTTTTTTCTTTAAGTAGTACTGTAATGTAGTAATTTTTTGATTTTTTTTACAAATACTCGATTTAGGGGTTTTCGAGGGTGTTGATTTCGAAAATGACATTCATTTTTTGACAGTTACTTTTTTCCTTAAGTAGTACTGTAGAGTAGTGCTTTTTAAAATTTTTTTCATAATTACTCGATTTAGTGGTTTTCGAGAGTGCTGATTTTGAAAATGACATTCGTTTTTTCTGATCGTTACTTTTTTTGCCAAAAATCAGTCCAAAAGCGATTTTTGCACGGTGCAAAAATTGGAAATTTTGCGGCAATTTGAATCAAAGGAAAAATCATGCTACAAAAAACAAAAAAAGGACCAAAATTCGCGTCTACGACAAAAACCGGAGTAAAAAAACCTAAAAAAATAATCCTGGATTCATTTTTTTACCAAAAAATTAAATTTTGCACCGTGAAAAAATAAAAAAAAAAATAAAAAAATAAAAAATCTCATAAAATATCTATCACCCCTTACCGAGTCACACTCAACATTCCCAGCGATCGTCCATGGAAGCTTCCCTGGAAGCCCAAAACGCTGAGTTTTGGGGTACCCGGGAGCTCCTGGTTCATGCAGCTTTCCAGGTCCTTCGGAGTGGGCGGACCTCCTCTTTTCAGGGTCTGATAGCGAATAAACGACTGTTTGATGGCGTTCTCGTTGGCTCCGGTTCCGTCCATCATCGTCTGGACATGACGAAGGCCTGGGGGAGCTATCTGGAAAAATTTTTTGAAAGGTATTTTAGGCAACCTGTTTTACAATGAAAATATTTTTCATTGTAATGCAAGAAAAGGTGCTTTTATTGGGGCCCCTAATTTCAGACGGGACATATCTCACAAGGAAAGTACCTTTATGGGGGCTCCTACTTTTTGACGGGACATATCTCAAAAAATCAGGAAAAATGTGCTGGTCAAGGATATATAAATCTTAGCTGCCCATTTTAGGTTTTTAGGGGTGAAAACTCAATCGGAAGTTGACTTAAAGTCTTATATGAACCCCTTTTCGCTTAATTTTTCACAGGTTTACAATTTTTATTTTGGCTTAAAATGATGTTTATTCAGTTTCTAAGACGTAATAAATCAGTCTTGGCACAAAAATTTATTTTTCCGACCTTCATCTTCAAAAAAAGTTGATTCGGCCCAAAAGGGATGTCGAACCCGTGCGGCGTTCCCCCTCTTGATTCCTAGACTACGGCACTAGCCACTCGGCCACACCGCTCTCTTCCGAAGGAAGAGACCGACTGCGCTTTTTATCGTTTCGAATGCCTGCGCCTTTTGTAGGGAAATTAAGCCAGTTTTTGGGCATTTTCACCCCTAAAAACCTAAAATGGGCAGCTAAGATTTATATATCCTTGATCAGCACATTTTTTCTGATTTTTTGAGATATGTCACGTCAAAAAGTAGGAGCCCCCATAAAAGTACTTTCCTTGTCAAAAAATCCAAAAAATTGTGTTGATCAAGAAAAATCAAATTTGTAAACCCTGAAAAATTGAGCGAAAAAAAAGGTTGATTTAGAGGTACAGTGGGGGGACCCGATCCAGTGGCAAAAAGCGTACCATTTTGAATCCGGGAAGCATCAAAAATGTGGCAAAATGCTTCCTTCTTCAAGTGAAAAAAACTCCGATTTCAAAAGCGCGCCCGCTCTTTTTGTGAGGGAGCCCTTCAAAACGAAGTTTTCGACTTGAAGAGGGAAGCATTTTGCCACATTTTTGATGCTTCCCGGATGCAAAATGGTTCATTTTTTCCACTGGATCAGGTCCCTACTGTAGAGGTCTACGTAAATTTGCGACTAATTTTTCACCCCTAAAATCCGCTACTGGGCAGCAAATTTTTACATATTCTTAATCAACATGATTTTGCGTATTTTTGAGATATCTCCCGTCTAAAAGTAGAGGCCCCCATAAACGCACTTTCCTTGTAACCCAAAAAACGATCAAAAAAACTTACCGAAATGAGTGAATTGGCGATTAAATCGGCAAAGTCAGTGCGTGGAAAGTTGCCGAGAGCCGGTCGACTTACTGCGGCAGTCTAAAAAAACGATTTTTATTTTGAAAAATAGAAAAATTCTTGAATTTTTTTTTAAAAATTTCCAAAAACAAAAATTGACTTACGATAAATCGAGGGTCGCTGTGAAGAGCAACAAGTTCAGGATGGTTATATCCAATGGGAATAGATGAAATTTGCATAAACGAGTCCAAAAGGGCATTTCCATCGGCGTCGACGAGGTAATTCCCAAATGAAGACTCGTAGTCGACGAAGAATTTCACCGACGGCGCTTGCTGTAAATGGACATATTAGAGTGAAAAAATAACATATCAAAAGCCAAAAAAATCGAGATTTTTAAAGTCTTTTGGATATTTTTTTTTATCAAGTCATCAAAATCTTTTCCTCAAAAAAATATTTTTTTTTGTCTCAGATTTTCTTTAAATTTTGTCCACTCGCCGGACATAGACTAAATATGAATTCTTTAAAGTTTTAGCCCGCGCTTTACAAGCGCCGCCGAGATATTGAACGATCTTTGCCGCCGAGAGAGTACACGAAACGCGGAGAGCAAGAGAGAAAAATATCTTTTGGCCATAACTTTGCTAGTTTCGCGCGGAAAAAAATGATTTTTTGTGAAGACATTACCCTCTACAGTAGAAATAGGCATAAAACTTATCGTGCCGAAATTCGGCAAAAAGTCTCAAATTTTCGCCGAGTTTGGATCTAAAAATCTCGGTTGTTTCTGCAACGCGCGAGCTGGGATTCTCGCATATATTTTAGAAAAAATCTGTCTAAATTTGTGCCAAGTTTCATCAAAATCTGAGCGTCGCACTTGGGGGGGACTTCCCCTGCTCGAAATATGACAAATGATAACTTTTACGGGGTCGAAACTTGCGGCAACCACTTTACGGGCAGCCAGAGAAAACCACGGAGATTCGGCGACCATATTTGGAAACTCACATGGACTCTCTTCAAATTTTCATGCAGCAATTTGGATCGTGGGCCGGGGATGTCGGTCTTGACCGAGGGCTGCGCTGGCTCTTGAATGGCGATGGTCCCGACTTGACGGATCAAGTTGATGGATGGACGCGATGAGCGCAGCATTCTGCTAAAAAATTTATATATTTTGGAGCAAAAAATGGTTGTGGGTAAAACCTTTAAAACGCAACCGAAACAAAAAATTTAATAATTTAATAATAATTTGCTATAAAAAAACAGTGTTTTAATAAAAATTCCAACCAAAACTGTAAAAAATCATGTTTGCTCTTTTTTTTGGAGAGCTCTCAAGAGGTCTAATATTACTATCCAAAAGCCTAAAAAAAGACCCATGATAGGTTCGTAAAACGGGGAAAATATCGAGGCTCTTATCACAAGTTCCTCTCCCTCCTTTTGGAACATGTAAACACATCGAAGGGAGGAAGGTATTTTGGTCAAAGAGGGATCAGAAAAGCAAGAAAAACGTTCCACTGTGTTTATAAACACGGCTAGCCAAAAAAGAAGTTGGTTCTTGACAGAGATGTAAAGTTCAAAAGAGTTCAAAGTTGGTGTAAAGTAAACAAAGCGAGTTGAAGGGAACTTTGCTAACAAGTCTCTGTAATTTGGGGACGCCTACAGTGTTGGAACTGATCCAGTGGCAAAAAACGTGCCATTTTGCATCCGGGAAGTATCAAAAATGTGGCAAAATGCTTCCCTCGCCAACTGAAAAAAACATCGTTTTGAAGGGTTCCCTCACAAAAAGAGCGGACGCGCTTTTGAAATCGGAGTTTTTTTCACTTGAAGAAGGAAGCATTTTGCCACATTTTTTATACTTCCTGGATGCAAAGTGGTATGCTTTTTGCCACTGGATCAGGTCCCCCACTGTAAGTTTGTGTTCTTGGAAAAAAATGAAAAAATATTTATATTGTCTACATTTGTACCAAGTGTTCGCAAAATTTAAGCGTCGCACGTAACGATGACAGAATTCTTTTCCACCTTTTAGCAAACTAAATACATATTATGTATGTATAAATCTTTTCTATGAATCAGTGTATATTAATAGTCCGTCGAGAAAATAACGAGCACTCACGCGCATCCAAAGTGGCATCGTCGCCGAGAAAATGAACTGTGTCGTGGCAAAATAAAACTGCTTTTCACTTCAGCGACGTGATTGGCCTAGCGACTTTGCGCTCATTATTTTTCCGACAGACTGATAATCTTTGAAATCAAAACTTCAATTCAGTTTTATTTGTGGAGAAAAGAGTCAAAGTCTAGTGCTGCAAAAAGTTTCCTTATCGTTCAATTTTCGGAATTTCGAATTCCAAAACACTCAACGGAAGGTTGTTGTATAATTCATGGGCATGTCATAACATGCGAATAACCTGAGTTTTGTAATCGGCCAAAAAACTGTTTCACCTGCTCAGTGTCTTTCAGTTCGAAATACATAAAATTTATTTTATTTTACAGTTAGGATTACATTGTAAGTTGAACCATACGTATATAATTGTAATGCCTTAATCACAATTTGCTATACTGCGAACTGAACGTAGATGAGACGTATATTGAGCGTATTTTGTGATGGGAGTTCTTCTAAATGAAGACGATTTGCCTTCTGAAGAGCTACTGAAAACTTATCGGCTTTATAAAAATGTAACGCTCTCGGTGACCACCGCTATAGCCTTGGTTACAATCACTGTTATGGTGTCTTGTAAGTGATAATTTTTGATTTTTTTACAGTCTATTTAGTTTTACTGTTATAAAAAATTATTCTTTTAGCTACTACTCGGAGTATGAGTAAATATCGATGGTACTTGGTGCACAGCCTGGTCTGGTGAGTATACAGTTTCGGATCTGATCTAGTGGCAAAAGGTGTACCTTTTTGCTTTCAAAAAGTATCCAAAAAGGTGGCAAAATACCTGCTTCTCCAAATCAGAAAACAACGACTTCAAAAACGCTCGTTTTGTGAGGGAACGAGTTTTCCCTTCAAAACGAAGTTTTTTTAGTTGGAAAGGAAGCATTTTGCCACATTTTTTGATACTTCCCGGATGCAAAATGGTACGTTTTTTGTCACTGGATCAGGTCCGTCACTGTGTGTATGTATTTGCAAAGCGCGACAGATTAGTTTTTCTATAAGTTCAGATGACTTTTAAAATACGTAATTTAATGTTCATCGCTTTTGTCACTTTAAAAGCAAAAAACAAAAAAAATACGAACAAATTGTTCGATGTGCGACGCTCAGATTTTCTTTAATTTTGCACACGCGTCAGGCATAGGTCACGTTTCAATTCGTAAAAGTTTTAGCTTGCGCTTTGCAGGCGCAGCTGAGATATTGACGGATCTTTGAGTGAGTACGCAAGGCGCGGAGAGTAGTCAGAGAAAGCACTTTTTGGCCGTACCCTTCGCGAGTTTCGCGTAGAAAACAATATTTTTTGTGAAAACATTACCCTCTACGGCAGAAATAAGCACAAAATTTTTCACGCCAAAAAAGTTCTCCTAAAAGATTCCGCATTTTTCTCAAAATTTCAATCTAAAAATCTCAGCAAATCAGGTCGCACGTTATCTCCCACTTATTTAAATAAAATCACAACTTTTTAGGTCCCTATTTTCCGATTTTATGGGGACACTGATTGGCCCAGTCCTTCTCTCCCCACTGCCTTGTTTCTTCAGCGTAAACCTACCGCCGATAGCCGACTCTCAAAAAATTGCATTGTTTTTTGTCGGATGCACTGCAATGTTTGGAAAGAACCTCTCAGTAATGTTCCAGTTGGAACATCGGTTCGTGAAATCGCAGTCAGTGAACTCGCGATATCACCAATGGTTTGGGTATTCATCAATGCGAATGGAACTTGTCATACGAGGAGCTATACTGGCAGCAATCATACTGAGCATTGAGGTAATAAGCCCTTGGTTTTGTGAAAGGATTCAGGGGATTCGTCCCGACTTTTCGGGTCGACAACAGTCCGGGTCAACACAAAATCGATCGACATATGGCCTAGGGCAAGCGGAAAGCTACAAAAATCTAATGTTACGTGCCAACGAGACCCGGAAAAGCCGTTGCATGGTCGGCGAAGAATTGGCGAAGGCTCGGTGGAGGCCTGGCGAAGTTTTATGTCCACTTTTTCTAATTTTGGCTATTACAAACCGGAGTTGGACGGTTAGGGGAAAAAGAGGTCAAAAATGACATTCATTTTTTATAGTCACTGTCTTTTTTAAGTAGTATTGTAAAATAGTTCAAACACTACAAAAACGTTACTTTCAAAAAAAATTAATGTCATATTACTAACATTAGTTCTGTTTTCTGTAACATATAAAGGCCAAAATTTGAGGGCAAGAAATGAAGATCCATGACTTTTATTTAAATGTAATCAATGTGAGTACATGTAAAAAACCTAAAAAATGTGATAAGCTTATCATAGGATGATACAATCGTATTCTTTATATTAACTAAGTCTTCTCCTAGCTTGCCCTATGCATACAACGACAAACCGACACGATCTATCTCGTTGACCCAAACTGTTGCTGACACGAAAAGTCGTAGCGCCAGAGGATTCATTTCCATCTAAAACCCTTCAATTTCAGATCCCAATAGTAATCTTTATGCCACCTCAAGTAAAACAACGTCAAGCCTTCGCCTCGCTTGATCCCGTCGCCGAAAAGGTCTTTGAATCCCACGTTGATACCCTTTGTATATCTTCATCTCCCAATATATCTCGCACCCTGCTGCCGACATGTTTCCTGATGACGGGAATTGTGGTAATCTTTGTCCTAATGCTCACACACATGCACGTTTCGATTCGCAAGAACCATGGTAATGCGAACACATATCGAATGCAAATGATGTTGTTCTGGAGCCTGGTGGCACAAATGACCGCCATGTTTATTTTTATTCAACTCCCGGCCATAATCCTGATATGGGGAACCTTCCTAGGGGTCAGAAATTTGCCGAAAATCGCAATCTATTGCTTCTCAATGTTCTTTCTGCATACCTCGTTCGACTGTCTGCTGATTTTGTACTTCATCAAGCCTTATAGGGAGTTTTTGTGGAAGTACTTGCATGCCAAGAGATTGGCGCCATTTCGAGACAGTCTCAGTATCTCCGCCACTCCGAAAATATCTGTGGTCAAGTATTCGAGGCATTAGAATTTGTTGCGAAATTTTATGAATAAAAATTTGTTGCGAACTATGGACATAATGGGTAATACAAAAAGTTTGCTGAACTTTGTTGGCTTTGAACTTTGCGAGCGTCGCTAAATAGGTCGTGAGATAAGCTCACAAATTTTTCGCGTCCCGACTTTTCGGCTCGACGAGAGTTCGGGCCAGAGATTGCCACGGCTCCGGAGCCGGCTCTTGGCTCCGGCTCTGAGCGGCTCCGGCTCCGAGCCGGGAGCCAGAGCCGGAGCCGGAAATTTTGGGGTCGGCTCCGGCTCCCGAGCCCAAATTCGGAGCCAAGCTTCCCAGCGGTCAGAAAAGTAAAAATTTCGTGATCTTGTTAAACCAAATTGCTTGAAAAACACTGCGGAGGATGTGACTTGACTTCAAAAAAGTTGGCTGTGTGATATCTGGCACTAATAACTTTTACTTTTGGAAAAATATTTTAAAAAAAACATATTGCTTAGGGGCCGGAATTCGGAGCCGGAGGCCTATTTAAATTTTGCACGGAGCCAAGAGCCGGAGCCGGAGCTGCAAATTTGGCCTCGGCTCCGGCTCTGGGAGCTAAGAGCCGGAGCCGGAGCCAAAATTTTGACCGTGGCAATCTCTGGTTCGGGCCAACACAAAATCGATTGATACAGATCGATTTTCTGTTAAAGTAGGCAGGTGAGTACTCAAAAAAGTGTTGTAGGAAGTGCCTTTGAGGCCTGGCAAAACCGTTGGATTATCGGCGGACGTTCGGCGAAGGCTCGGCGGAGACTTGGCGAAGGCATACAATATGTCCACTTTTTTTAATTTTAGCTATTACTAATGTTAGTTTTCTTTGCCCTGAGCTATTGTAACATAAAAAACGATTAACCGAAACGAGCAAGCGCAATAGCTCGACGGCGCTTGCAAAGCTCGAACTGAAACTTTCAGGAATTGATATTTAGTCTAGGCCGGAAGTGTGCGTAAAGAAAATCTGAGCGTCTCACTTGAGGTAGCTCTTCAAAGAAATAACATTGTTTTGTCGAAAAACCGCAAAAAGTTTCAATTTTATGAAATGGGTTTACTTGAAAAAAGCCAATTTTTGTCAAAAAATGAGGATGAAAAATCTCAAAAATCATTTTTAGCCTCTTTTGTAACTCTATATTTCAACGACAACGTGGTAAAAAAAGTAGACCAACAAAAAGCCAGCGTATTTTACCTTCAACTTCCTGCCTTCAGCAAAAAAAAACAACCCCCGAAAAAGGAAAGGCAATTCACGTCAAGATTGCGGACCCGACTTTAGCGGAATAAATAACATCCATTTGGACATGGAGGGGAAAGGAAATCTTATTTGGGTTTCTTTTTGAGTTTTTTCGCTTTTAGCGGATCTTGAGAACGCTTTTGGGTTTGAAAAGCTTATTTTTTGCACGTTTTTTAGGCTTTTACTAGTCCTTTGAAAGTCGCCGTACTGATTTTGGACAGCCAAAAAAAGCTTACTGCACGGTGGATTTTATTTTTTTATGCAAAATCGCTGCGACGCGGGCTTTTTTCATTGCGTCGCCGGGAAATTTGACTTGTTAGAGATAACTTAAAAATTTCTATTAAAAATTTTATGATGAGAATTCTTTTTTTCCGATTTTTTGCCCTAGAGATCCTAAAAACAAGCTAAAAATATATTGTCAAAATTTTATCCGCTCTCCTCTTAAATTTACACAGCAAAAATTCACTTTTTTTAACTTCAAATTTTCTTTCACCCAACGTACAAAAACACCCTCAAAACCCCCATAAATCCCATCAAAACCCCAAAATAATCCATGAAGAATCACGTCCAGCAATCAAGGGCTGTATGTAAAAATAAAACTCTTATCAATTCTGAACCTTCGGACACTCAAATGGCCCCTTCTCTCTTTCCCTCGGCCCCTCAACAGACGCCGCATCTGTTCGGCGGGTTATTTATTTGAGCGCTTTGACCCTCGGCGAAACGAAGGGTTATCAGTGCATTAAAAAATAAAGGAACTATTTAATTGGAAGACTGATATGGGAGATGATGTAAGGAAATGTTTACTTGGGTGAGAAATAAAAGTGCTATGCTATAATGTAAAAAGTAGGGGAGAAAGCAGTTATTTTTTGCTTCAAAAGGGAGAAAAATAAATTGAAATTGATTGCTAATAAAATTTGGGAGCGATACAACTTTCGGGTGAGCGACAGTTGGGGTCGACGATACCTTGGGTTGTCTCCATTTGTCGCTGTATGCTTGGGGGAGGCTAGACGAAGGCTTAGTTAGTAGAAATAATAAGATTCATCGGGTCCTACGATAGCTTGTCATCTATTTTGAGGTACATATTTTACATGTACTGACATCAATAATATCTAGATAAAAGTTTCGCATCTTCTTTTTCTGCAGCAAATTAAGGTTTTTTATATGTTACAATAATTCAGGGTTAAGAACACGAAGCTTACGACTATCAATTGATAAAATTAAAAAGCGATGATATTGTAAGTCTTCGTCACTTCTCCAGAGCCTTCGCCGAACATCCGCCGAGCATCCAACGGCTTTTTCAGGCCTTAAGCAGGCCTTAAGCACCTCCAACAACCTTCTCTTGGTCTCCACCTGTCCTGTGCCTATTCTGTGGTGACACGAACTGTGTTCGGCCCGAAAATTCGGACGCGTCCAAGTTGTTTCCTTCCTACATAATCTTTACTTAAATTTTAATTTTAATTTTTCATCATAGGAAAAACCTCGCCAAGTTCTCATCAACCGAGCCTCAAGTCAGTGCTTGCAAGCTCGTCCAGAAATTTAGCCGCATAAAATTCGAGTATAAAATTTCTGTAAGCAAATTGCAAGGGAACAAAACACTTATTCCACAAGTAGTTGTTCTTTGCGCGGAGTTCATTTTGGCCTAAAAAATGATTTTTTTTGAAAATCTTTATGTAGACTTTGTTGTAAAGAACTTTCACTGTTAATATGTGGTTCCATATTCTTTTCTCAAACGGTTGTTTCTTGCTCTTCCGGAGGCGGCCCGGTCACTGCAATGCATTGGCATTTCCCACGGACGCATTCTCCACGGAATTGTTGTCGGCTCTGAAAGAACGGTGGTTATTAGCATTATTACTGCCTGGTAAATCAGGATGACTTTATGTGTTCATTTCTAAGACATCTCTCAAGGCTGCGCTCAGACTTTTTTTATATTTTTGGCGCTATAAATGAGTTTTAGCAACTTTAATCCCAGTTCATGATAAGCCTTTATTCTTCTTAAAACTTTTGAAAAGGTTGCTGCGGTGTTGTCATTTCAACATCTGGTGGGTGATCTTTTCGCAGCACGTAGCACCGGCATCTCCCGTTCACACAGCTACCTCCGCAGGTTTGCCGACTCTATAATATAAAGCGCCATTTTTGCGCTACACTTTTTACAGACTTTCCCAAAACTTCAGAGAAAACAAAACGCATCCCGACTTTCGGGTAGACGACAGTTCGGGTCATTGCAAACTCGGTCGGGCGTAGAGCTGGTGGGTACCCAGAAAAACGGTTGTTGGAAATGCCTACGAGGCCTGACAAAGCTATTGGACGCAAGGCGAACGTGAAAGGCTCGGCGGAGACTTACAATATGACAACTTTCTATAATTTTAGCTATTGCCAATCCTAGTTTTCTTAATCCTGAGATATTGTAGCAATACCTGCTTTAAAAAATAAGGTCAGGAAGTTTTATTTTTTCAATACATGTAAAATACCTCATTATCAAAATTGGTAAGAAACTATATTAGGATTGGCTCAATCTTATTATTTCTACTAACTAAGCCTTCTCCTATAATAGCCTCCTCATGCATGCAACGACCCAAAAGTATCGTCGATCGGAACTGTCGTTGACCCGAAAAGTCGTAGCGTCGAAGTATAGGTAATCAACTTACATTACTGTAAAGAAAAGAGCATTTCATATTACAAGCGGCATTGAAACACCATCCGTTGGTCGTGGGAAGCGAGCAGAGCAGAGCAAAAAATAACAGGAGAATCTGGGTCTTCATGACCATCTGTAGACCAACAAATGATATGAAAAGTGAGATTGTCTGATCGATCTTCCTCCCATTCAAAAGAATTATAACCCCAAATTTGATTAACTGACTTTGATTAAGAATTATTATGTTAATCTTTGGAGAAATATGATGACTTTGCACAGAAATTCAACTGCTGCAATCGTAAATGTACATACTACAAAAAATTTAATCTTTTTTGAGCAAGCCGACAGAAAATGGGTGTTGCTTTACGCACGTTACATCCATACATCAATACCACATTTATTTTTTATTCAAGCTTTAATTTATTATGGTAAATTTGGAAATGCGCGTAGTTGTCAGAGATGATGACGGTCGGAAACTCATTTTTTCAGAACCGTCTCTTCTTACATCGTTTATTTAGACCAGTTTCGAAACGATTCTGTTGCTAGTACCGTGCCGCCTCGAGATCAGTTTTAATGAAGCAATGACATTCTCCATTCACACATTGTCCTCCCCATCGTTCACGAGCCTGAAGCGGAAATAAACTTGCCTTTTTCTGACCGACATTTACCCCAATTGCGACGCACGTCAAACTGAGGAGTCCGGTGACCGGAATAGACTCTTCGCTATCGGTTTTTCACAATTCGTTTTGATTTCGCAGAGAAGACAGAGAAAAGACGCGCAAAAATGTACTCTCTCGCCCCAAAAATTCCCCATTTCTTCCACGACAAAACGCTTTTTCGCGTTTTTTTTGGCAAATTGCGAATCCATTCACCGAACTGTTTTAGCTTATCTCAGTTTGACGTGCGACGGTCAGATTTTCTGTAAATTTTGCTCAAATTTCCGACATAGGCCACATATCAATCCATGAAAGTTTTAGCTCGCGCTTTGCAAGCGCCGCCGAGATATTGGACGTCCTTTTCTCACGACGGAGTACGAAAAACTAGGAGAGCGATAAGAGAGAAAAACACTTTTTTCCATAACTTTGCTAGTTTCGCGCGGAAAAAACCGATTTTTTTGTAGAAACATTGCCCTCTACGGTAGTAATAAATATGAAACTTTTGATGCCGAGGTTTGACAAAAAAGTCCGTATTTTCCCCCGACTTTCGATCTAAAAATCCCGGTGGTTTTTGCAAAGCGCGAGCTAGGACTCTGGTATATATCTTATGGATAATAATTCTAAATTTGTGCCAAACTTGATCATAATCTGGACATCGCACTTGGTTCACTTCCCTCGTAAACATAACTTACATTGCTCCTCCAACTACATCTTACATTACAGAGGAAATTGAAGCACCATGCGTTAGAGGTGTCTATCAAAGTGAAGAGCACAGCGCAGACGAGCAACGCGACGATAAACTTCATTTCAATCAGCAGAAGAATGAGTATACTCGGTATACAAAAATTATAAGTTTGATATAATTTCCTTTGATATTTCAGGCAAAATTGGATAACTTAATAAAACATTATAATGCTGAGCGCGTTGATTTGTAGTAAATGTTCGGACATTGAGCTTTTGTGAAACAAAGTAGACATGAAAGATTTTCGGAGTTGGCAAAAAATGTCGCATTTTCCCTCAACTTTAGAACCAAAAATCTATGTCGTTTCTACAAAGCGCGAGCAAAAAATCTAGCATATGTCTTATGTAGAAAAAAAAATCATTCAAAATGTTTGCTAACAGGGGAAATATCCCAAATGCAGCGCTCAGATTTTGATGAAACTTGGCACAAATTTAGAATAATTTTTCTAAGACATATGCGAGACTCCTAGCTCGCGTTTTGCAGAAACAACCGGGACTTTTTGATCGAAAGATGGCAAAAATTTGACAATTTTTTCCGAACTTCGGCACGAAAAATTTCATCCGATTTCTACCGTAAAGGGTAACGTTTCCACAAAAAAATCAATTTTCTCCGCGCGAAACGCGAAGTTACGGTCAAAAAGTGTTTTTCTCTTTGACCGCTCTTCACGTTTAATGTGCGCTCTCGGCGGCAAGAATCGTTCAATATCTCGGCGGCGTCCGCAAAGCGCGAGCTAAAACCTTCAGGAATTGATTTTTAGTCCATTCCAGACCTGTATGTAGAATTTTTAAAAAATCTGAGCATCGCACTTGGGGGACTTCCCCTGTAAGTGTCATCAAAATCTTAAAGTACTCGTTAGTATTTTATTTATAATCATTCATCGTGGATTACCGAAAACAAAAATTTTTTTTCATGCGCTTGAGATGCCCTATTCTTTTTGGAATTATTCTGCTGATTGGTACTTTGCTTGCATCATGGAACACACCTAAATATTTTCCATTCACTACCTATCTATATTTGCTATCTTTTACTACTCTGATGATTCACTGCAACGTTTTCTAAATAGTTCAGAACATCTCTTGCAGTCTTTTTTGCAAAAAAGACTGCTTCTCTCCTTTGCTTTCTTTCCTTTTTTTATTTTCCCCCTTGATTACTCCAATGGATTCAAAAACAACAAAGCGACGGAGGATGGAGAAAACAAAACCCATCTTGCGAAGTCATTGTGTAATCTGCTTGTCACTGCATTACATTGGCGCCACTGAAAATGACGTTCTCATCGCTGAGAACTTGGTTCGACTTTCGGCAAGTTCTTTGAGGACATAGGTTGATTAAAGCTTTCGAAATTTTACAGGGGAAGTACTTCAAGTGCAACGCTCAGATTTTGATGAAACTTGGCAAACTTTAGAACAATCTTTTTAAAGAAGAATCAGAAAATTCTGACTCGCGCTTTGCAGAAATGACCTCAATTTTTAGGTCCAAAGTTGAAAAAAATGTGAAATTTTTTATCGCGGATTTTGGCATGAAAAGTTTCGTGGCTATTTGTACAGTAGTGTGTAATATTTCCACAAAAAAAAATGTTTTTCCGAGCAAAACTAGCAAAGTTACGGCCAAAATGCAAATATAAATAGACTTGAAAAAAAGTTTTTTTTTCACCCCAACTCAACCATCTTCCATTTTCAGCTTGTTTCCCCACGATTCTCGCAATTAGTTCGAATCCGAATCAAGCAAAAGACGATTCAAGTCCTTCTGGACCGCCGCAGATTCAGACTGGTCCTTGAAGACACTGAATATGACGTCTCTTCCTTCGCAGTCCTACAATTCTTCGTCTCGGCATTCCTAAGCTCCGAAGGTACAGAGACGGTCCTGTTCTATGCGGATGATCCAGAAATGCCAGAGAGTTGGGTGAACTCGAGGAATGTCGGGCGAATCGGAAGGCTGTTTGCAGGTAAGTTATAAAAATGCTTTGCTTTTTCTGGGTATTAACTTGATTATCTCGTATAATCAAAAATTAAAGAGAGTTGTGACAGTGGCGGACCGGACCCAGTGGCAAAAAACGTTCCATTTTGACTCCGGGAAGTATCAAAAATGTGGCAAAATACCTCCCTCTCCGAGTGAAAAGACTCTGATTTCAAAAGCCCGCCCTTATCCTTATAGTTAAAAAAGCAGGCCCGCCATTGAAATTTTTGCCTTTTCATTGGAAGTGGAGGCATTTTGCTGCTTTTTTGATACTTCCTGGATGCAAAACGGTACGTTTTTTGCCAATGGGTCAGGTTCGATGCTCTAACAAGTCTCTGTAATTTGGGGACGCCTACAGTGTCGGAGCTGATCCAGTGGCAAAAAACGTTACATTTTGCATCCGGGAAGTATCAAAAAATGCGGCAAAACACCTCCTTCTCCAAGTGAAAAAAAACCCCGATTTCAAAAGCTTGCCTTTCAAAACGAATTTTTTTATTTGGAGAGGGAGACATTTTGCTGCATTTTTTGACACTTTCCTGATGCAAAATGGAACATTTTTTGCCACTGGATCAGGTCCGTCACTGTATGTTTCATTTTAGAGAAGCTGACAAACGCCAAATTTCAACTGCGATGTCCTCATTACTTCCCTGGCTGTCGAGCACGGCTGTACCCTCTATTTGAAGCCATTTCCCCTCGGCTCAGCTCAATTGAATGTCGATTGGAAGGTGAGTGTCCCAAGTGTGACATTTTAAGCATGATTTATTTCTAATTATAAATTAGGAAAGCGTATACCAATTTCTGTATATAAATATCGGGCGGATACCATTTTGAGACCTTTTTGCGAGCTTAATTCTCTTTACTAGCTCATTATTCCTTTCATTTTGCAATTCCAAATTTTGCGACAAAAAAATTTCAGAACTGTATGTCTGGCCAGAAAGCCCGCGGCCATCGGCTTTTGAGGAAATATTGGCAAGGCAAGTATTTTCGCAGTTTTGTCTCCACCCCCTTCGGAGCTAAAGTTTTTGGAAACTTAAAAATTCCATAAAATTCAGATCAATTTGCGACGAAAACGGCCCATTGCTGAAAGTCACACTTGGGGTACTTCCTTTGTTAACAGATATCCGGTTCATCCAGCCGGTGGAGGCGATCGAAGTGACCATTGACTTCCCGGAATACGAGCAGCCGCCTTATTGTAAGTACAGTGACGGGCCTGATCCAGTGGCAAAAAACGTATCATTTTGCATCCGGAAAATAGCAAAAATGTGGCAAAATGCTTCCCTCTCAAAATGAAAAAACTTCGTTTTGTAGGACGCACGCCCTTTCCCTCACATAAATTGCGGGGGCGCGTTTGAAATCGGAGTTTTTTCACTTGGAGAGGGAAGCATTTTTCCACATTTTTTGATGCTTTTCGGATGCAAAGTGGTACGTTCTTTGCCACTGCATCAGTTCCCCTATTGTAGTGACTATAGACCATTCTTAAAACCTGATTTTGCTTATTCCTTCAGCTTCAGATTTCCAACCGCTCTTTGCGATCAAGGCAGAAACAATAAATTGCAAGGCCTGTTTAGCGTTGAACGACTTCTTTTGCGCGAGGTAAGAAAATATAATCATTGTGCCTCTACAGTGACGGACCTGATCCAGTGACAAAAAACGTTCCATTTTGCACCCGGGAAGTATCAAAAAATGTGGTAAAATGCCTCCATCTCGAACCTAAAAAATCCGCTTTGAAGGGCTCCCTCACATAAAGAGCAGGCAGGCTTTTGAAATCGGGGTTTTTTCATTTGGAGGGGGAGGTATTTTGACACATTTTTTTTACTTCCCGGATACCAAATGGTACGTTTTTTGCCACTGGATCAGGTCCGCCACTACAATTTCTGAAGCCAAATTTTTTCAGATACCCAACACAAGAACGATGTAAAAAGTTGACTTGCAGTGCAAATCTGTTGTTGGTCCCATTTGAGGGGTTTTATGAGACGATTTTTGACGAGCTCAAGGCGACATTGCCAAATTTAGAAAGCCTTGAAATTATGGGAAAGGAAGTGCAATCTCATGAGCTGGTCTTGGAGAGCCTAGCCGTTACAGCTGGTTTGGATGCAGAAGTAAGTCAAAGTTATGTATTCCAGTCGTAAATCGCAAGTGAAAAAACATGATTTTATCAGACTTTCCAGCCCAAGTCAACAACTTTTTTTACTTTTGTTGGGGTCCGTTTTTACAAGAGAAGTCTTGAAAGTTCGACGATAGTCTAAATTTAGGCGAAGTTTCATCAAAATTCAAACATAAACGCAAACGGTCCAGCCAATTAATTGGCGATTCTCACAAAAAAAAACTTTTTTGTCGGGGAAGAAATGGGGAATTTTTGAGGCGAGAGAGTACGTTTTTGCGCGTCTTTTCTCTGTCTTGTCTGTCATATCAAGACGAATTGTAAAAAACCGATAGCGAAGAGTCTATTCCGCTCATCGGACTCCTCAGTTTGAAGTGCGTGGCATTCGGCGCTCCTCCTATGTTATTATGTTGTTTCCTCACCATGGTATCCTTGAAAAACACAAGATTCCACATGCAATAAACCATTTTTTCAGTTCAACGCCCAAACGGTCAAAATGATAATTTGGCATGTCCGGAATATCTGCGAGCTTTCCGAATACAAGACCACCTTATATGTCAAGGTTGGCGTCACAACTTCGGCGTGGAGAACGGCCATCAAAACGATGCTTGGTCTGGCCTTCGACAATGTAAATATAAAGAATACGTATGAGATGGTCAAAATTCGGTTCCAACACAAGACCACCACAGTCGTTATTGACATATTCTACGCAACACCAGTGTCTTACGGTTATAATGATATCTAAGGGTGGTTGGAATAAACGGGTTTGTCTATCGGTCTGTCGGGAAAATAATCAGCGGTCTGTCACATCTAATATGTCGGCAATCGCCGTAAAAATTTATGCATATTTCCCTTTGCGAACAGCAACTTTATTAATCGAAATGCAGCGGAATAAGAGCAACACACCTTCTCTAACTTGTCTGAGCTCTCAGACCTGTACATGGCGCCCATTGGTTGTGCGTAACGCAGTAGCAAGAGCACATTCCGTGGTTGCAGGTTCCTTTGAAGGTGTGCTTCATCTGAAACGAAAGCGTCCGGGTCGACGACAGTTCTGGTCAACACCGCAAATGTCGGCTCCCCGCAAGTATTGCCTGCCCGCGGAAAACTTCCAAAATATCGCAGTAATTTTTCCACCTCCACGTTGTTATCCTCAAGCGCGGGTTGCCCGCAAATGTCGGCTGCCCGCAAATGTCGGCAAATTTCCAAAGTATAATATCATAGTAATTTTTCCACCTCCACCCTGTTACTCTCACAATCAGGTGTCGGTTGCCCGCAAATGTCGGCTGCCCGCAAATCTTCCAGGCTGCCCGCAAATGTCGACCCTGCCCGCAAATGTCCCAGGCTGCCCGCAAATGACGGTGCTGGCCGCAAATGTCGGCTGCCCGCAAAGTGGCTGCCCGCAAAAAATTTGCACGCAAAGCGGTTGCCCGCAAGTGTGCGCCCGCCGTCGGCAAACGCTCTACGAAGGCTCGACGGAGATCTTCAATATGTCCACCACTTCTTCTAATTTTGGCTATTACCAACGCTACTTTTCATTACCCTGATGAAAAGTAACGTTGTTGTAAAATATAGAAGACCAAAATTTGCGGGAAAAAAGAAAGATCCGTAACTTTTATCGATATTATTGATGTGAGGCCTGATCAATCTTTTACACCTACTAACTAAGCCTTCTCCTAGCCTCCTCATGCATACAACGACGAACCGACGCGATCCCTAAAACCGTTGACCCGAACTGTCGTCGACCCGAAAAGTCATAGCGCCAAAATGAAAATCAGTTATCAAACCAGTTTAAATTGCAATTCTTTGTACAGATCATTGAGTTTATCTTACTCACCACAGATCGGTTATATCGGAGATTACACTCCGCCGTGCACATCCAATTCACGCACCAAGCGTCGGTCATCGGCGCGGCAAAAAGAAAAACTCCAAGAATAAATAAGATGGTGGACTCCTTCATGTTTCAAAATACGGTGCCTATTGACGAGTGAGCAAGATTTTTGCGAAATAAATCGTTTTATTGGCCTTTATTGAATTATCGGCCATTGCTTCATTGACAAATATTATCTTGATTTATTGAAAATTATTTTGATTATGCTACGTAAATGCAATTTAATTCTCTTGAAGTGAACATATAAGAGTGAAGACAGAAGATTTCGGAGGAAAATTTTGAAAATTTTTCGAATTCACTTTTTTTTCGATTTTGGAGTAAAAATTTTTTTTACTCCCAAAAATGCCAAAAAAAAGTAAACACGAAGTTTACTCCAAAATTTGAAAAAAATTTTGATTTTCGGGAGTAAACTGGGAGTTTACTCGCCGGGGCCGAGAAATCGAATGGCGGCGAGTAAATCTGGATTTTGCTCGCTTCCAATGCCGAATCCTGACTGGGAGCCTCCCAGTCAGGAATCCCGCGATTCCTGCAGTCAGGAATGTTTTTGACTGGGCGGCCTCCAAATCGACATCCCAGTCACCTGAGACGAAGAAACGGGGAGAAAAAACGAAGAGAGCGAGAGAAACGCGTGCTATTTTGTGCTCTCTCTGCCTCTCTGCGCCCTCTCCTCGTTTCCCGCTCTTTCGCTCTCTCTCTCCTTTTTTTGCGCTCTCTCGCTCTTTCTCCCGAAAAAGAGAGAGAGAGCGCGAAACGGAAAGAAGGCGCTGAGAGGCAGAGACAGCACGAAATAGCGCGCGTTTCTCTCGTTCTCTTCGTTTTTTCTCCCTATTTCTTCGTCCTAGTCAACAGTTATTGACCCCTCACCCAGTCAAGAATCGCGGGATTCCTGAATGGACCACAGTCAGGAAGTTTTGACTGTACGAAGAGTCAGGAACCCCGCGAATCCTGACTTGAGCCTCCCAGTCAGGATTCGGCAAAATTTTTCGAAAGTTAGGCGCGAATTACCAACGCAGATAAAAAAATTTTTTGCGCCCAGGGGTCAACTGTTCCCCGGGAGTAAACTCTGGATTTACTCGCCGGCACCTTCGGCGAGTAAATTCTGAGTTTACTCCAAAAAAAGGCGAAAAAAAAAGTAAACTCGGAATTCACTCCAAAAATGGAAATTTTGAAAGCTATTTCGATTCCTACTCGCCGACCCATAAAATTTCTCGATTTTTACTCTCTTTTTCAAAAAAAAGTGAATTCGAAAAATTTTCAAAATTTTCCTCCGAAATCTTCTGTCTTCACTCTTATATAATAGTATAATATTAGATAATTTTAGAGAGACGCAAAAAACTTGTCGAATACTTTCGAAATTTTCAATGATTTCATTTTGGACTTTTTCAAATTTTCTGAAATTTTTAGTAATTCTGAGCAGACCTCCGACTTTCTTGTTTGTCTCATGGATACTTTCTGATACCTTCTATATGTCTCATGGATACTTTCTGATACCTTCTATATGTCTCATGGCTACTTTCTGATACCTTCAGTATGTCTCATGGATACTTTTTGACCCTCAAACTTAGTCCAATCCCATTGCCGCTACGACTTTTCGGATGAGGCTTTTTGCTACATTTTTTGATACTTCCGGGATGCAAAATTGTACGTTTTTTGCCACTGGATCAGTCCGTCACCGCACACATGCTAATCATCACAATATTACATGTTTTTTCTTCTATCTCCAATCGCATTATGACTAATCAACACCAGCAACTCATTTATTTTTTCAATTTCAAAATTCATTTCGTCTGTTTTTATTTACTTTTCGAACAGGAAAAGCTGATTAACTTGGGCAATAAAAATCGAAATGAACAAGGATTGTCCCGTTGGTGATAAGTTTAAAAAGAGGCAATTTTGTATTAAAAACCGCAAAAGAACAATTGGAAAATCATGCGTTTCGTCGCTTTCGTCTTGTTTTTGATTGTGGTTTTGGTAAATGTTGCGGTTCAACCGGTTCAGGGAAACCCAGGTGAGTTTATTGTGGAAATAAAAGAGTCTCGGATGATAATTTTCGAATTATATAATTTCCTTTCCCAATTCTGACACTTCATTGGACAAAACTGAAAAGTGGGCGGGAAACATTTCTCTACTATTTCGGATTGCCGCACGTCAAACTGTGGAGTCCAATGACCGAAATAGGCTCTTCGCTATCGGCTTTTTACACTTCCTCTTGACTGCACAGAGAAGACAGAGAAAAGACACACAAAAACCTGATCTCTCGCCTGAAAAAATCCCCATTTCATCGCTGACAGACAGTTGTTTTTTTGGCGAATTGCCGGTCCATTCATCGGACAATTTTAGCGTATCTCAGTTTGACGTTGCGCGCGAAAGTTGGAGCTCCCGAAAAGATGCATTCCACTTTTAACGCCTCGACCTAATAAATAGGCTGTGCAGAAAGCATTGATCAATACCTGAGCGTTCAACTAACATAAAAAGTTTAGCCTTATGAAAATAAAGAAATTTTCTTTCCCGACCTTATATTTTTAGTGACTAAGGCCAAGGCACCTTGTGATCCAGTCTATTGTAAAAAGGAATGCAAGAAGAGAAAGTTCGCTTCTGGAGTGTGCTATAACAATGAGTGCATCTGTGTCAACTAACCTTCGTTTTTAACACTATAAAGTTACGATTACAGAAAAATAAAAGGGATTATATTTATTGGTATTGTATAATGTTATGTATGTAGTATGATCGCAGGTAGATGAAACATTTTATTTATTGATGTATAGCAAGGTTATGTGAATCAAAGAACAAACTTTATTGCTTTTCGCGGCATCGGCACACGGGATACGGTGGATCCGAGCAATAGGGCTCCAAGTTGGCCAGAAATGTGCAGAACTCCAGGCAGTCCTTCATGTTACATCTGGCATTCACCACGGTGGTAGCGATGACCATTGAGAGCAAGAAAATTGCAAGGAGCTTCAAGGAAGTCATTCTTTGATAAAGCGAAAAGACAATTGATACTTTAATAATCGGAAATAAATGGAAATTATATTGGCTCGTTCGAATTTAAAGCAGGGAATTATACAGCTGCCGGGAGATAATTATGGAGGCTAATTGAAGTTTATATGAATGTATTTTTGTGGGAGACATTGATGAGTAATATGCTTTTGTTTAATGGTAATCCGAAGCGAGTAATCAACGGGTATTTTGAAGGGTAGTTTTTATACAGTTTTAATCTGGCAATAAAAAGACTATGTTTGCTGGATCCTCTGGACATTGAACTGAATTATTCAATGTACGGAGACAAGGTGAAACTATAACGAGCCATTTCGCAAATCAAAAGAGTTCAACGGACACCAAAATATCAGCCTGTCGGGAAAATAATGTACACAGTGTCGCTGCACCGATATGATCGCTGAAATCAAAAGCAACTGTTTTGGCCGCGACACAATTCATTTTCTCGACGGCCATGCGATTTTGGATGCGACAGAGCGCTCATTATTTTCCCGACTGATTGATAAACCTCTACAGAATTTGGATCCACAATAAATTTTCAGGTAGTACAAAGGCCATTAAAAAACTTTATTTTGAATTTGCATCTAGCTTGATAAAAATCACGATAAGCCCAATCAAGCTGTCGCCACGTTAAACTGAGATAAGATAAAACGATCCGGGGAATGGACTGGCAATTTGCCAAAAAAGGACGCGAAAAAATCCTTTTGTCAGTGAAGAAATGGGGAACTTTTGGGGCCAGAGAGTACGTTTTGTGCTTCTTTTCTCTGTCTTCTCTGTGAAATCAAGACGAAGTGTAAAAAATCGATAGCGAAGGGTCTATTTTGGTCACCGGACTCTTCAGTTTGACGTGCGTCGTTCTTTTTATTTGCCATCAACATTAACTTCAAATTTTATTTCTTTGAATTCAATTTTTTAGTTTCCAGGCAAAGCCTCATAGTGTTTGCAAATACAATGCCCCTTCTCACAGTCGCCAATTGTCCTTCCATGCTGCAAAAATCAAGATATAAGGCGTGTGCGTTAGTAATTCGCGCCGAACTTTCTCTCTTTTTCGAGAGAGAGAGAGAGCGAGAGAGGCAGAGAGAGCACGAAATAGCGCGCGTTTCTCTCGCTCTCTTCGTTTTTTCTCCCCATTTCTTCGTCCCAGTCAAGATTCGGCAAAATTTTTCGAAAGTTCGGCGCGAATTACTAGCGCACATGCTTTATATCCCAAAAAATCGAGTCCAAAAAGTCGTACCCTCATAATTGCTTTCCCTGCGCACCACCAATTGCATGCTGGCTGTGCGCACCATGCATCCACATTGGCAGAAAAACAGAAGATTAACAAAGACGACAAAAAGATGGAGAAGTTCATAATGTTGTCTGTGGAGTTTTGAAAAAATGGATCAATTTATATTCCACATAAAAGTTATGTTTAATATGTTATTGCATTGATGATAGCGTAATCGAATTTTGCATTAATTCGACTGTTCTTGAACGTGTGTTTTTATCAAGTCAAAAAGAACAAGAATCAAAGAAAATGTTGTATCTGCCACGCTCAAAGGTTTGTCAAAATTTTGTGATTGACAAACCAGACCTTAATATATCTTGATATATTACAAATCCTACATATGAGTAGGGTATTCCCGGGTTATTGAAGTCAATCCACCTCAATGCACCATTGTGAGCATGGACGATCCCACGCAACCTATCAATCAGGTCAAGTATAAGACGCCAAATGGACCCTTGTACACAGAACCGTCGAATCGCAAAACAATTCCAAAACAACCGTCTATTGCATAGACGGAACTGAGATCGAAGGGGTCCCTGGTTACGACAACAACTTTTCTCTGCGCGCGACTACAGAGAAAAGTCTGAGAAAGGCCAGATGACAGATAAAAGTGATACCAGCGATTATAGGAGCACGGCTTCGCAAACTCATCATTTAATAAATATGTTGAGACAGTGGTAGCGGCCGGACGCGTTTTTTTTCTAGATTTTTCCATTTTTGTCGTAACTTTAGTTTGTCGCAAGAGTAAGGCACGCCTCTCTCTCTCTTATCACTCAGACCGTACGCAAGGGCGGTCACTTTTGAGTCTCTCTTCCAGTTTGAATGAGGCCATATTTTGTGTGTAGATGGAATAAATTGTAATTGAAATACTTGGAGGATATCCATTACTGGTAGCAGCGAGTGTAACGTGGGGTTAGGCTTCCTGTGGTGCACAATACTTGCCGGTACGTATGGTAGGCTTAGTCTTTCTGACTGACCCTGCCGTGCCTTGCGGTATTCGGCATTTGATATGTACAGTCTAATGCCCAAAGACTCATCGACCTCACATTACTGCGAATTATTGTTCTAAAGTTAAGGTTTCTCGCTTAGTAATGTTTTTGGATGGACAGGACCGCCGATTTTTCAAGCAGTTGGACCATGCCGTGATCACCGCCGAAGTCATCTTCCTACCGATTCGGGCTTTCCTGGGAAAGCTCTTGAGGGAAGGAAGTAGCGATTGGCACGTTGATATAGATGGGACACGATATAGTTGGAAAGAACATCATTTCTTATCGAACGCGACTATAGCACCTGAGGAACGGCCAACCGATCATCGCAGTTGTTGCTCAAGGAGGCGCCGGCAGCACAGAATACGGAAGTGGTCTTCAGAGAGACAGAACTGAGAACCCCAATGGTGTGGCTGATTCAAACTAACCTCGAAGAGTACGTCGACCTACAACTTCACTAAAAGCTTGAAGAAGTAATTCAAAGCATTGAAGCATGGATAGCATCGGAGCGGGAACCTGGAGCGGATGAACTCATGGAGGTGGAACAAGCCGAACGGAAAGAGCAGAACCTCCCGTAAAAATGAAGCCCAAGCCCAAGAAGCCGAACAGCAACACCAACAGGAGCAGCGCGATATCAATGGCCCTCCAGCCCCAGCAAAGAAGAGTCGACGGAAGGAACAGGATGATGTTCCGCGAGCAAGCCGCAGCGAAGTTTCTGCACGTATTGTTCGAAGAAATGTCCAACAGCGCCGCGAGACTCCTGAACGCCCTTCGAGAGTATGATTTCTGTTGCCTTCTATTATCCTAAGACGTCAGCCGAAAGGCAACTTCAGAGGTCAGCAGAAGCCTTATATAGTAACACACCTTGGGGGGTTTTCGGTCGTAAGGAGCACAGTTTTGATCCACAACGCAGATCTGGATCCCCAAAGTTATCAAGTCGAAGGCCTTCCCGTCGTAAGGGCAACAGCCATTCGGGTCACCATCCTCTACACCCCTAGCGTAAGCACCATCCTCGGCACCGTCGTTTCTTTTTGCTCAAAATCACATCACGGTGACCGAACAAGAAGGCTTTCTATGTGCTTTCTAACCGCCAACCAGCCATTCACAGGCACGCCTCTTCTGCAGAAGGCCAACCTTTGATCTGATTCCAAGCCGAACTTCCAGGTTGGGTCGCGCAGTTCACTGGAGACGCCCCCGCATTATACGGACTCAACCCAAGAGCGATCAATCGTTTTATGGTTTACCACGTAAGGGCCCAGTGAGACCTGGCACTCGCCAGACCCGTCTGGAAATGATAAGGGACATAATTAACTTTCGAGAAAAGAAAAACAAATTGTAAAGGAGTAGGATAGGTGGGATTACAATTTTTTCTCCTCGGAGAGCGGTCGGTTTTTCCTGTCCACCCATGCCGTCGCGGGCACGAAAGGCTTTGCCCTGGGACTGTAGCCATCGATCGTATTGCAGTTCGTACAGTCAATGTTGATCAATTCGAAGCGAGAGGAAATTGGAGCAGTGCGAGAAATCGCTGGAAAAAGGAAACGGTGGAAGCTAATCTCGGGATATCTATGTACCGTTCAGTTCTGGTAGTGATGCAATTGGAATGGACACCTCCTACACACACCCGCTCGGACGCCCCATGATAAGAAGGACCAAAGCGCTATAGCCAGCGATGGAAGGATGTTGCATTGAATGGACAATAGAAACCCTACTGATTCACTCCATGATTTTTACATGTGATTAGTTAAATAAATTAAATTGAATAGGGTAGGCACCCCCACTGTGTCCACGATCCTTCCAAGATATCATATCTATGGTGATGTTTCTTTTGTTATTGTAAGCAATAAACTTGTAATTATAAACACTTCTGACATGACTTAGAAGGGCAACTTTTAAGGTCTGTAGAACTCAACTTTGACCTTCTTTCTTGTACACTGCACGACGAAAATTCTATGCACTTTATGAAAACGATAAAATGGCTGCAGTTCTTTCGGCGACGTGCATTGCGTAAAAGTCAGGGTGCGAGCGACAGCCCGAGAAAGCCTATTGCAAACTGAAATTTTGTTTTCGCACAAAATCACTCCACCGACTTTACCAACGGACTAGCAGTTGGTAAAACCAAAAAGTTCACTCGTTTATTTCCAAACTTCAAACTTTCATCATAAGTCTTTTCTTTCGCCTTTCTACTTTTTCGGTTGGGTCTCGTATGCGCTGCACACGCATTTACCATACACACAATCTCCAAATGATGTTATTCCTCTCTGCAACATAACCTTTGTTCAAGTTTTTGCCGGACATACCTTCAGAGCGGTCTTGCTTTTGCAATACACGGTGCATGCGGCCTTGATGCAGAAGGCGTCGTTGCTGGAGACGCAACAGAGGACAAACAGTAGCGATAGAATAATAGAGAACTTCATTTTGATAAAGAATATTACACTGCATTCACTTTTATGGCGTTTTTCGAATAGACATCGCGTCAAAACGATCACATTTGCATGCACTTCATAAAAAAGAGTATTACTGGGGATTTTATTGGTTAAAAAAGTTTAATAAAAAGATGATTGAAAGGGCGCTTTACATGAACTCACATCAATAATACTTACAGGGGAAGTACCCCAAGTGCGACGAATATATTTTGATGAAACTTGGCACAAATTTAGAATAATTCCCATTGAAGTGTTTATTTTGCAGAAAAGAATAGATTTCTTTCAACCAGAAGTAATAAAAATCAATTATCCTTCCGGAGCATAGCATCTGCAGGACACTCCATCTTTGCAGAATCCCTTCAGCTCAAATTGACCAGCGCAGTAGGTGTTGCACGCCGATTCATCGCACTCGAACGCCATCACAGTTGTGGTCATAACCATGACAAAAACGCAGAGAAGGAAGAACAATTTGGCTGACATTGTAAACAGTAGTTTGTTTCCACACAAACAGCTGCTCGTTTATATATTGCAATGACAAAGGATCACGGCTAATATTGATATTTTGATGTTCCATTCAAAACAAATTTGCCCATTGATAGGGATTCAAAATTTAATTAGTTTTTGATGAATTTGCATGGGAATACAAAAGAAGTGGTGTTGTGATATCCAATGTAATTGGATTTGAAGAAGGCTAACAATAGTTTTTAGGGGGTTTTTGTGTGCTCATATTACAGTCATCTTTTGAACAATGGTGTAAAATTGATGGAAACTCAACGAAGCGGGACGGCCTTAAAGAACGAAGAAACCGAGGATCCAAGTGATGAAGCTGGAATAAGGAACCCACATACAAACTCTAGAAGCTGGTAGCGTAAACGTCAGTGATGATGATCCGAAGAAAAACTGTTGAGAACACTCCAGAGAAACCCCAATAAGTCGGAGCTGAAAAGGGACCCAACTCATGAGGATGGTCCGGAAATAACCGGAAGAGTGGCAACTCATGAAACTGGGGGTTCAAATGTCGACAGCATCGCCGGAGATCAATTTGTGAAAGAATTGACGCCGTGACGAACTGGCACGGTAGACCGTAGTACTATCTTGCCGATAGTACTACGGTCTACCTTTCTAATCTCTTTTGGCGTCGTCTGCCGCTCTGTTTTTGCCCCACAATCAGCAAATGCAGAGAAAATTCAAAATTTTTCATCTCTTTTCTGGCACCTTTTTTTATCACACTACTCCTCTCCCAACAAGTACAGTTCATTTGCAGTTATTTATTCCAATAACAGTGGTTCAAGCACACGACTACTTTGATTCTCTGCCATCTGGTAACGATCTACGCCAAATCGGACGTCTTGTACTTCCATCTTCGCAGAAGCACATATTTTTCTCCTTATCCAATGTACAGGGACCAACGCAGAAGTCGCCAACAACGGTAGAGACAACAACGGAAAGGAGCAGGACAAGGAGTAGAAATTTCATTTTGAAACTAACTAATGTAAGAAACAAGCCTCTTTTATAAATCACAATTTTTTAATTTCAAATGCACCAAAACTTGTTTCGATGTTAATTTTAATGGGATCGCGAGAGTTACAAATCTTACGGCAGAATTGAAATTTTGATATGTGATAGACAAATAATGGTATTTCTGATGACTAATAATCATGGTTTCGCCCAGAGACGCTTGTTTAACATCATAATAAACCTTACTGCCATGATGAATAGACCGTATCATCATTTGAAAAAGGACTATTACCATACCGTCTTGAACTTGCAGTACATAAAGCAAGGGCATTCTAATGACAAAATCATCACTTACAGGCCCTCCGAGTGAAATGTTGAAGCTTCATTTCTGCCTATTCCTGACGCTGATTGCCTTAGGCAACTCTTTACTCATCCCAACGACACTACCCCCGATTAGGCCCGTTCAAGCAGGAGTGCCGCCAGTTTTGTGCTCAAAGATCTGCGTCACGCCAGTGACCATTGTTGGAGAAGGAGGCGAATGCCAGTGCAAAGATGCCGCCGGAATTCAACGCCCAATATCCGACAGAGAAGTTCTGCAAACTCGCATCGCTTGCGGATCTATATGCAGTAGTCAACATATACGGTACACTAACTACCCCAGATTTGGGGAAACTTGCCAGTGTCTGAGGAAAGACCCACCTTATCCGTTGTAAACAATGATTTTGATGGAATAAACCGACTGTGATCTGCATTCTTTTTTAATGAAAATGTGGAAAATATCATACATATATGTATAGGCCAACTAACTAGGGAAGTACCCCAAGTGCGACGCTCAGATTTTGATGAAACTTGGCACAAATTTAAAGTAACTTTTTCCAGGAGATATGCGAGGCTCCTGGCTTGAAATTTTGCAGAAACAAGCGCAATTTTTTTATCGAAGACACTTTGTCGAAAAATGTAAAATTTTTTTGATAAATTTGAAATCAGAAGTTTCATGTTTATTTCTGCCGTGGAGAGTAATGTAGCCACAAAAAACAAGTTTTTTCCGTACGAAACAGGCAACGATATGGCCGTAAAGTGTTTTCTTTTGACCGCTCTCCGTGTTTGGTGTAATCTTTCGGCCGCAAAATGGTTCAATATATTGGCGGTGAAGGTGAAAGCTAAAACTTTCAGGAATTGATACTGGACTATTCCCGGCATGTGTGCAAAATCAAGAAAACCTGAGCGTCACATTTGGGGTGCTTCCTTTGTAAGCGTTGGATCCAAACATTTTTCAAGTATCTATAATACAAAGACGTCTGACATATTTAATGTTCTACATAAAAGTTCAATTTTCCTTTTACAGAAAGATAATTTATTCTTTGGAAAGTGGTACGAGTGTCTGTGGTTTATATCATCAAAGCACATGTTTAAAATAACAAAAAAAGTCGACATTCTGAAAAGACTGTATCACCATTTCAAAAGCCGGAATTATAATAATTTCCCAGATTTGTAGTACATAAATCAACCGATTTAATAAAGCAAATAGGATTAAACAACTTGTCCAGCAAGATGTTCAAGTTGACAGTGTTTGTACTTATCCTTTTCATCGCCTTCGGCGACTCTCAAGTCATCAAAACGACTCTCCGTCCGGTCCGCCCAATCATGATCGGAGTGCCGCCAGTTTCGTGCGCAAAAATCTGCGTCTCACCGGTGGGAGCCGTTGGATTAGGAGGGGAATGTGAGTGCAAAGACGCGGCCGGCAACATTCAAGCCGTATCCGATATGGATGTTCGTAAAAGTCGGATTTTGTGTGGTGCAACTTGTGTCCGTACAAGCCAACGCTACTCCAACTATCCCAAGTTTGGCGAGGCCTGTAAATGTTTGGCCAGCGAGCCGAATTTCCCATTATAAAATATAAAGTCCATTGTGCAGTGGCGGGCCTGATCCTGTGGCAGAAAACGTACCACTTTGCATTCGGGAAGTGTCAAAAAATATAGCAAAATACCTCCCTCTCCAAATGAAAAAAACTCGGGAGTTTTTTTAGTTGGAGACGTCATTTTGCGGTATTTTTTGGTATTTGCCTCAAGCAAAACGGTACGTTTTTTTTTGCTACTTGATCGGGTTCGTCACTGTTGCACAGGAGTTGTGGACTAAAGTTCATAAAATTTCCATTTTAATTATACCTTGAAATAAAACGTTTCTTCTTTTATTGAATTTCGTCTTCCCATAGATCGCATATTTATTCAGTTTTTTGATTATCCCTCTAAATTAAAGTTGTTATGAAACTTTTTTTCCAATTTTGCGATCAAAATTAAACCATTATGCAGATTGCACACCCTTTAATTAAAAGCTTCCGGGTATATATTTCCCGGAGAAACCGAATTGTACATTGTCAGTAGCAATGAAAAAGTGGATTATTGTCGTGTTTTTGATCGCTCTTCAACTATCTGTGTTGTATGCTCAAGAAGAGCCAGATGATGAGCCCGATGAGCCAGACGACACGTCCGATGCTCCGCCCTCACCAAGTTTTGACTGTAGCTTGATCTGTGTAAATCCAGGAGCTGAATACAAAGGCGGGAAATGTCTTTGTCAAAAACCGAATGGCAAGTGGAAGCTGGTCAAGCCGTCGAAGCAAATTAAAAAGCAGGAGAAGTGCCTGAAGAAGTGTAGCAAAAAAGGAAAACGGTCCAACGTTCCCAAGTATGGTCAGAAATGTATCTGTAGCTAGGAGTTTGCAAAGATTGTAAATGTTTAGTAACCAATAAATTGTATCCGGCAAGACGCGCGCTGTTCTGTGCCCAATGATAAAGGTTTTTTGATTTTTTTGCTGTCAATATATTTACAAGGGCCTAACTAAGACGTCAGAAAAAAGCATCCGTAAATTTATCTCTTCTCTCCTGTCGGTCTATGCAATAAAAGTGATATATACTCCCCTACTGTAGTAATAGCTAATAAAATTAGGAAAAGTGGATATATTGCAAGCCTTCGCCAAGTCTCTGCCGAACCTCAACCGAGCGTCCGCCGACCATCCAACGCCCTAGCCAGGACTCGTAGGAACACTTTTTTTGATCCAAAAAGAAGCCGGAATTAACGAAAAAATTTATTTTTTATAGTTAAACGAGTATTCACAGGCACACGTTTTGCATTCAGCTTTTCACGATTATAAATGATCAGTCCCGCCCAGGGCCTTTGACAGAACAGGCAAATATTCCTCCTGTAGCCCGTTTTACGCCAACGAGCTACACAGCTGGCGCAACCAATAACGTTTCTACAATGTGGGCACTGTACAAAATCTTCTTCAATGGCCTCGAGGCAGATGATGCATTCCGAGCCTTCGATCTGCTTGAAAAGCGACGGGATGCCGAGTTCGAGGTCTGCGAAGTCGGAGATGGCTGAAAATCTCTTTTAAATAGATTTTTCAAAGATTTGCTCTGAGATACCATCAAAAAAATCACCATTAAACAAAAACTTACCGGTATCTGTCGATTTTCCTCCAAGGCTTTCAAGCAGCACAAAAGCTAATTGTAAGCACAAACAGAGCCCAGAAAGCCGGATCAAATCTCCTCTACCTTGTGGCATATCACAAGAAGGATCCATTAAAGAAAAATATCTTACACCATGAACAATATAAATGAGTATCTCAAAGCTTGAACACAATTTCAACTTGGTAGCAACCTTTTCAAAGTCTTCGTTCAAGGCATCTTTCTCAAATCTCCATTTCAAGGCCCTGTAGGTTTCCTTAACGAGGAAAATGTTCAGGAAGAAGAAAGCTAACACAATGATCCATTCAGCAGCGGCTTGAAAGAGCTCCAGAGACGAACGCATTTTTTATAAGGGATGCGTGCGTAAACGACGCGGATTTAGTTTATGCGAAAAAGTGTCTGCTTTGAAGTATTGCGTAACATGACAGAAAAACTTGGAAGAAGGGTTGCCGACATTTACCGAAATTACGATTTTTCCCTAGTAATTTCCGTCTTGAGCGGGCTGTTGACAACTAGCATATTCGCAATCAAATTCCAAAATTTTTTACGTTTATTAATACTCCAAAAATTTGAATACATGTAAAATTTGAGAAACTCCACAAAATTGAGATCTTCAGCTAAAATTATTACTGCTTAGAATCTGAGTTTAAGGCCTAAGATACGGAGATTTACGCGAATTCATATAATACATGGCCATCTCCATTGTCCTCGGAGATCTTGGAAGCGGGGGAGAAGTCCAATTTCGGGCGACAAAGCTTTTCGAACTTCTGAAGAGCATTTTTTCAGTTTTTGGGAGAAAAAGTTTCGTATCTTAGCGAACGGATCGACTTACCTCCGAGGTACTTCCCTCCGTGACACACCAGATGTAGATGGCGTAGATTGGGATGCAGAGCATCGAAGAGAGGGACAAGAACCAACCAAAGATGTGGGCCCAAAGCGGGAAGTCGTAGTCGTAGGTGGGCAATCTGACCGGCTTATATTGGAAAAGACCAAAGAGGAAGGTCAGCTGAAAATTTAAATGTTATGAGGTAAAAACCAAAACAACAACGTTTGAATCTCACTTTTAGGGCTTGGAAGACGAAATTTCACAGACGTTTTGCTGTCTTTTGTAAAGGACTTCGCCTATTCGCCCCCAAAACTTACGATACAAACGCAAGGCGTAGCGAACACCCAGCAGAACTTCCACCACGCCGAGGGATAATAACCAATCATCGATTTGATATGGTCGTACCAAGTGTTGATGCCCACACACCAAGAAATTGTGATGCATTCGAAGAAGAGCAGCCAAATCAAGGCCCATCCGGAGGCGGCGTAGAAGTCGAAGATTTGGAAGACGTAGAATCCTCCCTGAAAAAAATTGTTCAAAAATGAAACTATTTTTGAAATTGCGATGATGAACAACAGTAAAACGAATTCTTACATTAGTAACTGTAGCCAGACCAGCAATATAGGAGATGGCGCATATTGCCAGCACAAACAGCTCTCGGCCATAGCGCCGTCCCCTAATAAGTTGGGGGAATTCGTCGATAATGGCGGTGAAAAAGCCTTCCATTGTGCAGAACTATAAGAACCGTTTAATTAAATGGCAGAATGGTTAATTTAACAGTAAGCCATGTATTTCCAACGTATCGAGGAGAAAAAAAACTTTCATTTTGCCTCACGGCGAAAAGTCTACGCACTTTACGAAAACGTTAATAAGTAAAAAAAATTTGCCAGTAGCTTAAAGACGGCTTTAACGGAAATATCGGAAATATTCCCTAGAACTGTCAACAAGCTTACCTGTGAGTCCACTCCCAAGAACAACACCATCGAGAAGAACAACAACGACCAAACTTGAGTGTACGGTAACTGTAGGATTCCCGAGGGATAGGCCAAAAATAAGAGACCTGGGCCGGACTGCGCCACTTCCTGTACCGTTTTTCCCATTTGATTGGCCATAAACCCGATAAAGGAGAAGATGACGATTCCGGCGAACATCGAAGTCCCGGAGTTCACGCAACAAACCGTTAGGGCTTGTCGATAGACATTGTTGTTGTAGCTGTTGTAACTTCCCAACGCAACCAAGGCACCGAGACCCAGGCCGTAGGAGAAGAATACCTAAAATAATATGTGAAATAGTATGTATTATACATCTTGTGTTGATCGACAAAGATCATTTTAAAATACGCCGCCGCAAAAAGTTCTATGATTTACTTTGGATTATGCATTAAGGTAAAATAGTCCAATGAATACAGGGTGACCCAAAATAACGGAGACAAAAGATTTCCCGTTTTTTCTGCGACTTATGAAGATTCATGAGTGATTCCTTATTTATACTACAGTACCACGTTAGTGTAGTTTTATATACCGGAAGTTTTGTTGTACGACGCTCTTGTGCCTTGAACCACATCAATATATCCGGAATTATTGTATTTATGAATTGAATACGTTCTAGCGGTTTTAGCTTTATTCCAAAAAAACTGAATTTTTTATCGAAAAAATATGGAAAAAATGGCGATCTTCAATGTTGAGATTGGTACTACCGTAGAAATAAAAACCGTAGCCCAGAAACCTACATAACTGCTTGTTTAGAGACGTAGTAGTCTAGCTAAACAAATGAACTTGCCATTTCTGCGGCTGTAGTACAGCCATGCTCTACACAACACAAAGGAACCAAAATTGAGGGCCAAAAAAACGGCGCAAGGCATTTTTGTTTAGCTGTAACTTTTTACTGCGACATGATGACTCCGCCAAATTTTCGTGGATTATAGAGAAAGTCTTATAGAATATTACCCACTGTCGCTTGTGTTTCTATAACGCCCGGGTTTCGCGGTGGGACCCTTCCAAAATTTGTCTCCGTTATTTTGGGTCACCCTGTATATAGAATGGCAATTCGTCGAAAGATATCTTTTTTCGGGCTAGAAATGGGGTATTTTTGGGGCGAGAGAGTACGTTTTGCGCGTCTTTTCTCTGTCTTCTCTGTGCAATCAAAACAAGGTGTAAAAAACAATAGCGAAGAGTGTATTTCCGGTCACCGGATTCCTCAGTTTGACGTGCATCGTTCTGAAATCTATTTCTCACCTGAGTCAGCGCATCGAACCAGACCCGACTCTCCAGAAGTTTGGAGAAATTCGGTTTCAAATAAAACTCCAGGCCAGTCGAAGCGCCAGGCAAAGTGAGGCCCCTGATCAGCAGGAAGAAGAGCATTACGTAAGGGAAGGAGGCAGTGAAGTAGACCACTTTTCCAGTCCACTTGACTCCCTTGAAGATGCAGAGGTAGCAGACGATCCACACGATCAGCAGATACAAGGCGAGGTCGGTTCGAAGGGCGCCGACTTCTTCGATGCCGGAGGAAACTCCGAGAATTCGACGGCTGAAAATTTCAGAGTAAAATGAGTTTAACAAATTGTAATATATTGCTTTTGCGATATGTTTCAGCAGCGACACTTACTCCCAAAACTCGCGGACTGGCGACTGAACAGCCAAGTCGGCGGCCGAGCAAAACGTGTAATTCACTTTCGGCCCAACAAAGAACTGTTTCTTGTACTCATTCAAGTGGTCCACTGTCAGCACTTTGACATTAAAATAGTCTCGGATTGTCCGATTTGAATCGCATTTTACCGGGTCATAGTCGGATCGACAATGAACTGTGTTCCATCTGAACAAAGAGTTGATAAAAAATCAGCAAAAGAATTGGAAACCCCACTCATTATCGCAATTCCTCCACGGAACATTGTCGTCCATGCGGATCGAAAATATCCAATACGCCAAGGCCCAGCTGAGCACCACGATGTAGTAGATGTTTAGCCAGAATGCCATGACTGCAGCGGCAATTCCAACGCCTTTAAAGATGGGGCAGATCTTGAACATCCCCAGACCCCCCACCGAGACAAGTTGGCCCCAAGTGGTCTCCAAGATGAACATTGGCGCACCGCAAAGCAACAGGGAAATGATATAGGGGATCAGGAAGGCACCGCCGCCATTCATACCGCACAGGTAGGGGAAACGCCAGACCTGGAGAGCAAATTATATTGTACATGATATTTAAGTCATCTTTTTTTAAATTATCTAATTTCAGCTATTCAGCTCTGTTTTAAAGGCTGCAAAAAGGTCAAGAAAACAGTATACGGGCTTACATTGCCAAGTCCGATGGCATATCCGACGCAGGACATGATGAAGTCGACCCAAGAGCTCCATTTGTCCCTGGGAGGGGTCTCTTCGTGATCAGCCTTCACCGGCTCACCCATGCTGGCGTAGTTGGGCGGCGGTGTTATCCGTGTCAGAGGTGCGTCGTCCGTCGTTGAAGACCTTAAAAAGGCAAATTATATTTTTTTTCAAAAATAGGGTTGAAAGGTAAAAAAACGCAAAAGCGCTACGACTTTTCGAATCAGCGACAGTTCGAGTCAACGATACCATGGATCGTATCGGTTCGCCGTTGTGTGATTAGAAGAGGCTAGGAGAAGGCCTAGTTAGTAGAAATAAATAAGATTGATCGGGTCCTAGGATACCTTATCACCTATTTTTAGGTATTTTACATGCACTCACATCAATAATATACCAATATAAAAGTTACGAATTTTCGTTTTTTGTCGCAAATTCTGGTCTTGTTTATGTTAAAAAAACTCAGGGTAAAGAAACCTAACGTGAGTAATAGCTAAAATTAGAAAAAGTGGACTATTGCAAGCCTTCGCCAAGTCTCCGCCGAGCCTTCGCCGAGTATCCAACGGGTTTACCAGGCCTCATAGGCACTTCTACAACCTTTTTTTTTGGGCATCCATTTTCCCTACGCCTCGTACCGATGGATTTTGTGTTGACCAGAACTGTCGTCGACCCGAAAAGTCTGGTCGACGAAAAATTTCACAATGAAAAAAATCGACATTTTCGTAAAAATGACCTTATTTTTTCAACAAAATTGGACACAAAAAAATTAATCAAAACCTGAAAAAAATGTTCTTCCCCGCTAACCAAGCGCATCTACTCTCCAGCCACCACTTCCGCCCAATTCTCGACCTCCCAATAATGGCACTCGATATTCGCGGTCCCAAAACTCTTTTATTCATAACGCCCCGTTCAAGTGGAGCCCTAAGAAATTCTTTGAAGATCCTCGCACATGTCCTGCAGCAGTTTTTGGTCAAGGATCGAGAAATTAAAATTGTGAAAAATCAGTGACAGGGCATTTTGCAGAGAGAAAATGTGATTGCACTGTGCGGAGAATTCGGAATCTTGAATAAGCGAAAAGTATGAGTAAAATACGTATTGAAAACAAGTTTTAAGCGTGTACGAAGCGGAGATAAAACAAGATAGAATGCATGTGAGTCCGTAAAACATTTTTTTTTTCACAAGAAATTAGCAATTTTTGGAGGACTGCACTGTGCGGAAGTTGAACTGCCTCCCAAAAACAAAGCCAAAGGGCTTCGAAAAACAAATGAAACATTCGCTTGGCATCCATAACATGGCATTTGTGATCTGTCCCCATCTGATCTTATTACAAGGAATGCGTCAGGAAAGTCAAAGAACCCCGCCAAAATGCTTTTTTTTTTTGCCTTTCAGAGTAAATTTTTAAAATGGTTGGCGAAAAGAGAGCGATCATAAATCACGGCGGAAGAGCGGCCAATTTGACAATTAGAATTTTTCTCTAATTGCATCTTTGACAGGGCGGCAAATACGCTCGAAATAATAGGAAAAACAGTTTGAAATGGACGGGAAGAGGGGTAAAATACGCTCCGGGCAATAACAAAATGTCGATTATATTGATCAAACGTTCGCGTTCTGACTTTCCGGGTTTGACGACAGTTCGAGTGAATATGTTCAAAATCGATAGATACGGGACGCAGGGCAGCTGGATACCCAAAAAGATGTTGTTGAAAGTGCCCACGACGCCTGGCAAAGCCGTTGGATTATCGGCGAAGGATCAGAGGGGGCTTGGCGGAGACTTGGCGAAGGCGTGAAATATGTCCACTTTTTCTAATTTCAGCTACTCCTAACGTTAATTGTCTTTACCATGACCTATGTAACGTATGAAAGACCAAAATTTGAAGCAAAAAACGAAGATCCGTAACTTTTATCTAAATATTATTGATGTGAGTACACGTAAAATACCTCAAAATAGGTGATAGGCTATCCTAGAACCAGACCGTCATTTCTACTAACTAATTGTAAGCCTTCTCCTAGCCTCCCTCATGCATATAACAACGAACCGACATAGTATTGTTGGCCCAAACTGTCGTTGACCCGAAAAGTCGTTGCGCCCAAAAACTCTTCCTTAATATTCAGCATCTAAACGAGCACAAATATTATTATATTTTATTACAGAAGACCCTATCACATGCCCTACATCCTCTATGCTCGCCCCCAAAACTGTCGCCACTCACGCCGCCGCCGTCACTCTCATTGGCGATGGGGTGTGAAGACAGGCGAACGCTCCGACTTCACCCATCAAAGCCGTCAAACCTATCTCAGAAAACTTATGGAATCCAAAAAGTTATTTTGTCTACTCCGATGATGCCATGCCAAAGATCGAGGGATCTTCCCAAGAAAACTAGAAGATGATTGATTTGAATTTCAGAGACCAAAAAAGATGAAGCAAAGGGTGATGCAAAAATAATGACGAATTTTTCGAGACTTCCTAGAAACTTCAGACGATGTCAGTCTGTCGGGAAAATAGTGAGCGCAATGCCGCAGCGCCAGTCGTGTCGCTGATCTGAACAGCATTTTCATTTTGCCGCAAGTCATTTTCTCAGCGGCGATACTCAGCAGTATCGCCACAAATTTTCTGTGCCGTAACAAATGTCCATGCACCTTATGAAAAAATAAATAGCAAGTTTTACAGAGATCCAGAACGAAGTGAGGGTCTATAAACACCCCAATAGTGACCGATCTGATTCACTGGTAAAAAACGTACCATTTTGCATCCTGGAGGTATAAAAAAGTAGCAAAATACCTCCCTCTCCAAGTGAAAAAACTCCGATTTCAAAAACGCACTCGATATTTTTGTTAGGGAGCCCTTCAAGACGGAGTTTTTTAGTTGAAGAGGGAGGCATTTTGCTACATTTTTTGATTCTCCTCGGATGCAAAATGGTACGTTTTTTGCCGCTGGATCAGGTCCGTCGCTGTAAAACGAGACTTATCATTATAATGAGAGCCATCATTAGACCAAAAAACCTTCGTAGAGCGTAACTTTTCTGTAACGTAAAATTTTTCGAATTTTTTTCTTGTACTTTCTTGGACAGCGTTTGCACTTAATAGGCGTTGGTATTTTCATACTTCCGTATATAATTACAGGTTGTTCTTTTTAAAATTTAGCCATCCCCTTACAGTGAGGGACGGGATCCAATGGCAAAAAACGACTCGTTTTGCATCCCGGAAGGGACCAAAATGTCTCCAAACCCTTCCCTTCTCTAAGCTAAAAACCCCGATTTGAAGAGCCCGCCTTGAAGGAAAGGGCGCGCTTTTCAAAGCGGATTTTTTTCGCTTAGAGAAGGGAAGGGTTTGGAGTCATTTTGGCCCCTTCCGGGATGCAAAAGGAGGCGTTTTTTGCCATTGGATCAGGTCCCTCACTGTACAACCACCAACCAAAAACTTGACGTTTCCAAACTCTCGACCTTTTAATCCCCTCCCAAAGCTCGCATAGAATTGCCAAAAACCCTCTGGACAAACACCAAAAGAAGAAGTTTACAAGCCCAGAAAACTTTTTTATGTTGAGGGATTTTCAAAAAAAGGAAATGAAAATAAATAAACAAATGATTCTTGCAATTAGCCTGCGAGGCAAACGAAGGCATTCTAAGGGGTTTAAAGGTGCAGATGATTGATGATTCTGGGGGAGTAAAGCTAGAAAAAATGATATGAATGTTGAAAAATGGGGCCGATCAAAGAAAAATGAATGGGAAATTGATTAGGGGAAGCAGCCCAAGTACATTGATAAAAGTTGGAACAAATTTTGGATGAGTTTTTCTATGACATATCCGACCACTGGCTCGCGCTTTGTAGCAACGACTGACATTTTTGGGTGAAAAATTGGCAAAAATGTGACACTTTTTTGCAAATTTTTCGATGAAAACTTTTATGCCTATTCCTACCCTAGAGGGTCATGTTTCCACAAAAAAAAAATTATTTTTTTTGCGAAACACGAAAAAATATCGCCAAAAGTGTTTTTCTTTCTGAGCGGTCTCCACGCTTCGCGGACTCTCTCGGCCGCTAAAAACGTTGAAAAATTGTGCTCTAACTCGAAGACCGCATTTTAACACGAATTCTTCTCGCAAAATTGGCAAAGGTACTGTGGAGGACCTGATCCAGTGACAGAAAACGTAAGATTTTGCGTCTGGGAAGTATCAAAAAATGTGGAAAAATGCATCACTCTCCAAGTGAAAAAACTCCGATTTCTAAAGCGCGCCCGCTCTTTTTTTTTGACAGTGAGGGAAACGGAGTGCACTTTAAAACGCAGATTTTTTAGTTGGAGAGGGAGACATTTTGCCACATTTTTGATGCCTCCCGGATGCAAAATGGAACGTTTTTTGCCGCTGGATCAGGTCCGCCACTGTATCTTTCGCTGCTCTTTGCATTATAAACGCATTATTAATTGTCTCGGCTGCAAGGATCGTTGAGTATCTCAGCCGGCTTTATAAAGCGCCAACTAAAATTTTCAAGAATTACATAAGATATGAGACCTAAAATGCGACACAACGTATGCATAACATTAAAAAATCAGAGTTTGCTCTGCGCAAGATTCTCTTATGAAACCGCGGAGACTTTTCTGCATAGAAACCCAAAAATTGAGCAGTATAGACTCCATAGACTCCACATAACGTTTATCTACCCTATGCAGCGGGACAATTCCCCGCGTAGATTGCAATTCAGAGCGATTTCTCCGCACTATTCAGTCAAAACAAGCCATCGCACGATGCGATCCATCCTTCATCCCCCCAGTTCCCCATTCCAAAACGCCTCCGGCCAATTTATGAAGAATTAATTTTCGAAACAACTTATGAGTTCGACCAGCGCTTTTTTTTCCAGCGGCACAAACAAGTCAGCTGTTGGGCAGATCAATCAAGATGAATATGATTTTCTCTTTTCCAATAAAACTTGGGAATGACTAGAGAAATAATTAATCAAATGAACGGTTTTTGAAGTCAATAGAAGCAATTAGGACTAGTTAAAATAGACTGCATTATTTTCGAATATTCAAAAAAAATTTCAAATTTCAAATTTAATATTCAAATTTTCAAAAAATTTTTTTTTATTATTAGCATATAAATACTTTATGAATACAATATTTATTTACAGAATCTCGTCGAACCCGTGTTAAAAATTAGTATAGGTTGTCGAAATAAGAGTTCCACTTGTTGAAATTCGATATCGCCGCTTATTTTTTCGACTCTTCAAAAGTCTTGTTCCACGGTGTATCCGTCAGTCTGAAAGCAAAAGTTTGAAGTCTGAACAAGTGCCGGAAATGCATTTTGATCTTAAAAAAAGTCATCAAAATGAAAAGTATTTTTTATAAAGTGCATAGAGTTTTTTCGCTTTCCGCACAGTGCGTCTTAAACTTTCTTTCACGCTTGTCGCGACCGCACAGTGCATTTCTCTCTTTGCCTTTTTGGCACAGTGCAAACCTCAAAAAACTCCGTTTGCACTGTGCAAAATCCTGACAACTCGCTGCGACAAAGTTGAAACTTTCTTTGTCGCAGCGATACCGCACAGTGCAAAAACCAAAAAAACAGTGAGACGCACGGTGCAAGATGCGGGTTCTTTTGAGCATGCGCTATCTGAAATTTTTCTGAAAATCATAGGCGCAGCTCGGAGAATTTGCATGGGCGCAGCTCGCGTCTTGGGCGCAGCTCGAAAACAAGCCGAAACTTAGCTCCGGCGAGCTGCGAAACGTTGTTTTCCGAGCTGCCCTCGAGATGCGAGCTGCGCCCGTGCCAGTTTTATCAGCTGCGCCCTACCATTTTCAGCTAAATTTCAGCAAACTTTCAGATAGCACATTGGCCCCGGGGCAGATCAAGACATGCACTTTATGAAAATAGTGAAATCAATACAGAAATATGTGCCTCATTGAAAAATGAGACAAATAAAAAGTATCAAAAGGTATCCCACAAATCCTATCACACACAAAAAACTCAACACAATATACAAAAAGAATACCGCACAAAAATAAAAAAAAAACAAAGATAGCATTATTACTGTTATCAACAAAAACAACAACAAAATCTCAAAAAAGTTAGTGCAATTAGTAATGTCGGTGAAGTGAAATGTGACGATACCCGTGTTGTCGGCAGGTAAATGGAAAAGGCAAACAGAAAAGTGCGAACTTAGGTTAGTACCGGTTAGTAGAGCCAAGAGGGCTTACATTGAGGTAGCTGAAAATAAAAGATGACAATAAATTTTGCTTAAAAAAAATTTTTTTGGAGAAGTTTGAGAATAGAAAGAAGATTGTAAAATACGAGAAAGTTATTCACCATTTTTATTATTTTTTTATCACTGTTACTCTGAAAACCTTCAAAATATTGATAAAATGCTTTGTGACATTTTTTTCCAAAAAATTTGTCTTTGTCACTGCACCGTGCAGATTGTTAAAACTGTGTTTTATGAGCTCAAACACATCAACAAGTCGTATTTTACAACCTTCCGTGACTTTTTTTATCTCCTTGCTTCATTCTCCATCTTTTTTCATTTTGAAAATTCTTTCATTTTCTCCATTTTTATATACACCATGACCCGTGTTAGTATACACACAAAAAAGCAAAAAAAATCAAAAACAAAAAAAGTGAAATCATATGTAAAATAAGCACAGCAGCCAATCAGACCAAGGCATCGTATGTTTGGGTGCCTTCGGACAAGTATAAAAGAGATTCATTTACATTGCGAGCATATTTGCGCGTATAGATCGCCGACATCATGGTCCATTTGAAGGTCATCCAGAACCACACCGCCGTAATCCACAGGTTCTCGCCTTGGAGCCCCTCATGATCAATGGTCTGGCCTTTGACTCCGGCGATCACCAGCGACGCAATCATTCCACAGAGCGCGAGAACGCAGAGGATTGTGTCTGAAAATAGAGTTTTTTCTGGATACTGTAGGTAAGGCTCAGTAAAAGTAAGAAGTTGCTGTGGATAGCAGTATAAAAAGGTCAGCGAACTTTGCGGAAGAGAGAATATGAAAAATGCGGAGAAAGTTTAGAGTCTAAAATATAGTGACGGTATTTGATCCAGTGGCAAAAAACATATCATTTTGCATCCGGGAAGCATCAAAAAATGTAGCAAAATGCCTCCCTCTCATACTAAAAAACTCTGTTTTGAAAGAAAGAACAGGCGCGCTTTGGAAAGTCGGAGTTCTTTCACTTGGAGAGGGAGGTATTTTGCTACATTTTTTGATACTTCCCGGATGCAAAATGATAGGTTTTTTCCAGTGAATCAGGTCCGCCACTGTGTCTAAGAGCCAGATTTTACGCATTTCATAGAGCTTGCATCAATTGTATAGACTATGTCACAATCTAACTTGCATTTCAATAAAATAGAACGTTATTTTTTGAAAAGGAAGCAAGGCTTGTTCCGGATAGTCACGGGATCTAATCTTGGACATCAAATAGCTTCCATTTAACATGCTGTAGCCATTATCTTTATAGCTTTTGGGCAAAGGGGAATATATTTTTGTTGGATCGTTGCACTGTACAATAGGGCTACGCCTATTACTTGCAAATTTTGGCGCAAAGGTTCCACACAAAATCTCAGTACTTTCTGCAAAACGAGGCATCTCACATGCGGCTCCAAAAACGTTTTAAAATGTCGCGTTCTGCTTTATCGCGCAGTGCTAGAGAACTTTTTTCGATATCAAGTGCTACATAGTAATGTAGGGTCATTGACGGATTTTAAAACTTACTAATAATAATAGAAGCTTTAATTTTGCCACTCGACCATTGTAGCATCCATTGTTTATGGTAGGCCCAATGTGTGTAAAACGCAAAGGCTGCGCAAACTGAGCTGAAGTAGGCCAAAGTCGTCGCACTGACGTTCTGAAAGATGGAAGCAAACTATATTCACGTATTTTAAAAACACTATTTTTTAGCTTATTGTTAATTTGAAACTCAACTAAACAGCAAAAATTTGGGTTATTTTTGAATTTCAATTATGCTTTTTTTTTGTTAAACTAATGATCTAAAAATAGCAAAAATGTCAAAAACGTACTCCATACATGATCCAGAAGCAGGTTCCAGCCAAAATACCGCAGAAAATTCCAATGCCCGCCAGGATTAATCGCACTTTCATGCCGGTCTGCATGATGATTTGTGTGGTTTGAGGGCTCCTGAAATTGCATAAGCTAAGTGAAGATATACCTTTTCGCATTTCACAATACACACGATATCTTCTAACGCAAAATATTCTTATTTTTCTATTGTAAAGACCCAAGCTACTGCAACTGCAATTTTTCAACAAAAAATCTCGATTTTCCGCTTAAAAATCAAGTTACCGTAGCAACGGTTCAAATCATGATAACGCCGCGATCCCTTAACAGTTCAGAAAAATAAGACCGCTGAATGAGCTCTTTATATATGTGCACGCCTTGTCGTAACTGATAAGAATTTCCCCCCTCTTTACATCATCTCACTGGGAATGATTTGCTGGGAATGCGAAAGGAACCGGGATTCCAAAATGCAGCGTGAATTTTTTGAGGAACGGCGGAAGAAATTTGAATGTAATCACACAATTTTAGTTGAGATAAAAAATAATGAGGAAAGTTGTAGAGGAATTTTGAAGGGAGAAGATTAGATCTTTTTACTGTATTCCAAGAATCTGACGCTGTTAGAGAGACAGTACAGCTACTTTAATTTAATTTTTTATTGTATTTTATGGCTTGAAAAAAATGTTCAAAATATTGCTTTTCCTGTTATACCATATGCCTGGGGGATCTGATCCAGGGTCAAAAACGTACCATTTTCCATCCAGGAAGCATAAAAATGTGGCAAAATACCTCCCTCTCCAAGTGAAAAAAACCCAGATTCCAAAAGCGCGACCTTTTTTCAGTTTTGGAGGCATCTTGTGACATTTTTTTTTTTGATTCTTCCCGGATGCAAAACGGAATGTTTTTTGCCACTGGATCAGGTCCCCGACTGTACATAACAAAAATAAAAAATTATGGTGACGTTCCGCATATGATATTTTATTATTTTCCTTTTTCCCGGCGATCCGCGGCGTTTTCTTTTTTTTGTAGCAGATGACAAAAAATGTTTTTTTGATATCCTTTCCGCAAGCCGTAAAAAACACAATTCTAAGTAGCTGTACTGACCTTCTAACCTTTGAAAATTTTCTTGTTTTTTGACTGATTGTGAGACATTTTTTACCATAGAGTGAAATGTGAAAAGTCGGTGAAACAAAAGCGATTTTTTACCGTAATGCAGCCTGTTCCGAAAACCAAAAAAAAATGCGTCACATTCAGTGTGTTGATAAAACTTCTGATTTCAAACTATGTATCAAAAATCATTTCTCACAAGGAAAGTACTTCTATGGGGTATGGAGTTACAGGTCGAGTCATATATCAAAAAAAATCGCAAAATTTTTCTGATTCTGAATATGCAAAAATTAGCTGCCTAATTTTGGTTTGTAAGGGTGAAAAAATCCTCAGAACTTTTCTCGCAACACCATGAAAATGCGCCTTTTTTACATTGGAACTACTAATTAAGGTGTAGTATAAATTAAATTTGATATTTTGAGGCTTGTAAAGATACCAGAGTTTACTTTAACTCAAAAACAAGCTTTTGATTTGGTAAAAACTTGGTCAAAAAGGCATTTGCGTGGTGTTTCGAGAAATGTTCCGCGGTTTTTTTCACCCTTACACACCAAAATTAGGCAGCTAATTTTTGCGTATTCTGAATCAGAAAAATTTTGCGAATTTTTTGATATATGACTCGACCTGTAACTCCATACCCCATAGAAGTACTTCCTTGTCAGCAAGATTTTCTCAGCATCTATCCCTATTTACAGACAAACCTATGACAACAGTTTGGTGTGTGTTCCGTAAGTGAAAACACATTTTCACCCGGCTTATCAGTAATCCAATTTTTCTTGTTTACAGCTAGCTGCAGCTGTGTGAGAAAAACGAAAAGTAAAATTCATTTTTTAGAGCTGGAAATACGATAAATTTAATTTATAAAAAAACTTTTTTGAATAACTCTCAATAAGTTCACCATCAATTTTTGACTGTAAAAATACAAAGACAACATCCCACTAACACGCCTACAAAAAACAAGAAATAAAACTGCATAAACCAAACTTCTTTTCTCAAATCATCCCCGGAATTAGAATCTTCCGATCGCGATTTACCAGGAGATTTCGCGCATTCTCCACGAGATTAGGGTAGAGAAAATGCGGGGATTTCTTGGGGGGTTCTTGGAGATTCGTGTTTACAGTAAAAAAATGTGCATCCAACAAGAAGAATGGACGTGTTTTACAAACCAAGCACCCAGAAAAAATTGGCAAACCTTTGCAAAGAGGTTTAAAAAATTCCTATTACGTACTAAATACAGATCTATTACGTACTATATATAGATTAAAAAGTTGTTTCTAAAAGCCCACAGATGAATTTCACATATTTTTATCAGCATAAAATTCTGCACTAGAAACATAAAAGAAGTCAAAAAATCCGATGGACTGTTTAGTATGGTATAGTGGATTTTGACAAAATCTGCCAATCTGACGACCCGAGTTCGACTCCGGGTAGACACAAATCACTCAGAATTGCTCGGGAATCACTTTAACGGAGGGAATTTGCAAGGCTAAGTTTATTTCAGGCGTGTTTTACAAACCAACCATAAACAATAAATAGACCGTAGAGGCGTATTTTACCCAGAAAAGAAGCGCAACCACACAAAAAAACTAGTTTTTAAAAAGGGAAGTACCCCAAGTACAAGGTATGTTGTCAAGTTTTCTTTAAAATTTACACACAGTTTGGACATAGGCCACATATCGTTTCCAAAAAATTGTTGCTTTTCGGTTCAAAGCTGAGACCTTCTACGATCTTTGTAGCCAAAAAAGGTATGCGAAACGCGGAGAGCGACCTAGAGAAAAACACTTTTTGGCCATATCTTTGTCAGCCTCTTGTGGAAAAAATAGTTTTTTTTTTGTGGAAACATTACCCTCTACGGTAGAAATATGAAATTTTCGCGGCAAAAAAAGTGACATTTTTTTGCCAACTTTCGATATAAAAATCTCGGTCGTCTCTGCAAAGCGTGAGCTAGCCGACTAGCATACTTCCTCCAACAAAATAATCTAAATTTGTGTTAAGTTTCATCAACACCCGAGCGTCCCACTTGGAGCTCCTCTCCAGCAAATTAAACCAAAAACAAGTGAAACAAATTCCCGCTGTAAAAAAACCAAAGCAATGTGAAAATTCCCAGAGCCGATTCAACGGTCATTACTCGCCCGTTCCATTCCCTTCCCATTGCTTTTGCATTCCTCGGAAAAAAGAGCGCTCGGCTCTTTTTCTCGCCAAAATGAATACACTTCCCATTTCAAAAGGCATTCTTTCTCTGCGGCGCTCTTCAATTCGCATAGTCTTTTTTCGGATAATAGGTTTTCCGGAGCTCATAGATCGCGGTATACAGAAATCTGGCAATTTTAAAGAACTATCCATAAAATAGGAGCACTATTGCGAGAAGATGCAAAAAATGGAAATCCGTATTGTATTTCAAAGTTATATATAATACAAGGGAAATACCCCTAATCCGACGCTCAGATTTTCTTTAAATTTTGCACATATGTCGGACATAAAATAAGTATCAATTCCTCATAATTTTAGCCTTCGCTTTTCAAGCACAGCCAAGATATTCAACGATCTTTGCGACCGAGAGAGTACACAAAACGCGGAGAGCGGTCACCAAAAAAACACTTTTTAGATCTATTTTTTCTACCTTTGTGCGAAAAAAGAAATGATGTTTTGTGAAATTTTTTAAAATACGTATGTTGGCCTTCCGTATTTTGCCTACAATCACTACAAAGATTATTAGTTAGCTGTACTAAATTTGCTACGCGTACAGAAAGTTTCCAACCAAAAAATGGCGACCCAGCACGAATGCCACATCTATCAATCTGTCGGGAAAATAATGAGCACAATGTCGCTGCGCCGATCATGTCGCTGAAGTGAAAAGCAATTTTATTTTGTCACGACACAATTCATTTTCCTTGCGGAGATGCTATAATCCTTGAATCGGCAGAGCGCTTATTAATTTCCCGACGGGATTTATAGGCAGTCCAAAAATCGCAAAGAATCTAAAATGCTCCGTTATCGACAGGTTAAAAAATTTTTCAAAATTTTCAACCCTCACATCCTCCTTTCCCGCCAAACAGCTCAAAAAGAATTTGCATAAATCACCACTTTGAACCAATTTGGTATTCAAAATCATCGTGCGGAAAGGACTGACTCACTATTACAAAGAAACTTCGCGAGGCTTAGAATAAAGGCATTCCAGCGCTGAAGATGAGAAAAAAAGAATTTAATTTTATTGTAAAAGGGTGCCTGGAACGCAAGAGGAGCTTGTTTCGAAATAGGATTTCCTTTTACCGTATGGAAAATGAAACTTTTTAGATGGCATATATACGACAATAAACCAAAAAATTTTAAAATGGGAAGTACTCAAAGTGCGACGCTCGGATTGTAATGAAAGTTGGGCCAAATTTAGGATGATTTTTTGTAAAACATGCGAGAATTTTAGCTCGTGTTTTGCTGAAACGACCGAGATTTTTCAGTCGAAAGTTAGAAGAAATGTGACACTTTTTTGTAAATTTTGCCCTAAAGAACTTCATAGCTAAATATTTCTACCGCAGAGAGTTTTACCTCCAAAAAATCAATTTTTTCCGCACAAAACTAGAAAAATTACGGCCAAAAAATTTTTCTCTGTGACCGCTCTCCGCGTTTCGTGTACTCTCTCGTCCGCAAAGACCGTTGAATATCTTGGCTGACACCGATAAGCGCAAGCTCAAATCTTCAGGAATTGATATGTGGCCTATCCACGCCGTGTGTGCAAAATTTGAATGAAATCTGAGCGCCGCACGAAAGTTTGCAAAAATCCTGCACTTTTTGGCAAGCTTTGGAACGAAAAATTTTGCACCTACATTTCTACCGTAGAGGGTAATGTCTACACAAAAAATATTTTTTTTCTATGCGAAACTGGTAAAGATATGGGCAAAAAGTGTGCTTATCTCTGACCGCTCACGGCGTTTCGCGTACTCTCTCAAAAAATCGTTCATTATCTCGGACGCGCCTGCAAAGAGCGAGCTAAAATTTTCATGAATTGATATATGACCTAGTCACAACGTGTGTGCAAAATTTAAAGAAAAACTGAGCCTTACACAAAGAGTACTTTCCTTGTAAATCAAAATTCCGTCTTCCCAATTCACTCCCTCAACAGCTCCGTTGAGTAAAACGACTCAACGGAGAATTAAAACTACTTAATTTCCCAGCGCGAGAACAGAATTTGACATTGAAAAAGGTCAAATTTAAACGTTTCTCACGCAGTAATAATGAGTGAAATTCGCAAGCCGACTCTGGTGAGAATATGCAATTTAAAAAGCGGTCAAGGCTGGGCTTCAGCGAAGAGCTAGAAATTAGAAAAATTCTTGAAACATATCGAGATTCTCAAGGGGAAATATTTGAAAAAAATAATAAAAAACCTGTTCAGGTTTTGTTCTAAAGTATTAGGAAACAATACAAACAAATATTCATGTATTTACACGAAGGAAGAAGACTTTCGCGTTTTGTTTTTTTTTTTCTTTTTCCCCGAACATCTCCTCTTCCCTTTATCCTTTTCTTTTATTTTTGGAATTAGAAATGGGGGATGAGAGATTTTGCAAAAAAAATTGGAAGTCAAGAAGACCGAGGATGGAAATCAAATAAAAGTTGAGAAAAATCACAAAAGGTGCTTTTAAAATACGAGGCATGAGCTTAAGAGCATTTTCGCTTTCATATGTTAAAAAAACTTCAATTTTCGAAGGTTTATGTTTGTATTTAGACAGGATTTTGATGATTAATCACGTTTCGAATCATTTTTTTGTCAGTTAACAAGGGAATTGCCCCAAGTGCGACGCTCAGATTTTCTTTAAATTTTGCACACACGTTGGGCATAGACTAAATATCAATTTTTCAAAGTTTTAGCTCGCGCTTTAAAGGCACAATCTTTGCTGCTGAGAGAGTACACTAAACGTGGAGAGCGGTCAGAGAGAAAAACGCTTTTTGGCCATAACTTTGGCAGTTTCGTGCGGAAAATTTTGATTTTTTGTAGAAACATTATCCTTTACGGTAGAAATAGGCATGAAACTTTTCGTGCCGAAATTTGGCAAAAAAATGTTAAATTTTCGCCAATTTTCGATCTAAAAATCTCGGTTGTTTCTGCAAAGCGCGAGCTAGAATTCTCGCACGTATGTTAGAAAAAGTCATTCTAAATTTGTGTCAAGTTTCATCAAATTCTGAGCATCGCACTTGGGGTACTTCCCTTGTAAACCATCAAAAAAACTTGGTCGAAATTTTTATCGCATGTCTTAAAAAAACTTAAAAGAAAGCTGTACACAACAAAAAGACGAGATGAATCAATATTGATCAAAATAAATATAGCCCCTACTTGACTCAATATGACATAATAAAGAACGCATTCCTCCGTAACCTCCAAATTTATAAGTGCTGTCAAAAACCGTTATATGACGTTCGATGATCGCATTGAAAACAAAAAAAGGCCTGCTGGAAAGAAAAGGAAAAAAATGTACAACGTGAGAATAAAAGAGGAGAATGACGGTCATATCACTCACCAATTAGTTTTGAAGTTTCGTCCATTGTCTTTGTTCTTTGAAATTCTTATCAGTCATGTGTATTACGTACTACACAATTTGTAAAAAAGATTAGAAATTTCTGTTTTAGTGTTGAAGTTTTTATGCAGAATTTGAACAGGAAGTATTTTTTTGATGGACTCAAAACACGGACATTCTGCGGGCATGTTTGGAAATCAGCCGAGATTTGCTTACAACAGAAGAGTCAAACGATGGATTGGGCCGTTAGAGGTAGCAAACTGAGTTTCCTGGTGTATAAGTGGCCTGAATAGTTGTCATGAGGTTAACCAGGCATTTTTACCATTTTTTTGAAAACAAACTCCCGTAACTTTGAAAGCCGTGGATGAATTAGACTCATCAGTGTCAGGGTGCTGTCAATGCAAAATTTCTGTCATACTACGTAGACTCTTCATTAATTTTTAGACTGTGTTCAAAGCTGGAAGAACATTGGAAGCTTGCAAGTCTTCCAAATCCTGAATAAGTTACGCAATACTTTGCAGACCCTGTTTCGCATAAACTAAACCCCGTATTTTACCTTTTTATAAAAAATGCGTGCGTCTCTGGAGGTTTTTGCAGTCGTTGCTGAATGATTCTTGTGGTTGCTTTATTCTTCCTGAACACCTTCCTCGAAGTGTCCGGTTTGCTCGAAAGCTAGCGAAATAAGATGACTTTTTTGAGATTCTGATGGCTGCGAATACCTTGACTAAAAATTTTTCTTTCTGTCTTTTCACGTATGTTAAAACTGGCCAAAGCTCATAACACTCCGTATTTATACATAGCTTATTTATTTTCATCTTCAAAAGGCTTGAATAAAATTCCTTGCGATTTTACAAAAACGTAATTGATACCGTCGATGGAAGAGCGCACCATGTGTAGAATATAATAATTGATGAGGCCAAAAAATAAGTTGGATTTACTGCTGAAATTGAAGGAAACTGTTATCGGATTCTAAACACTGTTTTTTCAATCGTTATTTTTTCAAAAAAAAAACTTCCGAAGAGTTGTTAGAAATTTATTTGCACATTCATCAAATCAAACAGTTAGAAATTATACATTAAGGGACTTGATATAGTGGCAAAAAACGCATCATTTTGCATCCGGGAAGTATCAAAAAGGTGGCAAAATACCTCCCTCTCTAACTAAAAAACTCTGTTTTGAATTGCGCGCCCTTTCTCTCACAAAAGAATGGGCGCGCTTTTGAAATCGGAGTTTTTTCACTTGGAGAGGGAGGTATTTTGCTACATTTTTGATATTTCTCGGATGCAAAATGGTACGTTTCTGACCAATGGATCAGGTCCGCTACTGTATATGTAAAACCCAACGTGAACACGTCTTTTACCATGAAAAAATATGTATTATATGTAATAGTATATTAGTCTGATAAAAAGATGAAGTCATTTTTATTTAAATAAATAATCTTGGTACCCAAGCTGTCTATCGCAATAAAATTTTGCACTAACATCGAGAAAAACCATTTTTTCGACGAAACTTTGAAATGTACAGGGTGCGCCAAAAATATTGGGACAAAAATCAATTCCGTGTAGCTTTTTTCGGCTGGCCTTGGAATCAAGACTTTTGGCCGTTTTAGCAAGGGTAACAGTCTTGCTATACGGCAACGGTCATGCCAGGGTTGGGGCCTATTGCAAACTTGAAAAAATATTTTAAAATTTTTTGGGGGACCAAAATTTTCTTTTCAAGTGGATGACCGGGAAATCAATTTGGCCATTATTTCCGCTAAGGGAATGTAAGATCCTTCAAATTTATTGTGTATAAAGCACATGCTATTCACTTCGTAACAACGTATGTAATCATGGTTGACGACCGATATGGCGGCGCTGGTCGAAAAAACAAAAAAAATCCCGAAAGTTCGGATTTTTATGTTTTTAACGATCTCAATACCACAGTATCGCCCGTGTTGCTCTAAAATTTTGTGGTTATAGAGTGTGTACATAGGGAATTGTCATACTGTAAAAGAAAATCTACACCTACAAGGGGACAGTTTCTGTATGGAAAAAACTTTATGGTGCGGATTGGAGGCACGGTCCTTCGAAGCTTGATATATTTTGGCAGTTTACTGCAAGTTGAAAAGTACTTGAGCGTAAAAATCGGCGTAACGCTGTACTCTGGACACATGCTGACACAACTGAATTACTTTTAGCGATCTTCAGTCCAAGCTCACTTGACGAGCAACCTTAGAGTAAATTCTACCGCTGTAGTCACTATTTCATCCCCCAGAGGCAGAAGATAAAAGAATAATTTTTCAAAGACGACTAGTCAGACTCTCGTTGTCCTTATAAAAGTATCTCTGATGCCTAATACGCTGGGAACCTTACATGGAAACTTCTACATAAAAATCTTTGATCTTACGGAAGTTTTCTGGAAAACGGCGCGTTTTTAGGCCGACTTTGACGGGCTGTAAAAGATGTAATCGTCATTATAAGTAAAAATCATTTTTAGTGTATAAAAAGCGACCGCTACTCTGTCATATAAAGTGAATTTCTGCCATAGCATGCAACGGTAAAACTAGTGTTTCCAATTTTTATCCATTTTGGGGTCCGTGTCTCAGGGGCCTTAGTTGTGAGCACTTATAAAGGCAGAACAGGTGTCGTATACGACTACTCTGTCTGAAACTTTGAAGATAGATTCTTGGGAGCATTGCACGTTTGCACAAGCGACCACTTTGCTTTTTTACCATTACAGCCCGCAGGGCAAGTAAAAATATGAGTCCCAATATTTTTGGCGCACCCTGTATTTGGCCAAAATTGCTTTTCAAGTCTTTTGTCATCATTTTATCTCGGCTGTCTAGGCAAAAGGCAATCCAAAAGTTAAAATGCTTGATCGCTAGCCTTGATCCAACATTTGTGCAAAATTTCAAGAAGACCCCAGGGTGATATCTCAAGATCTTATTTTGTAAAAAAAATATTTTATACATAGCTATAAAAAAAGGTAAAAAATTACTCGTATCCAGTAAAAAGTTAGTCAGACCCGACAAAATAAGATTTGTTATGCAATAAAAATGCTGTGGAAGTTACAAAAATATTATTATTATTATACTTACACGCTGCATGTCAAACTGAGATAAGCTAAAATGGTCCCGTAAATGAATGGAATAGCAATTCGCCAAAACAGACGCGAAAAAACTTTTTGTCGGGGGAGAAATGGGGAATTTTTGAGGCGAGAGAGTACGTTTTTTGCGCGCCTTTTCTCTGTCTTCTCTGTGAAATCAAGACGAAGTGTAAAAAACCGATAGCGAAGAGTCTACTCCGCTCATCGGACTCCTCAGTTTGACGTGCTCACTTCAAAGTCACACTCTTGTTAGAGAACTTTTCAAAGTTGTTCACCAGACTCTGCACCCCACACTTGCTGACCCTTGCCGGCATTTTGGATCGTTCCGCCTTCTTGGCCTCCTTCTTGTTGATCTTCTCCCATTTCGCCGCCATTTTCGACGCATGGTCGGCGGCGATTTGGATTTCTTCTTTGTCTTCGCCGCCTTCGGCTTCGGCCGCCGCTCTTTCGGCTTCGAGTTCTTCTTTGGCGCGTTGACGTTCGGCTAAAAAATTTGAGACCGTTAAATTGCTCGTATTTTACAATGTTCACCTCATATTTTTACGTTTTATCGACATAATTTTCATTTTTCGTAATTTACGTTTTTTGTCCCTAAAAATACGTTGGAATCCACAAAATTTCACGTTTTTATCCCTACAAATTCATTTGAACATAGCAGAAAAAAAATCAATAAGCTAATTTTGCCATCTTCCGGGTAAAATGTTTGAAAATTATGGAGAAAAAACGTAGCAGTGCATAAAATTTGACGTTTTTTCTCCATACACGACTTTTCTTTTTTCTTCCAATTTTCCGCGAATTTTTCTCGAGTTTTCAGCTAAAATACGATGGATTCTGATAGTATAGACGTCTGATTTTAGTATGATCTATCATTTTACTCAGAAACGATATTTTTTTTACATTTATTTATCTTACCCTTCAGCTGCTCGAACTCCTCCTGCAATTGTCTCTTTTTCTCCTCCGTCTCCTCGTCCGCTCCAGTTCCCTGCTTCTCGAACTTCTCCCTCAGATTCTTGGCTTCGATTCTCAGCTGCTCCAGCTCGTCCAGATTCTTTTCCACCTTGGTCGGCGCCAGATTGGCAATGTTTTTGAACTTGTTCATGAGGTTTTTCACGTCAAACGCATCGGGATCCTCGTCCTCCTCGGAGTCGGATTGTTGCTGACGACGATTGACGACTTCGGCCGTGGATTCGGGTTTGTCCCATTTGGAAGAGGAGGTTCGGCGTTCGGCCTGAAATTTGAGGGGTTTTTAGGTAAATATTCGTTTTTTCAAGTAGTATAACATAAAGATGGATTGTTTTGGCTGTAAAATGATTCGACAATCTTTTTTCAATGCCTCCTTGCCCTTTGAAGGCAGAACTCATCTAGTTTTGGCCGGATTTGCTATTTTTCGATGTTGTACATGCCAAATTTTTGACGTTCTTTGATTTTTTGATTTTTCTTGGACGAATGTTGAATATTATTGTTGTTTAAGATTTCTTACCTGTTTAGGGAAGATTGGAGCAGCGTTGCTGTCGATTTCCTCGAACTTTTTCCTTGCTTTTCCAGCCATCTTGATCTCAACATCAAGTCCACTTCCACCTTCAACTGCGGGCGCTTCTTCTTCTCCGCCCTGAAAGCAGATCTTGTTTTAGTGTTGTTAGAGCTTTTAGAGCCTTGGAGATCTGTTTTAGCCTTGCTTCAGCCTTCTAATTAACTTTTCTTCAAAAATCGGCTTCATTCCTCATGAATAACATGTTATTCATCCGGCGCATTTCCTGAACCGCTTCGAAACTTCGTATCGTTTTCATTGATTTAAAAGAGAGACGAAATGTCGTGAAATTATCGACACTTTTTCTCGAAAAGGAAGAAGAAAGATAAGAAAATGCGTTTTATCGGATAGTGACATTTCGTTTTGAACGAATCACCAAAAAGGGGCGGGAAATTTTTTTCGTTTGGATTGACGTGTAACATAATTTTTCCATAATCGCCCACTCACCTGCGCATTTTTCTTCTCTCTGAGCTTCCTTGCCAGTTTGTAGCGAAGGAATTCCTCTTCAATCTCCTTCTTCTTCTTTTCCGCTCGTTCTTCTGGAGTCATTTGGTCTTCGGATTTGAGTTTGCTCAATTGATCCTTGATATTGCCCAACTGAACGTCCAATTCGACGGCGGTTTTTTCGTACTCAGTGGCCTGACCCTTTTCGAAGCGGTCCTTGAAGGAGCTGAGGGCTGAAATAGGACATTTTTAGTAAAAATCGGGGAGTTGGATATTGTAGTAGGTAGTGTAAGGGGAAAGAATTCTATAACATAAGAAATCAGTATGGTTCACTGGGCTTCCTAGATCACAACAAATCGAAACCCCGGAAATTTTCGAGTTGGGCCGTTTTTCGGCCGCCGAATTTTTATAATGTGTAAAACTGAGTGACCCGAAGGTCTCCCGATCGAAAATAATAGCCATATGTTCGCAATTTCGCAGAGAAAATAAAAATTAAGGTTGAAAGAGGGGTAATAGAAAGAAATTTGGCGAATATCCTTTGTGGTAAAATACGGGAAGGCATATTGTTTTATTTTACTTACTTCCTCTCCTGATTTCGTCCAAATCATTAGCGGTTTTCTCAACTGGGCCGGATTGGTAAGCCGATCCTTCCAAGAATGACTTTCGGGCCTCGGCAATCGCTAAAATACAAAATGAACGATAACGATAGTGATGACAATAAATTAATTGTGAGAGCGGATATACAGTGAGGGACGGGATCCAGTGATCAAAAGTGTTTCAGATTGCATCCTGGAGTCATTCCAAATACTTCGAAATATCTCCCTATCTGACCGAAAATAGCGTTCTTCTGACGAGACAGGCGGGAAAGTTGCCCATTTGGAAAGAGCAGAGAAAGAGGTATTCGATGCCTTACCGAATTCCCGTTTCCATCTCTACTCCTTCCAAAAGCGAAATTTTCTCGCTCTGTCTTCAAAAGAACGCTATTTCCAGTCAGAGAGGGAGGTATTTAGTGGTATTCTAAATGACTCCCTGATGGATTCGGAAGCACTTTTATCCACTGGATCCGGTCCCGCACTGCATTCCGGAAGTCTCCTACCAGTAGTGTTGAGCTCGGATTTGTCATAGGCTTTGACGACTTCATGTTCATCTGCTCCCTCTTTGAAACGATCGGAGATTCTCTGGCCTTTGAGCGCTTCAAGCTCTGATTTGGTTTCCGATTCTTTGCTCTCGGCAGTTTCGACATCTCCGGTTTTCCAGCGATTCTTGACGTCATGAACTGACCCTTTGATTGCTTCGATTTCCTTTTGACGCTCGGCCGCTTCTGCTGCAGCTTTCTCTTCGTCCGTACCCGTGGTGATTCTACAGAGGTAATGGTTATTAATTTTGCTCATCTCACTTTTCCATGTTCTCCTTGACTCGTCCGGCAGCGATCTCTTCAGCTGGCGTCAGTTTCTTGTCCACCTTTTGTGCTTCGGCCGCTGATTGCTCTAACTCTGCCTTTTTCTCCTTGAGCGATCTTAATTGAGCCAGCTCATCGCCAATATTGGCTGTTTGGTCGGCTGAAGAGTCATGATTTACAATTAGAGTAGAAAAGTGATTCAGATATTAGTCGGGGTTGCAACGTGTTTTCAACTTACATCTGACCACTCCATCGGCCAATTTCTTTGGTTTTGAGACCAACGCCCACTCGTCATCCTCGTCAGGCTGGTCATCCTCTTCATCAACAACAGCTCCAACCTGTTCGGGATGAAGGGCCTCTTGATAATGAGCACGGCAAAATAAATTCTCTTCGTGATGATTGAACGTTGTCGGACTGTAATTACGGTCATTATACATATTGTTTGGGAATAGTTGATGACTTTTCTGAAAGGATCGTTGTTTCGATACTTACGTCAGCCGTTTTGAACATTTGCAACATTTAAAGCAAGTGTTGTGATAGGTTTTCTTGGCTGCAACGATCCGTTCGACGTTGTAGACGATCTTGCCGCAGATAAAGCAGTCGTTTGAGGGCTCTTTCGCAGCTTCCTAAAGAAGTAATATTGGTGAACTGAATTTTGTTTTCTTTTTTGCAATGCGTATTTTACAACAAAAAACATAGATAATCATCAACAAAAACAAATGCCTACCTCCATGAAGGCGGCCAACATTTTTTTGCGCTCGCCCTCGCTCTTCAACAGACTCTCCACTTCCTTTCGCTGTTCGGATTCGAATGCTTTGGTCTCACCTCCGCTTTCGATCAGATTCCGAATGGATGATAGTGTATCCTTTCCGACGCCTAAAACACAGCAATATCGGAAGGAATGATTGCTCACCTTCCAGTGAGACTTTCCGCTCGGGCTCCTCCTTTTGTAGAGAGGATTTGCCGGCTTCGAAGTCTTGCTTCATCTTGGCCAATTCCTCTTTTTTGCCCTCCTTGAGGGCCTCGATCTCCTTCTGGCGTTCTTCGTCTTTCACGTTGGTCTCGGCTTTTATGAGGTTCTCTTTCTGCAATGTAATAGGCTTTTGTTAAGCGGATAATAGGGTTTCTGGCAGTGTGAATCTGCTTTTCTATTAGTGAAAGTACTATATGACGCTACCTACTGTGGTGGACCTGATCCAGTGGTAAAAACGTACCATTTTGCATACGGAAAGTATCAAAAAATGTAGCAAAATATCTCCTTCTCCAAGTGAAGTCCCGCCGTTTATGTTATGGAAAGGACGCGCCCTTGAAAACGGAGTTTTTTAGTTGGAGATGGAGGCATTTTGCCACATTTTTTGGTATTTCCCGGATGTAAAATGGTACGTTTTTGCCACTAGATAAGTTCCGTCGCTGTTCCATAAAAATTCTATCAAAGCTTTTCCTGGGCAAGTTTACTTACAATTTTATTGAGATCTCCGGTCCTCCCTTCGATCTGAATTTTTGGCGGAGGTTTTCGGACGTCGTCGTCATCTGAATCCGAGCTCACGGCGTATGGATCCTCGTTATCGGACATTATTATGTATAGGTTTTACCGGGTTTCAATAGAACTTTATATCACTGAAATATGTTCCAATTAGCGATAGAAAAGGTCAAGTCTTATATACTAATGAAAAATCCGAGAAGATTTCGAAAGATTAGGTTGAAACGTAACGAGTACTCTTTGGAAATCAGGAGGGAAACCGCGTTTAGACTTGAAAAAGAGCTTTAGTTTCTGTTTTTTCTCGTTTTTCGTACCCTCAGGCCCAATCAAACACCAGCTGCCAGATCTCGATCGCCCATCGAGCCGCGTTTTATGAATGTAAAAAACATGGGCCTGGAAAAGTCGAAAGAGAAACGTAGTAAAGTCAAAACTTCCGAAATTGCTTATGGGTTCGGTTCGTAATTGTAAAATATGGCGGAGTCAAGTGGTTAAGGAGATTTGGAGTTGATCTTCATGTCAGAGAAGGATGAAAATTAAAATTTTACGGGGAATTTTAAAAGTAGTTACAAATTTTACTGGAAAAACAGTTCACAAGGAAAGGACTTTTATGGGGGCTCCTACTTTTAGACGGCACGTACCTCACACTGATCAAGAATACAGGGTGCGACAATTTTTCGGCCGGACTTTAATTGGTCAAAACTTTTTTAGTTTTTGGGCAAATGTTAAAATTCTTTTTTTCCCTGAATCCATCGACAACCCCATTTTGTTTAATACCAAATATGTTATACCCGTTCATTAGACTACAGTAAAAATTCGAGACAAAGAAAAAGCTCTAATTTTCATATCTGACAATGGAATTACCCCAAGTGCGACTCTCAGATTTTCTTTAAATTTTGCACATGGGCCGGACATAGGCCACACATCAATTCCTGAAAGTTTCAGCCCGCACCTTTCAGGGGCGACCAAGATATTCAACAATCCTTTGCGGTCTGGAGGGCACATGAGTGGTCACACAGAAAAACTTTTTGGCTATATCTTCGCTAGTTTTGTGCGGAGATAGCTGATTTTTTGTGGAAACGGTATTCTCCATGGCACGAAACTTTTTACGACAAAATTCATAAAAGAAGTCATTTTTTCTGGCGATTTTCACACACGCCGAAAAAGCAGAGAAAACGACCGAAATGCCAATAACTTATGAACTAGGTCCCTGTATACATAACAATTTGGTATTAAACAAAATGGGGTTGTCTGAGGATTCAGGGAAAAAAAGAATTTTAACATTCGGATAAAAACTAAAAAAGTTATAGCCAATTCAAATCGCCGAAAATTTGCCGCACCCTGTATATAAAAAAACTAGCTGCCCAATTTCTGGTTCAAGTGTCGAAAATGCCCAAAAACTGGCTCAGCAAAGACGCAATCATTGCAAAAAGAGCCAAACTTACTAACAAATTTAGCCAGTTTTTGTGCATTTTCGACTCTTAAACTCGAAATTGGGTGCAGCTATTTTTTACATATTCTTGATCAGCATGATTTAACGGATTTTTTAAGCTATGTCCCGTTTAAAAGTAGGAGCCCCGATAAAGGTACTTTTCTTGTCCGAAAAAAATCTAGCCCAAGGCTTTCGCAATTCAAATCTTAATCGCTGAGTCAGTGCCGCTTTCTCCTCGGGCTTTCGAAAGAGACGGCCACATTAAGATGAGCGAAATCGAGGGGTAATTGTTGGGAAACTCGTTAGAGACCAGATTCAAATATATCACAAACTTCGACTGGCCCTAAATTCAAAATGAAATTAAAAAAGAGCTGGCTAGCCAAGTATAGCAGCAAACTGAAATATATCGGCTGATTTCTCATGACTTTTAAAACATATTTTCATCGGATATGCACTGTTAGTGCATTCTAAGCTTATCATCAGCAAAAAATATCTTTTTTGACCTTTATTCTATCCAACGTAACAAACAATCCTTCAATCAGATCCTTCCAATCTTGTGACTAAACAAAAAACAAAAGCAACTTTGAAAAGCGCCAAAACATTATCATCATCTCTTCCCGAGAGACGTCCAACGGACGGCAAAACATCCAAATAACCCCACAATGTTATATAAATAATCCACACTTAAGATTAACCCAACGTAAAGTGGGGCGGCCGGACGCGAAAATCCAGGCGTTAAAGCAATCGAGCCGGGATCTGAAGAGATCTCCTTTCGCCTCCCTCGGGGTCTCGGGGGTTCGGCCGTTCTCTGTTTGCCTTGTTTTGATATCAGTGGAGGCGGAAGACATCATGTGGACATGGGGAAAAGATGAGAAAAAAGCGACTGGATCAGGGAGAATAGTCGGGTAAAATGTTCGTAAAGCCGTTGGTATAGAACTGAATAGTCAGTGGGATGGTCAGGATTTTTTTTTGATTAAAATTGAGCCGGCTAACTTTAAGATTACTCAGAGTTTAGTGGGAAGAACTCAGTATACGAAGAATTTTCAGCAATTAAATTTGTGACTAATTCTGCAGATTTCCGAATAATGAGCGTGCTGATTTAAGCTCGATCAACCGGAAAAAATAAAAAGTTTTGGGTGAGAATTGGTTGTAGGGAAATTTCGCTTTTCACGCAAACCACACAGTAAAGAAAGGGAAAAATTTTTTCTCTCTCTGGCCCTCCTTCATGACTTTCTATAGTGTCTTGTCCAAGAAAAATCAAAAAGTCATCCAAAAAAGATGAGCCAAGTTTTCCCGAGTTTATTTACCGGTTACATCTCCTAGTGTCTTCGGGGGGTTTGCTAGTATGATATTATAAATAGGCCGTGCCAGAAAATGTTAGCTCACGCTTTGCCGAAGTCTTGAGGGATCTTTAAAGTGAGAGTAATGAGGAGCCTGACTTTTCTTACGACTTTTTCGGAAACAAAAGATCTTTAGAAGTGTCTTCCACGAAGTTTCGAAGGCTGTGGAATGTTCCGTCGTATTTTACAAAATATAGCAAAATAAATACGTGAAATTCTTTCCCTATTTTGAGATTTTCTGATGCTTACTAAACTGTCCATGCGTTAAAAGTTGTGTAAAAGGGAAACTTCTCCTTATTCTTCAAACAAAAAAGATAAAAATAATCCCCTTTTACCTAATTTATCTCACTGAAAAGGACAATGACCCAATAAACAAAAGGTCAAGCCTATGACGTAACATTCATCACCTTCTTCATCAAATAGCTACCAATTAGAAATCCACCCGACCCATCAGCGTCTCGCCTCCTGAAGAACTTATCCCATCATCCTGAATCGCTGACTCACAATTGAGTGGGAGTAAGTGAGATCGAAAAAAGAATTAAAAAAAAGTTTTTGGGGGAAATCTCTCGGCCACAGAAACTCTTCGTTTTTCGCTTTTCTCAATTCAAAAACAGCCGTGTTCCAGTGGTCAGTCCATTCAACAAAAGAAGGTTTTCGGGAAGAGGAGCAGACGGAGATTAAAATATTCCGGGGCCCTCGTTTTACAATGTATGTAATCTGATCGGCTATGCAGCATTCGGAAACATTGGAATTGGGAGATATGACTAATAGGGGGTTTGATAGTAAGGATTACAGCAAGTACGCCGGGACTTTATGGCGCGAGAAGTATTTATTTCGTCATCAACCTTTATGCAATGGCGACTGGAGTCGCTGAGTCGATTTTCTTTTCTAAAAATAACGATAAAATATTAAAATACACATATGCAAAGATGGAATTATTTTGTAACTGTACAGGGTGTCCAGAGAAATTCCGCGGAAAGTGTTTGCCGATTTCTCGGCGCTCAGGCAAGATATCCAAAAAATTCTTCTTGCATTAGAAAGAAGAATATGGGCGGTTTTTTGCCTAAAAAAGTTTTTTTTGTCCGCTGGAGCGGAACATACTGTATTCGGCGGAGACTTTTGGTGGCTTTTTTGGTCATCACACCAATCTTAAAAGCTTCAGTACGATTTCTGATGGTTAAAAAGAGAACGTTATCTTATTTTTATGTTTACCATACGTTCGGCAATGGAATGGCGAGCTTTCCGTATTGGCGGAGGCCACAACTCAGCTTCGGATAGGAGATGTCCCAAACATTATGTGGCTAGCATTCTTTGCTGATCCCATATGCTCTCCAAAATTTCGTCGCCAGGCCCTGACAGCAGCTTAGCCATCAGTAAACCACTTGGTGCACCAGAAAACAACAAAATATTTTTTGTTTAAACTTCTTTTTGCCCCGCTGTTTCAAAACTGCGCACGGTGCGGTCGGACTAGAGGTGGCAATCGGGCCGGGCCGGGCCGAATTTTGCGGCCCGGCCCGCGGGCCGAAGTGACCAGGCCGGCCCTGGGCTTTTTCAAATTTGCTCAGGCCCGGCCCGGCCCGGCCCGGTGAAAGCCCAGGCCGGCCCGGCCCGGCCCTGTTTGGCCCGATACTGCAAAAAGGTTGGATAAAACTTTATGCACTCTCTACTGGAACTTTTTATGCCTTCCAGCGGGGTTTTACGTCTATATGAGTGGAATTAAAACGTCTAGTCGGCTGACTGGAACAGCCGAACAGGTACCTAAAACCTAGCCAAAAAGTTGGATTGTGTCGATTTTTTTATCCTATAGAAAGTTAGCTATGTAAAAATATGGACGTTATGAGGCTACATGTTTAATCAAAAACTGCGTAGATGCGTTCATTTACCTCAAGGAATCAAATTACAGCGAAATGTTTAAGTTTATCATCAAAAATTCGAAGATTTGCCCGATCCTTGCATATTTGGGTGGGATTTTACATATACATAATCAGTGATTTTAAAGAGTTTGAAAAGGTGGTAAAACAGTATATAGGTCAAAAAAGGTTTGATTTAATATCCATCCAACAATTCTGCTAAGCATTTGTGCTTTATTTTGCTGGTTCAGTATTAATTTGTTTCACTTATCCACCTTCCGGGCCGGGCCGGGCCGAGAGTCTCGGCCCGGCCGACGGGCCGAAGCGGTCAGGCCGGCCCTGGGCTTTTTCAAATCTGCTCAGGCCCGGCCCGGCCCGGCCCAATCACCGGGCCCGGCCGGGCCGGGCCGGGCCGGCCCAGCCCGATTGCCACCTCTAGGTCGGACTTTATCGCTGTTGACGCAACTACCCAGTGCTATACAGTCGCTAAATGCGATTGCATAGCGTTGTCGTCGGTCTCCTGATCCTTTGTGGAAAAAAACTGAAGGCTTCCCGATAGTTTCAGGATCATAGTAAAGCGCTTAAGTTTGGTGTGATGACCAAAAAAGCAATCAAAAGTCTCCGCCGAATACACTGCATTCCGCGTCGGCGAAGAAAAAAATCTTTTTAGGCAAAAAACCGCCCATTGCCTTCTTTCTAATGCAGAAAGAATTTTTTGGATATCTTGCCTAAGCGCCGAGAAATCGACAACAACTTTCCGCGGAATTTCTCTGGACACCCTGTACTACAGATGTACATTATTAAAAGCATACTTTAAATATGCAGATAACGGAAATGACGGCCAAAACCCCAAAGGGTACGGAAACCCCCACAGCTATGGAGAATAATAGGTGACTATGGTTGTCATAACTACTTCTGATACTTCGAAGATTTTCCAATAATTCTTTATGCTGAAAAAAAAAATCATCCTTTTAATCAAAAGTGGGTCATTCGAATTTGGGAAAAATTGCGCCAAAATCAATACTTTTTCCTCAGAAATTGTATTTGTACTTACAGCATCACAATTGGCGCTGGGATCCTCGGCGAAATATGCAAAAAGGTTCTTGATTTTTGGGGGCATTCGAATCGAACAGTGATGATAGTTCAAAAAAAGACTCTGAAAATATCCATAACAGGAATCTATAGGGTACGCAAAAAAATGGGCAAAAATTTTTGGCGATGTCTCGCTCTGGGGCAAGGTATTTGCGGACCCGTTTTGGTCCAACAAATAGCGACATTCAAGCAATATATTGACGATAAAAATGGAGGTATAACTTTACTGCAACTTTTTTTCTCGGAGGCTCAAGTTGACCATGTTCCGATCGCAATTCTCGAAAGTGTGACTTTTGGAAAGTGAGGCATAAATGTTTTTTGAGGCGTTACCAAAACTTCAAATAAAGGTCCTCCAATTCGTTAAGACCAGTACTATCACATATATAAAGGAATAGTGACATGTCACTTTCCATGTCAATACCGCGGACATTTAGACTTGATAAAATATTTTGCCTGAAAATCATTGCCAAGTGTATTCTCTCTCCATTCTATATCTTTTCTCGTTTCAAGAAAGTTCTGGATAATTCTTGACAACTTACAATGGGATAAACCCTCTTAAGATCCGTTATGTCATCTAAACAAGACTTGGATTTCCATTCCGACTCTGTAACATCCACTTCCATGCATTTCTCATCTTTGATGACCACCAGCTTGTCCTTGAAACCATACAACTCGTCACAACAATCAATAAAATCTTGTTTCACTATCCGGAAAAAAGTGTCCTTTAAACTTGCAACTGTTGTATTCTTATTGTTAGTATCACATTGGATCGACACCACTTTTGTATTGACTACAACTCCTGGCTTGTCGAAATTAAAAACCTTTCCATCTTGGACGATTACTGTCCTGAAAAGTTACAAGCAGTGCTTTGAAATGTAAAAAAAATTCAAAGAATATTTGTTGAGTCCAGCAGAAGAAATCTTACTTATTTTTTGTGACTATACGTCCAGAAAAATTATTTCCGTGAACACTTTCGACAGACGAGATTTGTAGTTGATCAGCAGGATCATCAAGTTCTAACACATTCGTCACTCTGCAATAAAGGACTAGAATACAAGAAATATTCAGAAGAGTGGCTGAGATTGCTTTAACTTACCGAAAACTCTGGTAATCAAAGTTGGATTTGTACAGTAGTATGTTCTTTTTATTGTCCGATAGACCAAATAATAGAAACATAACTCGTAAGCTTCCATCCTTAAAGAGATCACATTGTGAGATCAGCTGGATAAACTGGGACACTTCTAACAACTCCATGGTCTCACGGAAACGACCACGTCCGAATACGCAATATAAAATGAATAGATTTATTGCCAATTTCAAAATAAACAAAATTGAGATTTAAAACGGGGTTTTATACAAATTAAAGCATGGAGATTGTTACGGTGACCACCACCGAGTTTAATTAAATTTGGCTCATATAACGCCCCAAGGACACACATCAAACGTGTTAAACGTTGTCGCAAAAATTGTTCCAGGATTACTGTAACATTTCGTATTTTGTAAAATTTCCCTTGTGGAAATGGAAATTGGGACGGAGCGTTGGGGCCAATACTTTCCGCGAGAAATATTTATTTTCGAATAATCTTGACTACAATGTATAATAATGCATTTGAATCTTCAAATTTTGCAAATCAGCAAATAATCGTGTACATGAACCATAGGAATACCACCGGTAGAAGGCTTGGATGGACGTCAGGGCCGACCGAAACCCCCTCGGTTACGTTCTCACTTGAAATAAAAACATTGTATTTTACAGCAGCACACGAATTCTTACTTTTCAGTGGGCGGAATAGTGGTGGGCGGGATAGTGGTGGGCGGAATAGTAGTGGGCGGAAAAGTGTGGGTGAAACGAACATAAGTATTGTCGATGATTTTATTCGTCAACGTGGTCTTGCATCCAGTTTCAACGATTAGATAAATCTGAAGATAAAACATTCATTTTTTGTTGAACGCACCCCAAACGCGGCGCTCAGAATTTCTTTAAATTTTGTTGTCTCCCAGCCTAGGCCACGTATTACTTCCGAAAAAATTAAGCTCTTGTTTTGCAGGAGCAAAGCGCGAGATATAGGACCCATGTAGCTGAGACAGTAAGAAAAATGCGGAGAACGATCACACATTTCTTTCCAACTTTCAGCCTAAAAATTGTTTCTGTAAAGCGCGAGCTAGGAGTCTCACGTATCTCTTCATAAAACTTATTCTAAATTTGTGCCAAATTTCGTCAAAACTTAAGCGCCGCACTTGGAGTACCTCTCCTGTGAACTGTAACTTTACTCGTGTCAACTTACCAACGAAAATAACTTGGTTTGCCCGCCTTTCTCCAAGTGGATTGGAATTCTCTCACAATTCTGTGGTTTCCACTGCTTCATTTTCCAATCAATTTGTTTGCATTGTTCACCATCCTTGTATACAATCAGATGTCTCTTCTCGTCAACTCCGATCTTGTCGAAACAATCGATGTAATCTTGTGGAATCTCTCTCTCGGGAAAGTCCCGTTCGTTTTCGGCATCTGGAATCAGTGTGGGTGTGTGGTATATGACAGCCTTATTTTCGGAGCATGTAATCGAAACTGTTTCGTTCGGAAGAAAGAAAGGTCTCCAATAATCGTACCTGACGATATTTTCCTTTTCATAAATCAAGGCATAGGCGCGCGTGCTGGAAAAATCCCGTTGAAGTTTAATTTTTAAGCTTGCTTATTTTTATGGAGTCCCATTGATCGTGTTATCTTTCCGTTGTCATCTGTTATTGCTGTGGTCATTGACGCATATTTGTCGATATCACTCGCGTTTCTTAGGTAAAGTTCCGTTCTGGAACGGCGAAAGTGATTACAAAGCATTTCAAATTGAATTATGACATCAAGATTATTTAAATACAATCATTAAACTGAAACTCACGAGGTTTTGTTGAACTGGGGATACTGGAAGTTATGTTCGTTGATGTGTGTTGCCTGAAAAAAACTCCTTAAAAAATTTATCCGTCAAAAAGCTAACCCCGCAGAAATTTGCTTACACCATTCTCAAAGAACATCTCGTATGTTGTTAATGAAATCCCATTGTATTTTGTTTGGTCAAACAGTTCGGATAGGGCTTGACATTGGGTTAAGAAGTTGATAATACTCCAGAATTGTGCGTCGTCCATCGTCGTCAAAGACCACCGCAGTACACTGAGGAACAACTTCAATAATACATTCATTTAGCTAATTTTATGCAAATTTCTTTATTTCCATTTTTTTGTAATAAAAAAAATTGTACGTGATTGTTGATTTGTAACGCGGCCGGAATGGAGGCCGAAGTAATCTTAAGCTTGTCAATAGCGTTATCACGTTGCCTTCCAAAATTGGGGTCAGGCCTGTCCTTAGAGACATTACAAATAGATTCATCTCCTCGTCATCCGGGCCAAATTTACACATTACACTTTCATTCTGACAAGATGGAATTCCGGTAAGCCATGATTTTAAAATAACCAAGGTGATTTATATCTGGCGGCAAGGTAGGTATGCCGATGATTTTTTACGCCTACTTGGCAAAAAAAAGTTGCTAAATCTCAGCGGTTTCGGCCGAAAATTATTCTTCAAGACTCTGGGAAGACATAGGAAGGTCAATTCAAGATCTTTTTTGAAATTTGGTCGGTTGAAAGTAGCGCGTGTCAGCTCCAGAAAAAAATATTTTTGTTAAGTAGGCGTAAAAATTCAACGGCATACAGACCTTGCCACCAGATATAAATCACCTTGGTTAAATGGTAAATAAAAAACTTTTTGATTTTTTTTAGTATCAGAACTCCTATCCAACTTCCTCAGGCAGTGGATGGTCTTAAAGTCTTGTCCGTTTGGAAAGAAGACAAGATTGATTTCATGGGAGTCTTTCAAAGTTCCGCAAAGTATGTTTACAGGGTGTGCCAAAAAAATGGACAGAAAGGTTTTGGCGATGTCTGGCTCTGGGGTAAAATGTTTGGGGCAGCCTTTTGGTCCAATAAATAGCGACGTTCAAACAATATATTGACGATAAGAATGAAGGTATAACTTTACTGCAACTTTTTTCCTCGAAGGTTTAAGTTGACCATGTCCCGATCGCAATTCTCGAAAGTATGTCCTTTGGAAAGTGAGTCATAAAATTTTTTTGAGGCGTCACCAAAACTTCAAAGTAGAGTCCTCCAATTTGTTAAGACCAGTACTATCACATCGGATAAGGCTTTGGCCGACTGTTAAGAGTTGTTCCCCCAACGGAGTACGTACTGAACACACGAATTTTTAACTTTTCAGCGTCGTCATGCTTCGAGATAACGACAAAAATCTAAAATTTTGGACGAAAACTGGAGATTTTTCGTAAAGGATGCGCTGCAAAGTCGCCGTTGATCCTAGCTGGCTCAAAAGGCACTACTAGTATAAACCTGTGTCTCTTCTATAACTTCAAAAAGTTTCAAGCCAAAACCTGCGTTTTTGGCGAAGAGCCGAGGGCTCAAAGAGGAAGCGGTGGGTTCTCGCGAAAAGTACCGTGTTGTTCCAAAGATCTGCAAGGATCTCGGTCAGTCCGACTTGTGCTTTCCTCCGTGCCGGAGTCTTTTCTGTCCTGGGTCTACCACTTTCTAGGAACTTCTGGATGCTACGAGAGCGCTCAAATGTATCCGAAGCCCAGGTGACAGTTGTACGGAGAACACCACAACGTTAAACCAAGACAGGTCGGAAAAGAAAAAATAGATTTTTAATCTCTTTTTTTAAAAAAGGAATTTGCAAAGTGACTGCTTTGCGGTCGTAATGACCGCTTTTTCCCTATTCGTTACGGAAATAGCCGTGGGGAGAAACAACTGTTTTTAAATATTTGTATACATTTTTTGGCACCCCCTGTACATGAGAGATTTTGTAGCGTCTTTGATTACAGGCAATTCGTTTTAAGAAATGACCACGTGGATAAACTCGACTTTGGATCATTTGTCTATGACAACTATAGTTTACGTCTTCGATGTCGACGCAACGAAATCACATTTAGGAAGTTAGATGGATCATCAACCAAAGTAGTTACTAAAGATTTCATCCGCTGCGGGGACGAGCTTTATTTGGTTGGTAACGATTTACTTGTCATTGGGGAGGCCGGTTGTCATTATGGCGGCGTTAAAGATGATTGGGAATTCTCTCCGTGTGAAGAGGGTATTGTTCGCTTGAATCAGACAAATGAGTTTTACAATATTGTAAGTCTTACGAAGTGTTTACTTTGGAAGTTTTGCAGCGCTTGGCCAATGCACTGTTCGGTTGTTCAATTAAGGAGAACTTAGCAAACAAGAACATCTTCTTCGGAGTGGCAAATAAGCCTTCAAGCACTGCGGATGAAAAGTACTGTTTTAGATTTTTTTGATGACTTATTTGCCTGAAAATAATCTGAGAATATTATTGCGTCGTTTTCAAAAGAGCATAGACTTTTTTGCTTTTTATCACAAACGCACAGTGCATTTTTTCAAGTCTGCACTGCACTGTGAAAACGACTCAGCACAACCGCGGCGACGAGTTTGAATGTACGGTTCGAAGCCAGGGCAATGTGTGAATTGCACTGTGTCAAATGGGGTTTTCTTTCGCCCAGCCAGATAGATTATGGTTGACTTTTTTTTAATTTCAGGAAGTCCTGCTCAAAGGTTTGTTGTTCACATTTGGGATCTTTTTGAGTCTACTAAAGCTAACCTCTTTGAATTTACCGGCTGTCAAATTTAGGACTATAAGAAGTTAAAAGAACTTTCTGGTCAATATTACTGGCTGCAGTGGAAGGTTCGGATCACGTCATTCATTTTTGGAGTCTTGATCATGTCGGGAATAGCCCCGTTTGTTATTCTATTTAGGACTTATAAAGATGTAAGTGATACTTTTTTGACTTTTACAATACAATAATTGTTTCCATTTAGCTCCTCCGCAAAGAAAGACGACTCATGGAACTTCAATGAAGTCCTTATTCAATTCCCTATACTTTTTGCCGATTTTTTTGTGATTCTCAAATCAATGAAATCTTTAATTACTTGTGTCAGTGTTATGTATCCAGCATGCTGTGAATGAAAATTTAGGTTAATGGTTGCTTGATAGGAAAAGGATAACACAAATCTTTTTTGATAAAAAAGATTGGGGCTTTCCAAGTTCAGCCCCAGAAAAGGGAGTTCAAACCCCACTGTCTTGCCCGTTTCGAACCCCCATAATGAGAAAATTAGAATAATACGTATCAAACCCCCAACGTTGTACATCCAACCCCCTACGTCTTAGATCAAACCCCCCCAGTTACCGCCCAAATTCTTTCTTGTGCTTCAGGCAATGATGATCCGTTGTGTGGAGCTCCGACAGCATCCTCAACGAAAACTTGCTGACGATATACTTTTTCAGATTGGATGAGGAAGTCTCTATTGGGTCATGGGGGTCTGAACTGGAGTGGGGGTTCGTACTACCTTTAGGAAAAAAATAAAATATGACAATAAATTTTTTTATGTTTGCTAAATTTTCATTTTTTGTATTACTTTTTTTATGGTGCGGTCACTTCCCGTTTCCATTGTAATATGGGAAATATTGATATTATAGGTAAGTTTTTTCCACCTGCTCTATACATTGTAAAACTTGTGTACTCCTCGTTGTGCTGTTTGTAATTTGTCATACTTTAGAGCCTCGCTGGTTCACCCAATGGACCATTTGGTTGGGCGTCGTCTGCCTAGCAGGCTTCAATGTGATTACGTGGAGTTTGACAGGTTTTACTCAATTTATCTTAAATGTGAGCATCATTTTAGGGTTTTCTGTCTCTTTTTTGGTAGTCGTTATAAGTTGTGGCCGAAATAAGGAACTTTTACCGTAATGAAAACTGGTTACGGTTTTGGAGGCAAAATTTCCCATTTCATTTGGCGTTGAAGCCGGTAAAAAATAGTGTTTTTACGATTTTCGGTATGGTAATTTCAGTAGGATTAAAAAGTTAGTTATGACATTTCTTCTTCTACATATAATTTTTTTTCTCACAAGGGAATGGTCTGAACTTCCCCCAGCGTTAAGGAAAATGACTGGTACAGGTGGATAGAGCAGGTCGACTTTGGTAGAAAAAGGCAATTTCCAGCTGCAAAATAAGCACCGCCGACGAGAAAATCGACCGAAAGTTCCGAAAAAATTTCCTCTTTCTCTTCCCTCGGAAAAGAAGAGGAGCATCCAGTGGTTTGGTTGGTCGAGTGGATAGAGCGTCCGCTCGATATCCTTTTGGGGGTTGGTTCGATTCCGGGGCAGCGCGAGTGGCTATGATAAGGCTTTAGTGACCAAGACAAACTCTTGCGAACCAAAAAAAAACATTTTGCGATTTTTCGATTTTCTAGAGATCATAAAACACATAATAATAAAGGATTTCTATGTAAATTCCTCCATTTTTTCTGTAAGATTCCAGAACGGTTCCAGTCATATTCAATAATCTAGTCATGGACTTTTTTATGTGTTTTATGACCTCTAGAAAATCTAAAAATTGAAAAATAATTTTTTTTGGTTCACAAGAGTTTATCTTGGTCACTAAAGCCTTATCATAGCCACTCGCGCTGCCCCGGAATCGAACCAACCCCCAAAAGGATATCGAGCGGACGCTCTATCCACTCGACCAACCAAACCACTGGATGCTCCTCTTCTTTTCCGAGGGAAGAGAAAGAGGAAATTTTTTCGGAACTTTCGGTCGATTTTCTCGTCGGCGGTGCTTATTTTGCAGCTGGAAATTGCCTTTTTCTACCAAAGTCGACCTGCTCTATCCACCTGTACTAGTCATTTTCATTAACGCTGGGGGAAGTTCAGACCATTCCCTTGTCAGAAGCCCCCAACAAATGCACTTCCTCAGGTGCCAGTAATCCACGTTGGTCATCTTGCTCAGCCCACCACCGTCGTATCACAGGTCGATACTACCTCAGTAAACCCTACTCCACAAGACCAAAGTCGATCCTCCAACAGCCACGTGGACGATGTCAATCAAAATCACATCTATGATAACCAGATCAACAAAACGATTCAGAGGCCGGATGTCGCGGGAAAGTGGGCGTCTCACTCCGAACACGAGGAAAGAAATTCTCAAAAATCTCCATTGCGTGAGACGCGGCCTTCAAACGTGTCTAACGAATTGAAAATATCCAACAGTGATCCAAATGTTGGGAAGATGATAAAAAAGAAGAGAAAATTTGGCATTCAAAAAGCCAACCAAAATATGCATCAGAATAGCGTGGAAATGGGTAAAACGCAGAAGGACTAGCTGTGAAAGTGTGTTCAAAGCCTTTACCAACGTGTGATGAACAATGATTATATTAGGTTGATGCAAAAGGAATTGCGGATTTTTTAATTTATTCGTATTTTTTTATAGGATAGCTCAATTCAAAAATGGAAAAAGGTATATAGTAGTAAATTTTAAGAGGATTTTTTTGTATATGTGCTATTCTTATAAAAGTTATCAAACGTTACCATAAGTTACCACGAAGGTACCCTAAACATGTTAGTACATTTTAAACCAATTTTTTTACATATTTTTTTGCGGCTTTATCCATTTTTGAAAATATTTTGATAAAATACGTTATATTCTATCAAAAAACAAAAAAACCCCCATTTTTGGCAAAGCGTTAAAACGCTATCCCAAAAATTCAAATTTCAGCAAATTTTACAAATCGTGTCATATCTTTTTTTAATAAGTCCAAAATAAAAAATTCTTTTTGCTTTCGATTAGTAACAACATTTTTAAGGCTTTCGTGAAAAAAGACATCAAAATCTTGAATTTTATTTTTTGGTCAAAAAATGTCAAAAAAATAAATTTTTTTGATTTTGATGTTTTTTGTCACAAAAATCTTAAAAATGTTGTTACTAATCGAAAGCAAAAAGAATTTTTTATTTTGGACTTATTTAAAAAAAGATATGACACGATTTGTAAAATTTGCTGAAATTTGAATTTTTGGGATAGCGTTTTAACGCTTTGCCAAAAATGGGGGTTTTTTTGTTTTTTGATAGAATATAACGTATTTTATCAAAATATTTTCAAAAATGGATAAAGCCGCAAAACAATATGTAAAAAAATTGGTTTAAAATATACTAACATGTTTAGGGTACTTTCGTGGTAACTTATGGTAACGTTTGATAACTTTTATAAGAATAGCACATATACAGAAAAAATCCTCTTAAAATTTACTACTATATACCTTTTTCCATTTTTGAATTGAGCTATCCTATAAAAAAATACGAATAAATAAAAAAATCCGCAATTCCTTTTGCATCAACCTAATAAAAGCACCTATAATTAGTGCTTTATTTATCATATAAAGTGCCAATTTTCAATAAAGAAACATGGCTAACCAACTTGTCTTCGATGAGTATTCGAAATTAGTTTGTGTTGAAAAAAACTATGACAAAAAGAAATCAAAAAACTATTACGATCCTTGACAAAAGTATGTTCTAAAAAAGCTTCTACAATGAAACTTACAATGAGAACCACCTGGTGTTCCCGGAAACCGTCGCAACTTACATGATCATCGTTAACGAACAAATTATCTGCAATTTTGCACTCAAGATGATAAACTTCAAAGACTGACGTCATTTTGGTGCGTGATTTGTGCGGAACGGAAGCCTACGCTTTTTGCTACAGCTATCTCTTGTCCAGATTACTCTTTCCGAAAAGGCGCTTCCGGCCCCACCTTCACCGGCATCTCAAAAGTTTTTTCAATCCCAATCACAACACATTTGGTACTTATTTATCGTGCTTATTAAAAAAAATATGAAGAAATTGGAAGAAAAAATCGCCTTTAAAGGGATAGTCTGCAAAGGTTTTATCAGCGATAGATGCTGAAATTTCAAAGGTTTATAAAGGGTGAAGTTTTGCATTTTCATAAATGTTCAGTTTCTCAGTATATTTTACAGAGAAGGAAGGAACTATTAACTTTCGATTTGGGCAAAAAAATAGTCAAATTTTTATACTTCTTTTTCGGATAGTTGCTTGCTGGCTGTCGCGATGCAGGCGACATGTCGCCTGCATCCTGACTTTTTCTGCACACTTCAAACGCCAAAAATTACTCCAGGGACTTTGCGAACGGACTAGAAATTTAAAGAAAATCTGAGCATTGTATTTGGGGTACTTTCCTTGTTCGCTTTCTCCGACGTTAATTTTTCTCGCCATATGAATCATTCCATCGGAAAAACGTTTTATCATCAGAACTTGTCTTACTGTATAATAGTGCTTGCTACCAACCCTTATCAGGCTTGTTTCCCAACACGAAATTTTCAGTCATGAACCTGCTCCTTGTTGCTCTCTTGATTCCTTGCTCGTCCGGCTATATCAACGACTTCTCCATCAACATCACATACCCTGGAATTGAAGACGAAGACAATACTCGTGTATTCCTAGTTGATACGTTTGGCACGGATGACTTCATCTGGCACGCCGATGAGTATTCCAAATTGGTTGGTGCTGAGCGAACCTATGACGAAAAGAAGTCCAGCAGCTATTACGATCCCGGGCGGGAGTATGAATTCAAATACGTCGATGAAAACAAAGAATCCTGCTACTTGGAAGGATCAGCTGCCTTCGACCAAGTCGAGTTATTGCCATATCTCAGGCGTACAGTGGAATTCGGCATGGTTAAAAGTGCGACTTGCGGAAACGACGCAATCAAGCGCTCTACGTCGTTTAATGGAAAACTGAGAGCTGGGAAAGTTAGTTTCAGACAATTCGTTACACAGACCGTCGGGAAGACATTGGCTGAGGCGTTCAGAAACAGACAGCTTTGTTTGCACATCTCTGTATCGGAGGACATGAAGTAAGTTGAAAATCAAAAGTATATAGGTCAGCTGCGTCACAGGTCAAACTGAGGAGTTCGATGACCGGAATAGACCCTTGGCTATCGGTTTTTTACGCTTCGTCGTTCGTTACTAACAGCTAAAATTAGAAAAAGTGGACATATTGCAATTCTTCGCCAAGTCTCCGCCAAGCGTCCGCTGACCATCCAGCGGCTTTGCAAGGCCTCATATGCACTTCCTACACCCCTTTTTTGGCGTATTCACGTGCCATACGCCCCGTATCGATCGATTTTGTGTGGACTCGAGCTGTCGTCGATCCTAAAAGTCGTGACGCGGAAAATCGCATCCCCGCCGAGAAAAATGAATTGCGTCGCGGCAAAATCAAATTGCTTTTCACTTCAGCGAATTTAGAACAATTTTTTCTATGATCTACGCGAGAACCCTAGCCAGCGCTTTGCAGAAACAACCGAGATTTTTAGATCGAAAGTCGGCGAAAAATTGAAGCTCTTTTCCGAATCCGCTCTCCGCGTTTTCCGCACTCTCTCAGCCGCAAAATTTGTCGTTGAATATCTCGGCTGCAAAGCGCGAGCTAAAACTGCCAGGAATTGATGTCGAGTCTACGCCCGACGTGTGTGCAAAATTTAAAGAAAATCCGAGCGTCGCATTTGGGGCACTTCCCTTGCAAACCTAATCGTCGCGTTTTCAGAATAAAACAAACCGTAGTTGCGGTCGGTGCGGCATACAACAAAGCCCGCCACATCAACGAGGCCTTCAATCACAAGGAATATATGTGGGCGCTTCCCACCACCTACTTCAAAGTCGGCCGACATCGCTACGAGCCCGGCTACAACAGACTGGCCGTTTTCATGTCCGCCTACGACAAAATTAAGCTTCCCTGGCCGTACTTCGACCAAATCGTAGAAGAGTCTGAGGCCAAGTACGACAATGCCTCGGGAAAGTATCTTGTGGATTGTGGGCGAGAGCTACACCTGGAGCTGGGAATAGAAAAGGGGGAATTTAAAATTCCCTTCCATGCATTATTACGGCGGCGAAATCCGCAGGATTCCCAATGCGAACTGCTTTTGGAACATTGGCCAGAGAGATACATCGAAGATGTTCATTTGGGGATTCCGTTCTTTGTGAATAACGGCGTTTGCTTCTACTACCTCAATGGAGCGGCATCAATCAGCTTCTACAATGCAACGTACGATGAGAACAGTCCAATCTTCCCGAATACGTTTGGAACTTATATGAGTGTCGTTAATGAATAAATTATCCGCAAGTTTCGTCATAAAAAATTTAAGCTTAACCTCCTGGTAGCGAGCGATAAGTATACGGCACGTCAAACTGAGGAGTCCGGTGACCGGAATAGACTCTTCGCTATCGGGGTTTTACACTTCGTCTTGATTTCCAGAGAAAGAGAAAAAAGCCACGCAAAAGCGTACCCTCTCGCCCCAAAAATTCCCCATTTCTTCCCCGACAAAACGATTTTTGGCGTCTTTTTTTGGAAAATTGCAATCCATTCACCGGACTGTTTTAGCTTATCTCAGTTTGACGTGCACGGATCTGAGCAATCTGGAAAATTTCGTTTGCTTTCAAAAAATTTAAGCCTTTCAAAATGAATGGTTAGCAGTATGGAAGCTATGCAAGGCATGGCTAATGTAGGTTTTATTTCTTATTGTGTTGACCTTTTTCAAACCAAATTTTAGCTAAAGGTAGAATAAGCTTTTAGCTTTATTGTAATATAAATTTCGAACCAGAAACATCGAGTTTCACGAAATTTTTATGTTGTACTTGCTCCACGTGTTTGGCCCCTCGGTCAAGCTACTATTCCTTGAAATTAGTCCTAATTTTATGGTAGAATTAACCTAGTGACCAGTCCTAAACCTATATCTGTCCATTTTTTGGCGAGGAAGAAATGGAAAATTTTTGAGGCGAGAGAGTGCGTTTTTACGCGTCTTTTCTCTGTCCTCTCTGCGAAATGACGAAGTGTAAAAAACCAATAGCGAAGTGTCTACTCCGGTCAAGGGACTCCCCAGTTTGACGTGTCTCGCACTTTGACCATCCCTTCTAATAATTTTGCATAGTTTCTCAGCTCCAACCAGTCGGAAGATCCAGTAAAAAATGTTTATTATGCCAAGAAAAGTAACAATAAAGGTTGAAGTAAAAACCGTTTTTAAGTCGAAAAACTGGGCTTTCTTGAACAGTGAAAAGCTTCGGGAAAAGTAAATGATAATGCCGCAGGCGAATAACAAAGCGCTTAACAGTTGAAAGGGTGATAATTGACAGGGCCAAACATGATTTTTGGAAATTTGATGACGATAAATTGAGATTTTTATACAAATTTTAGGGATTTTGATGGAAAAGAGAGGGAAATCAGCAAAATTCAGGTGTTTTTACAAGGTTTTAGATAGAATTTGGACAGATTGAAGATATATTAGAGGCAATAAAAGTGTAAGTAGTAGCTTGACAATAGAAAAAGATAGTTTTGAGTAGAGTAAAAGTCAGATCCGCTGGATTTAAAGCTTGCGAGAGGCTCCTTTTCGCTGGAAAGGATTACTGTAAAGCTGCTGGGGTTATAATATAGTAAAATTGAAGTTACAAAGACTTGATGAGAAGGCGTTTTAAGTAGTAAAATTACAGATTTTAGAAGAAAAAGACAAAAAATTTGCAAAAATCGCAAAAATTTTTTAAAAAATTAAAAATACGATACATATAGGGTTGTAAAAAATTACATAATATATAGCAGACTAGTGCCTAAGAAGTTGTAAAGGTTTGCGGATAGGAATTAGACCTAATTACTCTGGAAAAAAACTATTCTCAGCCATCTAAACCCACTTTCGCTAAGAAAAACTCAAATTTCTCCAAAAAATCTCGAAATCTGCTGAAATTACTATCTAAAATAATGTAAAGTCATCTGAACATTGCAGGGGACACGATTTCTCTCTATTAAAAGACGATTTCTGAGTCAGTGCATCAGCCGTCTGTTAGGGGTGGACATAGGAAAAAATCGATTTTGAGTTTTTTGCACTAAAATGGCTGTTGGAAGGTGCTAAGCAAAAGCGAACAATATTTTTTCCCAAACCCTTCATGAAGGTATATTTTTTTACAATTTACTGTTTTAGAAGTAACCGCGTCCAGCTGTCGTATCTTACCTTACTGGACGATGATTTGACGGTTACTGAAGTTTTCGACCCTTGCGATGACGATGGTATCATTATTTTTCCGATTTTCCTACTGTAACATACCGTAATACTGTATCGACCGCTAAAAAACGACCGTAGAATCTTTCTTTCTGAAAATTTCACAGGCGATTTTACGATTTTTGGAATCAGCATAAAATTCTGCTCTAGAGGCAATCAAAAAAAGTTCAAAAAAGCTGCGACAAATTTCGTGGTATAGTGGTTAGTGGTCGGGACTACCAATCCAGCGACCCGGGTTCGAGTCCGGCTGGGTGCGAATATCGAAAAGAAGTCGGAAATTAAATTTATTGTGATTCAGAGGTTGTATATTTTGCCACGAGCAATTATTAATGTCAATGGTAGCTGGATTCGAGGTTAAAACGGGATTTATATAATTTTAGGGGCTCAATACATGAAAAAATAAAAGTGCTTCAAACCGGTTGAAATTGATAATACTTATTCTAAGGGCTATTCTAAGACACTTTCTCGTTAACTTTTTTTGGTAGCTTACTGTTCCATGCACTACAGTAAGATAAAGATTTTGTACTTAAGCGGGATTTTCTTCAAGATTGTTGCATCCAGTCTCGAGTTTTTTTGACTAGGTCGTTCAAACAGCAACGAAGGTCCACTATACGTACACAAAATAAATTTCCGCTTCACTTCCAGTGTGTCTTGATATCATCGCTATCTGACAAAACTTCGTGAAATAACCCGGTTGTTTCAAACTGTGCGGCCATAAAAAAATTTTGTATGCAAACCAACTCGTTATTAACCATCTCTATCAATATGGCGATAGTCCGAGCTGTCTACGCCCCGTGGTATGCGAAAAATAAAATTGGATTTCATGTCACAGTAATCCATGTTACAGTAAGTTACGAAAAAAGTTAACGAGAAAGTGTCTTAGAATGGCCCTTAGAATAAGTATTATCAATTTCAACCGGTTTGAAGCACTTTTATTTTTTCATGTATTGAGCCCCTAAAATTATATAAATCCCGTTTTAACCTCGAATCCAGCTACCATTGACATTAATAATTGCTCGTGGCAAAATATACAATCCTCTGAATCACAATAAATTATTTCCGACTTCTTTTCGGTATTCGCACCCAGCCGGACTCGAACCCGGGTCGCTGGATTGGTAGTCCCGACCACTAACCACTATACCACGAAATTTGTCGCAGCTTTTTTTGAACTTTTTTGATTGCCTCTAGAGCAGAATTTTATGCTGATTCCAAAAATCGTAAAATCGCCTGTGAAATTTTCAGAAAGAAAGATTCTACGGTCGTTTTTTAGCGGTCGATACAGTATTACGGTATGTTACAGTAGGAAAAACGGAAAAATAATGATACCATCGTCATCGCAAGGGTAGAAAACTTCAGTAACCGTCAAATCATCGTCCAGTAAGGTAAGATACGACAGCTGGACGCGGTTACTTCTAAAACAGTAAATTGTAAAAAAATATACCTTGATGAAGGTTTTGGGAAAAAATATTGTTCGCTTTTGCTTAGCACCTTCCAACAGCCATTTTAGTGCAAAAAACTCAAAATCGATTTTTTTCTATGTCCACGGCCGACGCACTGACTCAGAAATCGTCTTTTAAAATCTCCAAAGTTTGAATAAAAATCGAAAATTAAAAAAAAAATCCTTGTTTTTTCGGCCAATGTCAATTAGATTTGTGACTAGCAAGGTTATAAATGTGTGGTTGTAACAACTAGGAAATGCTTGAAGAAAGCCCTACACGTGGAAGCAAGGAAAATGCTGAATTCTATTCGTATGCAAATTTGCATAATGCCCAAAAGGAAAAAATTTCGAATTTGGGAAAATAATTTGAAAATATTGTTGAAAAGTCGTATTTTAGCTAAGCAAAAATACCGAAAATTGTAAACCATGACGAATACGTGGATTAGTGCACCTTATAAAGTGGTTTTCCGGAACGAAAACGGTGCAGGGATACTGTAATTCGCTGAATTTTGGGATTTGATTGACCCATATGGATGTTCTGAATAATATTGATGTTTCTGTATGTCACTGAAGACTGTTGACCCTAACGTGGTAAGGCAATAGAGTATAGGTAAGATAGCGTAATACTGGGAGAGAAATTTGGAGATCCGAAGACAATGTCATCGTTAGAAATTGGGATCAAGAAGTGAGTCGAAAAATTGGCAAAAATTTCAAACTTTCGCCGAAAATACTGTTAAAAAAAGTTGTTGGTTAGGGAAGATACTATAGAATTAGAGAGTGATGTTAGAAGGATAAATTAGGAAGAAAAAATGTAGACTAGGGCGCGAACTGCGGGGTCAAATCGGTATAGGTAGATGGGAAGCTCGGAAGTTTGGGACAAGTGGAATGTTTGAAGAGAAAATGAATACTGACATACAATAAATTGTCAACCGTAGTTACAATGTCATCTTTATGAGCTACGGTAAGCTAAGAGTGTCATTTGCCGCTAGATTTTGTAGTTATAGATAATTTATATTATAATATAATATTTTATGTCATTTTGATGACTAAAATAATATAAACTGGCTAAAAGACTGAGGCAAAACAAGACTATCAAATCAACAGCGACTCAACACACTCCTAGCTGACTGTAGCGCCAGATTATAACAAAAAATAAATTGTTAAATAGCGTAATATTCTCAAAAAATAGTGTTCCAAATTAATGTAATGTTCTTCTGATAGTCTTTGTGATATTCCCCTCCTCATCGACGGATTCAATCTCTTGCTCTGGCTCAATATTCCTCAATCGGTCTTCGCTTTCTGTCCCGGTAAATCGGACATGGGAATGGACCGGGTCATTCGTTCTGGTGCGAACTTTCCGAATGATCGTCTCGGTGGTTCCATCGGGTTTTTCTTGCGTTGTCTGGAAGGTGGTGATTGTCTCGTAATCATCCAAAGCGCCATCCAGTGAGTCTCTGTCATCGTCGTGGTATTCCTAAAAAAATTGTCAAAGGTTTATATAAAATTCTTGTTTTTTTTTTTTTTGGCATACATTGCCTACTGTAATATAAAAAAAAATAAAAAAAAAAGAAAATAAAGATCTCAATTCCTCACCTGGAAGGTCCCAGCTGTATCCGCACTCATTCCAGCTTGCGTATCTTGACTTTGGACTCCGGAGGTGCCTTCATCCAGCAAAGAGTCATCATGGTGTTGTCGGGATCCCGAGAACTGGGGTTCCAGCGAATCTATTGATGTTTCCATCCGATTCAAGACAGGCATTCCACCAGAGGGCTCAAGAGAGTCAGCTGACGTGATCATGGCTTCAGCAATTATCTAGAAACCCAATTTTTGAAAAGATTTTATATTGTACTTGATTAGTAATGGAGAAAATTTTAAAATCCTTAAGAGCATAATTTAGAAATCTTATAGAAGTATTTGAACGGTGACAAAAGCTAGTTTCTAGTTCCTACTATATGTATTCCTTTGTATTTTGCGCAAGACCCTCCAAAAATCTCACCTGCGCTTCGTTCAACGAGTCCTCGTCATCTCCCTTGATGCTCATCTCCTCCACTTCCGACTCCTCTCGAATATCGCTCAAGATCATGACCTCTGGGCCGATGGCTTGTCCAATGGCCTCTTGGTTGATCTGATCTTCCAGCACCTCCCTCTCGATATTCTCAAATTCCAGCAAAGAGTTCACTGAGCCTGTGGCGGACGCCACCATCTGTTCGTTGTCGCTTTGGCCGGGGGAAGTCTGTTTTCCCACAACTTCTTGCTCCAGACGTTCGAATTCCAACAACGACGATTGAGATCCATCATCAGAGTCTTTCATTTTGACGTCCGGGTTGATTTCCTTCCGCACGAAGACCGTCGATGAGGCGTTGCTGCTTCCCGAATCATTTGAAGGCGAGATCTCGGCCTTAGCATCGGCTTCCATCTTCTTCGCCGCCAAATCGTAGGCCTCTTCGTTTTGATCGGCTTCAAGTTGGCCGTCATAGCCAACCTCCTCTTCAGCCACGGATTCAATTGCTCGTGTGCTCTCGGGAGTCTTGGAAGTCCCCGCCGGACTGGCTTCCGACTGCTCCACACTCTGGGTTCTTGGTGGGATTGGGCTTTGAGGACGGCCGATTGGCTCGGCTGGCGCTAGAGCTCCTTCTTTTTCAACGAGATCAAAATCAACGTGTTTTTCGTCAAGTTCGGACTCGATTTTTATCTCAACTCCTTGATCGAACCGTTCTACCGTTGGCTTCTCATCTTCGGATTCAGAATCCTTGCTTAAATCGGGCATATGGCCACCAAAGTCTTCTTTGGTCAACTCGCGGTCTTTTAGAATTGAGCCCGCCGAATCGGTCCGTTCAAATTCAATATCCCGCACTTTCCGCAGATCAGGTCGTTCTAAATCTTCCAATTTATGCGTCAGCTCCGACTCCTCGACTCCAAGGCCGAGTTCGCTGTCCTGAAGCGGCGTTGAGGTGGGAGATTCAGCGCCTCTTAATCGAGGCGAGAATGAATGAGCCTTCGCGTCTTTGGCTCTTATGGCTTCGCTTTTTGCGATCTCCTCTTCAGTCATTTGGATGTCAATGATATCGTCGTGTTGAATGATATCAAAGTCATCTTCCTCTTGACGTTTCGGGCTTTCCGCTTCGTGTTGTTCCTCTTCTTCTTCATGATAAATCTCTTCGGCCGGTTGACGAGCTGATTCATCGTGTTTTTCAAAGTCCAAGTCGGTCGACTCAACAATTTCCACATCATCAAAGTCATAGGGCTCTTCCGCGGCCTGAGGCGATTCCCTTTGCTCTGCAGATGTCACAGATTTGCTCAGCTCATCTTTGTGGGTTTGTTGACCTTCTAGACCACCTTGGGCGGCTTCTTGACTTTCAACAAGTTGTTCATGGCTCCCCAAACCTTCTCTATGCTCCTCTCTGTGGATGAAGTGAATATCGCCGGAGGGCTCAAAGTGATGTTCGTCGGGTAACGTATGAATGTGAGCTGACTCTACGACATCCTCGCCTTCATACTCGACTTTCTCATCGTGCTTGGGCTCGTCCTTGACTCTGATATCCTCCGGAACATCTGATGTTATAATGGCCTTGGCCAATGCGCTCATCTCAACTTGTTCTTCCTCTGTAAGGCCAAACTCGTCTTTTTTGTCTTTCGGAGATTCAATTTTAGGCTCTTCATGCTCTTGGACTGGTTGGACGAGTTCATGGCCTCCGGCACTCTCTTGACTGAACTGCCGTTGAATGTCTTGTTGAAGAGTGTCCAAGGATAAGATAAGATCCGATTGTTTTCGAATTGGCGTCGTTGGAGTACCATCAAATGATCGGCGAGTGTCTTTGCTCTCAACAGCTTCTTGTTTTGTTGGAGATTCCTTGGTTGGGCTCTCTTTTTCATAGACACTTTCCGACATTACACTTGAGGGTTCTTCTGGATGCTCAATCGATTCAGATTCGACCAACCCATGATGTTCTTGGTCTTCGGCAGACACCACTGGGCGTTCATAGGCTTCTGGACTTTCTAAATCTTCTTCCGAGTCCTGTTTTTGCGCTAGATATTCTTTCTCACTGGTGATTTGACCAGGTTGGCTTTCGCTTTGTTCAATACCTTCACTCTCCACCAAATGTTCCTCGTCAATTCGCCTGAACTGGTCTTGATATTCAGTGGTTCCAGTGGTAGTCTCGGGCTCTTCATCCTCTTTTAAGAAACGGATTTTCTCCTCAACACTTGGTTCTTCGTCCGGTGAGATAATATCGACCGGTGTTTTCTGTGGGCTCAACTTCGGCGAAGCTGGAGGCTCTTCAGCCCCAAGATCAATGCTCTCCGACTCGACCAAGGCTTGACGATCAACCTCGTGTGTGTCTGTCTCGCTTCCAAAACCTTCCTGTGGATGACCTTCTTGATCTCGAGGCACTGTAAAATCGATGACTTTAGGCAGATCATGATGTTCTTGAAGATGATGTTGAATTTCTTCGGACTCAACAAGTTCGGGGGAATGGGCATTCGGCTCGAATCGTTCCTCTTCTTCTTTGAGCTCATGAACTCCGAAAGCCTCTCCGACTTTGCCAGGAGAAATTGGCTCTTTATGAGATGGAGCCGGTTCGTGGAGCTCAACTTCTCCTCCAGTCTCTTCTGGATGTCCCTCTTGATCTCGTGGGACAGTATAGTCGAGAACTTTGGGGAGATCGTGATGTTCTTGAAGATGGTGTTGTATCTCTTCGCTTTCCACAAGGTCAGGCGAATGTACGTCGGGTTCAAAGTGGCCTTCTTCTTCTTTGAGTTCATGAACTCCAAAAGCCTCTCCGACTTTTTCCGGAGAAATTGGCTCTTTGTGGATCGGTGAGGTTGGGGTGTCTTGGAGTACGGTGGATTCATCAATAGTTTCTGAGTGAACCAAGCCACCCGATTCTTCAAATCTTGAGCTCTTCGGCGATTCCAAGCCTTCAGCGCTGGGATGATCAATAGATTCTGATTCCACAAGCTCTCCTTCGGCTTCAGACGGTGTTTCAGATGGAGCTGTTGGAAGCTGACGTTGCTCTTCTTCAGCCGTCTTCTTTGGCCACTCAACTTCTCGCTTCGCTGGAGTTGGAGTCTCTGGCAACTCCGGGGCTTCATGTTCTACAGTTTCGGAGCGCACCAACGGTTCTTTATCCTCTTCGAAGGATCTCCTCTTCGGTGACAAACTTCCCATTTCTTCGGGAGTCTCAACGTCCAGGGATTCGGATTCAACAAGACCATCTGTTTCGCTCACATGGAGCGCGGTGATTTGGCTGTCACTTGAGAGGACTTGCGAGCTTTCCCGTGAAATCTCAGATTTTCTCTCAAATTCGTCCTTGGAGTCTTTTCGGAGAGGGCTTTGGAGGTCTTCTGGGGACTCAACGATCTCTGAAGAGTCTATGGTATCCTCTCCCTCTTTTTTGTCTCCTTTCAGCTTGTCATACAGAGCTTTTCCTCCGAGATACGCAGCTCCTGCAATCATTGTGCCAAGACCAATCTTTTGCGCTTTTTCTTCATCGATTGACTCGCTCTCAACCACCTCTTGATCATCTTCTTCGCTTTTCTTCTCTTCCTTTCCAACTTTTTCTTGCTTTTTGTCGACTCCTTCGATGCTTTCTGTGTCCACGACATCCTCCAAGTCCCCTTCAAGTTCCTGATGACTAACCACCGGCTCTGCCTCTTGCCTGGCATCAACACTTGTAGCGACTTCTTTGGCAATGTTGCCAACTGGTTCCGCTTCCTTCCAGGAAGGCGCGCTTGGAGTGGTTTGCTGTTCAACGTCGCCGACTGGCTCGGTTTCCAGCTGAATGTCGCCGGAGACATGGGTCTCACGATCGAGGTCTCCAACAGGAGTGGTTTCCGAGTGGATGTCTTCGGAGCGATGATGCTGCTCGTCTGGATAGTACTCTTCCTCTTGCTCAATGGACTCGGATTCAACGAGTTCGGAGGGTGGTTTGCGTTGGTCTGAAACGGGGACATTTTATACGAAAGAAAATCGCAGAGTAACTGTTAATCTTTTTGCTTAAAAAATGGCGTATATAGCCCCTATAATTCACTCACCATAAAGTTCATGAACACTTTGTTCCATAACATCCCGACCACTCCGTTCACCCTCTTCGTAGGCTTGCTGTTGATCTCCTTCTTCGTCATGATGAATATAAATGGACTGTTGCATTGGGTCCTTCTCCTCATCATGACCTTCGTACTTTTCGCTAGCGAACTCCGGCGTCTGCTCAATATCGTAGCTGTAGTCGGTTTTCGGAGTCCGGCTCTCAGATTGCGGAGTATCAGCGGGAATGTAGATGCTTTCCTGCATGATATCCAAATTCTCGTCCGTGTCCTCTCGTCGCACTGTGGCTATGGACACTGGCGATTGAAGGTCCAGATTGTCTTGGGCGTCGATTCCGAGGTCATGAGGTCTTGGGCGGATTTCTTCGGTGGAGCTGTGATAAGGTCGATCATCAACCAGTTCGACGGGTTCATTGTCAATTTCATCAACAAGCTTTTGCTCGGACTCCTCTTTTTCTTCAATATCAGTTTTTCTTTGGCTTTCTGAAGGCTCAGTGACATGCTGCTCATGTTGTTCATCAACTGGACTGGCCTGTTCTTGGCTCTGCAAAGCCGCAAGTTCGTAGTCCTCCAAATCTCTTGTCACGTAATCTTTTGTTGATTGACATGGACTGGACTCGTCATAGCTGCCAACAGGCTCGGCTTGGTGTGTTGGGTCTTCGCTTGGGGCGGTTTCTTTATCAATATCGCCGACAGGAGAGGTCTCGGACCTTCGTCGATAAGCTTCTGGATACTCTTCTTCTTCGGCTTGCTCATCTCCCGTTCCTCTCAATTTCTCGGCCAATTTCATTGCGCCATAAGCCGCCGCACCAGCCAACATTGTCGCCGGGCCAATTTTCTGACCCTCTTCAACTTCTTGAGCATCAACATTCTCTCTGATCGGCTGTTGAGAAATGTCCAAGTGTTCTGTGGACATGGCCTCACTTTCGACAATATCCGACGCCGGTGAGCGGTTGATCGGGACCCTCTCAGTAATTGTTAGCCCTTCAATTGGTTGTTGCTCAAAAACGTCGGCAGTTCTAGCCTCATGATATGGATGACCATCTCCAATATCGAGATCTTTGACGCTAGCATTGCTGATGTTCTCCAACTCCTCTGAGCTCTCTTGGACGTCGCCCAGTTGGCCTTCTTCAGCTTGTCGAACTTGATGTTCATCTCCTGGCAAGCGCGACTCTCCTCTGATCTCGGCGCTCTTCAGCTCATAAACATTGTCTTCCGGATGTTCGTCATCAAAGTCTTTGACGTATTTGACGTCGCTCAACACATGGCCTTCCTTGTCCAAGACCTTTTCATCTCTCTCTTCGTGAACATGATAGTGAACCGGCTCGTCTCCGCTGGCGATGACCTGATCAATTGGCTCACTTGCATCCGGCAAATGAACCTCCTCGGCTCCCTCAGGGACATGCAGATCATACTCTCTGGTTGTGGTGATCTCTCTGTCCTCTCCGCCGAAGCCAACAACATGTTCGACGCGCTTTTCGTGAACATGAATTTCATGCTCCCCTTGGACGGGTACATGATCATCAGAGGTTTTCTCGGTGATGTCAAAGTCTTCGACAATCTCGACTTCTCTGGGATGGCCGAATTCGTCTTGACTCCACTCAGTGTGCTGCTCATGAACATGAACTTCTTTGGGCTCTTCAGTGGTTGGCAAATCCTCCGGCGAAATTTCAATTTCTCTGCTGGCGTCGCTATATGATGTTCTTCGCTCCTCCTCTCCAATCGAAGTTTTTCTGGTCTCATATACCTCTGGATGTGCCGTATCATAATCTCGGGTTTCGATGATGTCCTTCAGAACATGCCCATCTGGTCCGATGACCGTTTCATGACGTTCTTCATGAATGTAGACTGTCTCTTTCGGCTCTTCAGGGGGCGCCGGCAATCCCTCAATGAATTCTTGACTTCCTTGAGTTTCTGGGACCTCTTGGACTCCTTGGCGTTGTTTTTCATCAGCTTCTTTATCTAGCTTATCTCTCAACGCGTGTTCATCAACCGCTGGACGTTCAAAGTCATCATCAAACTCGTGAACGGTTCTATGCTCTTTTCTGGTCAATTCTGGGCTGGTCTTTGCACTATCCCCAACATGACGATAACTTTCTACAGTGTCACCCTCTGTGGGCTCAAAGTCTTCGGCAGGGACTTGCTCATAGCCCTGTTTATCTCCTTTCAGCTTGTCGTAGATAGCCTTTCCTCCAAGATAAGCCGCTCCGGCGATCATTGTTCCTAGGCCCATTTTCTTGGCCTTATCTCCTTGATCCTCTCCTTCTGGGGACTCTTCATCTTGCGCAATAGGTTCATAGCCTCGATGGCGCTCCTCACCCTCCGTTCTTTGAAGATCGGATGTTTTCTGAGCTTCTGCTGACTCTATTCCACTAGATTCCGCTCCATAGACATCAATATCTCTTCGTGATCTTGGCCCCTCCGCAGTGAAGTCTTGTTCTTCCGCTGGAGTGCCAATAACTTCAACCGAAGCTTCAGTTGGAACCGCAGGTCTGTCGGGAATCTCTGACTCTTCAGGCAGCGGTGAGGGATGTCGCTCTCTTCGCTCAAGTTCCTCCACAGTCTGCGGAAGTTCCTCGGTGGATCCGAAATGATGTCCAATCACTTTTTCATGTCCGTCTCTGGGCGACTCTTGTTTCTGAAGGGCTTCGGGGCTAAAGTCGGACTTCAAACTTTGATCTTCGGGGATTTCCTCGACTTGGTATTCGGATTCCGGTTCGGCCTCGCCGGTTTGAACGCTGTAAGTGTCGGATTTCCTTGACAAATCCTCGGATCTGGCCGACTGAGGGATCTCTTGAACAGCGGGGCTTTCAAGCGGTTTATTTGGGCTTCCAATTGACTCCTTCCCGCTCAAGTCATAGTGTTCCTCGTGTTCGACAACCGGTCCCTCGTCTTCTTGGGTTATGGTTTTATGAGTCACTTCCACATGTGGTTCATGAACCCCATCGCTGGTATAACTGTACTCGTACGAGTCCGTCATTACCGTATGATGTGGCTCATGATGGATCTGATCGCTCACTGGACTGGGCTGGTCGATGACCTCAAACGGAGATGAGGTCTGCTCAGGGCTACCAGCAACGTCCTGTTTATCGGCAGAATGACTTGAAGGCTCATCAAAATGTTCTACAGAGTACTTTCTCTCCAAAACCACTGGTTCTCCGGGACTTTGCACAGCATCTCCTGGGATATCATAGTGCTTTTCGTGTTCGACAACAGGCCCATCGTCTTTCTGAGTGGAAGTTATGTGAGTGACCTCGGTATGAGGTTGATGTTCACCATCGCTGGTGTACGAGTATTCATAAGTGTCTTTTGTGACGACATGACGATGTTCTTGAGGTGTCTCTTGGCTTGGCGAGACGCGAATATCATCCTCTGTGGGTGAAAATCTTTCTGGAAGTTTTTCTCCGTCTTCTCCATGCTTTTCAACATGATGTTCCGGGGTTTCAGGAGTTCCATGTACCACAGATTCAGCAGAAATACCTCCGGCTGGAGATGGCTCTGAGATTTCAGCCGGCGCTTGAGGACTTTCCAACGCTCCACCAGCAATGTCATAGTTGCCTTGACTCTCAACAATTGTGTCGGAGGTTGTAGTAGGCTCTTCGACTTGGGCGACCTCAAAGTCTGGAGTTTCTTTTTGCTGAGTGGCTTCGAAATGAAGATCTTCGGAGACTTTGCGAGCTGGCTCGGCCTCTGAGACTTCTCCTTGGCTCTCCGGAGTTTCTACGATCTGTTTCCGCACTGAAGCTGGACTTTGTTTGGCGGAATCTCCAACAGAGCGATATTCAACTTCCGGCTCGTGTTCAACCTCTTCAACAAGTCGGCCATGATCATCCTGGGCTACAATGTGATGTTCAAACTCTTCTTTTGGCTTTCCACTTCCATCATCAGTATAACTGTACTCATAGGACTCCGAGACAATTTTTCCGGCACCTCCTTCTGGTTTTTGGTCATCATCAGAGTCGTGCCCATCATATCCTTCCCCTTGATCTTTGTCTCCTTTTAGCTTGTCGTAGAGCGCCTTTCCTCCAAGGAGAGCTGCGCCAGCGATCATCGTACCAATACCCATTTTCTTGGCTTGATCTTCTTCCTCTGGAGTTTGTTCATGTTGTTGAACTTCTTGTTCATGTCTTGTCGCTTCTCTGACATCCTCAGTCTCCAGTTCACTTGGCTGATCAAGGAATTTTCTGGCACTTTCGTCCGGACTGCTTTCTTTTCTCTTGGCTTCAGATTCTTCATGAGCGTGTTTATGTGGTTGTTGAGCTTCTTGTTCATGTGCTACCGCTTGCCTGACATCCTCAGCCTCCAATTCACTTGGTTGATCGAGGAATTGTCTTGTACTTTCATCCGGACTAATTTCCTTTCCTGTTCCGACAGGCTCTACCGACTCTGTAGTGCGCAACTCCTTCTCAAGATCTCCAACTGGTTCAATCTCTCGTTTCGAAATCGAGACTCTTCCCACAGGCTCAACGGACTCGGTGACCCTCAACTCTTTTTCTAGATCACCAACTGGCTCAGTCTCTGATTTCACAGTTTGTTTCTGCTCTTCAGCCACCTCTCTTTGATGTTGTTCGTGCTCTTTTTGTTCTTGTTCTAGCTCCTCAAGGAACTCGCGATCTCTGGCTTCCCCTGTATCTTGTGCCAAAGCTATGGATCCTTCTGTGGATCCGGCGCCTGATTTCTGCTGAAATTCTGAGGTCTTCTGAGCTTCCGGAGAGGCAAGTCCAGTCGATTCGGCGGAGTAAACGTCAATATCTTTTGTTGATCTTGGCCCTTCGGCTGTGAATTCCTTCTCCGAAACCGGAGTTTCTGCAATTTCAACGGCCTCTTGTTGCTGCTCAGCTGGTTGAGTATCTCCTCTAGCACTTGAAGCAGCTGAAAGTCTTCGTTCAAGTTCCGAAACAAACTCCTTCTCGGCTTCATGGACTTCTTCAATCGGCTCGGGATTTTCGTCATCGTAATCTTTCACCACTGTCGTATCTTTAATAACATGTCCGTCAGCATCCAAGACTTGCTCATGCCGCTCCTCGTGGACTTTATAATGGCTCTCGGTTACATCGGATTCGGGTTGACCACTCACAAATCCTTCCTTGACTTCTTCTCGGATATTCTCGACCGGTTGATCTGCCTCCGGCAATGTAATCTCTGTCCCACTGGGCGCTTCGATATCATAGTCTCGCTCAATCAAAACTTTCTCAGGCTGATCGTCTTCACGTTCAACTCGTTCTTCATGAATGTGCATCTGATAATGTTGATCATCTTTGGGGACAACATGAATGTCCAAGTCCTCTTTAATCGACTTTCTCCTCAAGTCTTCGGTTGTCTCGACTCGTTCCTCGTGGAAAGTCTGAGTTCCAGAAGGTGGTAAGACGCTAGGATCAATGTGAATTGTCTGCTCTTCGAAGTGGCTGACCGGCTCGGCCTTGACGTCGTGTCCCACCGCGGCTAGACTGACTTTTCTCTCATCCAGAAGAGGCGACTGTCTTTGTGAAGTCTCAGAAGGTTCTCTTGTGTCGTAATTTGACTCAAAAGTTACATCATCAACGAGATTTCCGTCTTTATCAGTGATTTGTTCGTGGTAATGTTCATGGACATGAACGACTTTAGTTGGAGTCGCTGGCGGAGATTTCGGGCCTTCCTCGGAGATTGAAGCAGCCGATGAGGAGATCTCCAAGGGTTTTTCTGGAGTTTCCAGTTGCTCTGCGACTGGAGATGGCGCTTCAGCTTGAGGCTGGCTACTAGGCTCGGCCTCTGAGACTTCACCTTGACTCTCTGGAGTTTGTACGACCTGTTTTCGCACTGAGGCTGGACTTTGCTCGGCGGAATCTCCAACTGATCGATATTCAACTTCAGGCTCTCTATGTTCAACCTCTTCAACAAGTCGGCCCTGATCATCCTGGGCTACAATGTGATGTTCAAACTCTTCTTTGGGCTTTCCACTTCCATCGTCGGTATAGCTGTACTCATAGGATTCCGAGACAATTTTTCCGGCACCTCCTTCTGGTTTTTGGTCATCACCAGAGTCGTGCCCATCATATCCTTCTCCTTGATCTTTGTCTCCTTTAAGCTTGTCGTAGAGCGCCTTTCCTCCAAGGAGAGCTGCGCCAGCGATCATTGTGCCAAGACCCATTTTCTTGGCTTCATCTTCTTCCTCTGGAGTTTGTTCATGTTGTTGAGCTTCTTGTTCATGTCTAGTCGCTTCTCTGACATCCTCAGCCTCCAATTCACTTGGCTGATCGAGGAATTTTCTTGTGCTTTCGTCAGGACTGCTTTCTTTTCTCTTAGCTTTATCTTCTTCCTCTGGAGTTTGTTCATGTTGTTGTTGAACTTCTTGTTCATGTGCGACCGCTTTCCTGACGTCCTCAGCCTCCAATTCACTTGGTTGATCGAGGAATTGTCTTGTACTTTCATCAGGACTAATTTCCTTTTCTGTTCCGACAGGCTCTACGGTCTCCGTGGTACCCAATTCTTTCTCAAGGTCTCCAACTGGCTCAATCTCTCGTTTCAAAATCTCTTTTTCCAGCTCTTCCTCAGCTTGATGAGGAGACGCACCTCGTGGAGACAGGGGTTCAGATTCCAAAGCCTTTTCTTGAGCTGATTCTGGGGTCGAGACATCAATCGGCGATGGCTCCTGAGATCTGGCGCTGTCGGATGGTGTAGCCAGCGCTTCAGCTGGTTCATGGGCTTTTGTTTGATCCACAGCTTCAGATTCCGTCTTATGAGCTCGTTCCGTATCATACTCCTCTTCATGGGGAGACAATTCCGGGCCTTTGAATCCATGAGTTTCCGATATTTGGCCCTCAACAACTTCTCCTTGAGCTGTATGATGAATGGGGATGCTTCTCGTGGACCGCGGTCCTTCCGCCGTGAAATGGTCCTCCGACGATTCTGAAGGTGTCTGCGCGAGTAAATCCTCTTCGCAACGGTCGCCGGTTCGTCCGGATTGCTCAGCAGCCACCTCACGCTCGCTTGGAGAAACCGGTGACTTATCCGATTCGGAAGGCGCGTCCGAAGGCACAGTGTGTTCTGTGGGACTCCTTGATTCGTATTCTTTGTCATCATGGAGAGAAGAGGCCACAGCGGCGGCGAATCCGCCAGCGGCAGCCAAAGCAGCGGCTGCTGCCGCTTTTCCGTAGCTGTGTTCCTCTTCGTCCGGCTTGATATGGCTTTCTTCAACGTTTCTACCGGCCTTTTCACCTTCGTCTTCTTCGACAACTCCTTGTTCGGCAGTTCGACTGATTCTAATCCTCTGTTGTTCCGAAATTACTTCCGGTTGGACTTCAGAAGTTTCGGATTTACCCGCACCAAGCTGCTGAACCGAACTTGACGTACTCGTCGATAAGTCTGGTGTCTGAGCTGCTTCTAGATGCGATTCAGGAGTTTCTTTCTCGCCCAGCTCGCCTGTCTCGGCATCCTGAACCTCTTCATCTAGTGCTCTGTGGATCGGCAGGGTTTTTCGTTCCCCTGCAATCTCGGTCGGCTCTTCTGAAGCCTCTTGTCGGGCTTGATTTATCCTCGCGAATTCCTCATCACTTGGGGGTTTAGTTCGCACTTGAACTTCCTCTTCAACTTCTGCTTTTGCCAGACCTTCATCATGATCGCCAATTTCGGCTTGATGTTCCGGAACCTGCCGTTCAAATCCTTCTTCGTCATGTTCGCTCTCTAGGCTTGTCGCTGGCTCTAATCTTCGTATTTTCTCCTGAACCGAGACATTCACAATGTCATCGCCGAAGCCGGGCTGCACCTGAACGGATTCATGCTGTTCTACTGAGAGCTTATGGACTGTTTGAGCAATGTCCTCGAGATCTTTGTGTTGCTCCGTTTCCGGGATTGTTGATGCGCTTGGCTCGACCTCCACCTCTTCCCGAACAATGATTTGCTCGCGGCTATCAACGCGCGACACGCCGTCGCCGGCGACAACGTGATGTTCGGGGAATTGAGCCGCCGAGGAAGTGTCAGTGGTGCCCTCGGAGGGCTGACTGAATTTCTGGACCAGCTTGTGGACACTGACTTGAGGCTCTTCGGTGGTGGCTGGAGAGGGCTCTGCAAGCTCTGAAATGAAAATTTTAGTAAAAATTATGAAGATAGATTAATTTGAAGAGCTCTAAATGTAATAGCCATGATCTTGGAAAAGTTTCGTACCAAGATTCGTACACTTCTTTCCAAACGAATCTGTTTTCATACGAAAGATATCAGGTTAGTTCCACACCGCTAGGCTCTCTTGTTTACCCATAAACCACTAGGTTTTTTATCACGCTTCGTTTTCTGAGGCATGCCGAAAACAAACTGATGGCTTATTCAATTTCCGGAGGTTTCGAAAACGCCGTCGTGAGGATTTTATTTTAGCTTCCGTGCATATAGTGGCATGTGACTAAACCTTTTATAGAGAGTTTTCGTTATGTAAATGGGGCTTAATTTTGGCCTAAAACCGCTTCTTGGGACTTCTTTTTATTCCCAGCAACTTCAATGGTCAAAATTTTGCGTAAAATCAACTACGTGGGACCCACTCCTTTGACGGTCGGCACATACGGGCAACCAATTTGTGGGCAGCTAGAATAACCGCAGAGATCTGGACGCATGTTTGGATCAGCCAACATTTGCTTACAACAGGAAATTTTAACCCTGGATTTGGCAGTTAGATGTTGTGATTTAAACCTCCGGCTGCAAAAATGACTTAGTTTTGATAAGGTTTTAGCCAGGTATTTTTAGAAGTTCAGAAAGCATTTTGACAAAAAGAAACTCCCATAACTTTAGAAGCGGTAGATAGATTCAAATGAATTTTTCATATTTGCGTATTTATCAGTACCAGGGTTTGTCAATGCAAAGTTTCTACGTAGATTACGGTAGGAAAATTGCAACTCTAATTGATTGATGTCGGCTGTTCGCAAAGTGGTTGCCCCTATGGTGTCGAACGGCACTCCTTTTCCTCAACATCTACACTGTATTTTTAACAATTTCTGTGATGATGTCGTAAGATGTTCTATTATTAGTGGAGGTAAAGCAATAACTTAGTCGGTGAATATTAGTGCTAGATTGCCCTTGTGTTAGTATATAAGGCAAGAACTAAATTAGCTTTTCATGACTTGCTTGGTAACCTTTTAATAGCCAACCTTTCTTCATGTTTCTTTTTTTTCATATTTCTTTTCCCGACAAACCTTGTGTATCCGACTTCGGTGGGCTCTCCACCGTCAACGCTCTCCCGATTTGCTCGCGCTGCTCCGTAACGACCTGAGGCGTTGACGGCGACTCCATTGGGGTCTCATTCAACCGCTCCGCTTCGGTTTCTTTTCCTTCGGCCGTTCGCTGAATCGACAGCTCGGTTGGGCGCTGAGAAACATGCTCTTCTTCTTTCCTTTGGCCAGAATGCTCGCGGGCCTCTTCTTCAATCAATTCCGACTCTACCGTTCGATGAATGGGGAATTTGGCGGTCTCTTTGAGCGATTCAAACCGGGCGATTCGGTCTTTCACGGAGTCTGAACTCACGGACTCGGTGTCTTCTATAATTTAAGGAAATGGATTTGGAAACCTTTTGGATTGTCATGAAATTTTGTTCGGTAGAGTAAGTGCTCGAGCGTGACGCAGATTTTGACAAAAGTAGGTAAAATTAAGACTTACAGTGGTGGACTTGATCCAGTGGCAAGAAAACGTGCCATTTTGCATCCAGGAAGTATCAAAAGTGTGGCAAAATACGTCCCTCTCCACGTGAAAAAACTCAGATTTCAAAAGCCCGCCAGCTCTTTTTGTGAGGAAGCCCTTCAAAACGGAGTTTTTTTAGTTGGAGTGGGAGGCATTTTGCTACATTTTTTGATACTTCCCGGAAGCAAAATGGTACGTTTTTTGCCACGGTATCAGATTTGTCGCTGTAGGTAAAATTAAAACTAGTTTTTGAATAAACAATCTCTAGTGTTTACCAGTGTAACACAAAAGCCAAAATTTCGAGAAAATTTTAGCTGCGCACCTCGAGCACTTCCTGTGTTGGAAGGGCTATCCAACATGTATCGCAAACGAAGGATATAGGGTAAAAAAATGCCGCCTACGGCCATCAAAAACGCCCAAAAGTGAGATTGAATTGAGTGACTTGATAGCAGAGGGAAAACAACGTATCATTTTGCCTCCGGGAAGTACCAAAAATGCGGCAAAATGCTTCCCTCTCCAACTAAAAAACTCCGTTTTGAAGGGCTCCCTCACAAAAAGAGCTTTTGAAATCAAAGTTTTTTCGGTTGGAGTGGGAGGTATTTTGCCACATTTTTTGACACTTCCGGGATGTAAAATGGTACCTTTTTGCCACTGGATCAGGTCCGCTACTGTACCGGTCTATCGGCCTATTCAAACTTTCCCGGGTATTTTTATTTTTTTTTCTTTGCGATACATGTTTTTACTACATTGACAAGCTCGTATTTTAACCATTTTGCATTATTTTTAAATTTAAAAAAGAAATATTTTTCCCTTCTTTGACCATGACCACCACCATCACAATATACCTTCACCGATATGCAACAAAACGTGTGCGAACAAAAAGTGCGGGCAAACCGAACAAGACAACAGTAAAAACAGCTGGTATTTCAACGCTTGAAATCTATAGAAATTTATTGTAAAATTGCACCAGGATTTCGGACTAGAAAGATTATCAAATTTTGTACAATAACATGGTTTACAATGGATTTACAAGACATAAAAAGTAGCTGATCAAATTTTTAAGACATCATGAGTACTACAGTAGAAAAATTATCCATTTTTTCAGACGAAAAATCGGACGAATATTGCATTTAAAATCAAGATTTTGAGACTTTTCCTCAAAATCATCCATTTTTTGTCAATTTTATGGATTTGTCTTCAAATTTAATGAAGAAATAAAAGCATATTAGGCGTTAAAGGCAGTAGATGAGAGAAAAAAGGGCTAGACAAAAGTTGGGATATAAATAAAGGCTTTAGAAGTACTTGACAGGGATCCTTTGGATGGGGATCAGCCGGATCCGGTGCGTTTTCGGGTCCGATTGACCGTCGTACACCTGTTCGTTGACTTTCAAACGAATGAACTCGCCTGCAATTCGGAATAACCCAATGTTTTTTGAGGGTTAGGAACGCGGGTTAGACACTACAGGCAAAGAATTTAGGATTTTCGGAAAAACTATTTGGTCAAAATTTGTGATGGGTAAGATTGGGCGATAACTCTAGTCTAAGTTGCGCTTTAGTTATAATTTTTGGCTTGCAAATAGAATCTAGGCTGCTTGTTGTGTAGCTAAAATTTGGCCATAGCCAGAGCAAAGACAAAAATTTTATGGCCACAATATCACCACCTGGTTTTAGGCTAAATCTGATGTCCAAAAAAAATTGAGATAGCTATGTCACTTTGAAATACATCCCGAAAATAAACTAACATAGTTATCTACAGAGGATCAGGTATGACAAAGCCAAAAAACAACCAGATTGATCGACTGCGAGCAAAGTTATTGCCAAAAAATTTCCATCCATTACGTTTGGAGTTACTTGAGTTAAAACCGCAAAAAATCTCAAAAACTCAACAAAGTCGGACTGCATTATGAATTACAGGACTGACAAGTCGACAACGAACAGGGCTTTTGACATTTCAGGTATGACTTTGGCAATAAATCTTGGTAAATCATAAAAATTTTTTTTTTGAAATTTTCGCTTTTTCCAAAAAAGTTCGCCAAAAAATCGCTAAAAATTTCCAAACAGCCTGGCCGCAGTTTGACAAAGACAGAATATAAACTGTGTATGACATGATGACAATTCACAATACCAACATTTGAACCAAAAGATCTCAAAAATTAGGAGAAAAACCCCAAAGTTACAAACAAAAATACCAATAACTAAAAATCAAAGCAAATCCGAACAAAAAATCAACAAAAAGTAAACTCAAGTGCAAACGAGGGGTGAGTCATCCAAATACGATCATCATCACAACATCTCCATCACTCTACAAATACAGTAATCTCCACAAAATCACAGCCACAACTTGGTCATTAGGTTGTAAGATTCAAAATTTCAATCCATTAGCCTTTCTTGGCTATAACTTCGTTTGAGGCGGATCGGCTATGGGGCCAATGTTTATATCCAATGGGGCAAAATTGGTTGACTAGCTGGCCAAAGGGGTTACTCTGTGTTCGTTCATACAGTAGGAATGCTAACGATCAAACTCGCGACCTAGGTCGTGACCACAGTCAGTGTGGTTGTGACCTGATCTACAGTGGCAAAAAAGGTACCATTTTCATCTGGGAAGTATCAAAAATGTGGCAAAACGCTTTACTCTCCAAGTGAAAAAACTTCGTCGCGCCATTATTCCTCACAAAAAGAGGGGCGCGATTTTGAAATCTGAGTTTCTTCCCTTGCAGAGGGAGGTATTTTGCCATATTTTTTGATACTTCCTTCATGCAAAATGGTACGTTTTTTGCCACTGTAACTGAAGTGCCAAAACCGTCTGGAACAAGTGCAGTAGCATTATTTTCAGAGGATTTTGTACATTAATCGTGAACCAGCTCACGACCTACATGTAGGTCGTGAGGTTGATGACGATCTCACCTATAGAAAGTGTCTTGACCATCATAACCAAGCATTCAGACCGTTTTCGGGTATTTTTCAGGCAACCACCTTGACCTTGGCACGGCATTCTGTACTTTTGGGACACAACCGGTCTCCATGATTTTTTTCTATTTTTTCAAAGTAGACCTCCTTCTTTAATACATTGCTCGCTAGCCGTTGAAGCTAGAGACTTGAAAATTGGCATGGGTATAGAGTAAATGTTCCGCTTCCAGAATATATAAATATTGTAATGAACCCCGCGCTGTAAGCTCCACAATAAGATGCGAAAATATTTCATTCTTAAAACTTCTTGCACCTAAAAGGTCATTATGCAAGATCGAAATGACAAATTTTAAAATGCTGATGTGTGCAGAATTTTTTTTCTATCAGATACTTAAATTTCGTGGAGTTGTATACGAAAATGGCTGTGCTACGTACGAAAAACTGAGTTTCATAGTGTGTTTTTTTGAAATTTTTGGAATATCTCTGCCCTCAGGGCACAGATAAATGAAGTTCCGACTCACGTTTGTTGCCGATGATGACATATGTAGCCTTGCCAAATTACAATGTTATATCTTCAAAATCAAGGGAGCTATTCGCTTTTCAACTTTTTTTCTCACTGATGTACAACAACGATGTCAAGAATGTCCAACTATGGATTGTAGAGCTCGAAGAGCTCTACAAATTACCCGCTTACATCTTCTTCGTATCTTTAAAATTACGGCCGCCAGGGCGGCCGGAAATTTCGGTCGATTTTTGGTGCACCGTGCGAAAAAAATCGCCCTCAGGGCAACAAGCGGAACTGAGCAAATTGATCATACGGGTGCTATTGGGAACAAAATAGACTACCATAGTGCCAAGTTTCAAGTCGCTACCTTCACTATCCCCCCACAAAGATGGGCTGAAGCCCATTTTTGATAAAAAAAGTTGAAAAGCGAATAGCTCCCGTGATTTTGGAGATATAACATTGTAATTTGGCAAGGCTACATATGTCATCATCGGCAACAAACGTGAGTCGGAACTTCATTTATCTGTGCCCTGAGGGCAGAGATATTCCAAAAATTTCAAAAAAACACACTATGAAACTCAGTTTTTCGTACGTAGCACAGCCATTTTCGTATACAACTCCACGAAATTTAAGTATCTGATAGAGAAAAAAAATTCTGCACACATCAGCATTTTAAAATTTGTCATTTCGATCTTGCATAATGACCTTTTAGGTGCAAGAAGTTTTAAGAATGAAATATTTTCGCATCTTATTGTGGAGCTTACAGCGCGGGGTTCATTACAATATTTATATATTCTGGAAGCGGAACATTTACTCTATACCCATGCCAATTTTCAAGTCTCTAGCTTCAACGGCTAGCGAGCAATGTATTAAAGAAGGAGGTCTACTTTGAAAAAATAGAAAAAAATCATGGAGACCGGTTGTGTCCCAAAAGTACAGAATGCCGTGCTTGGTCACGACCTGGATTAAAAAAATCGTAAGCTTGACCATAAGCGACCCATCCTACGGTATGCCTGAACACAGAATAACCCTTTGGCCTTGTTAGTCAGCCCATTTTGCAATATTGGGTATAAAATATTGGCCCGATACCCGATCCGCCTCAAATAAAAAGTTGTGATTTTCTTAGTTTAGTCCACTTCAAATGGTCGACAAGTTAGTTGGAGACTTACCATTGGGTTGGGGGTGGTCGCCAACTCCTGGAAATTTAATGATTAGGAGGTGAGAGAGGGGGTTTACAAATAAAAATGAGGATTTTTGTGCTGTTCTTGTTGTCCAGGAGAGAAAAAAATTTTTAATTTGAAAAAAAAATTTATTTTTTTTTTCTTCCATTGAAAAAAAAATAAAAAAATTCGATTTTCAAGATAGATATCCTCGTATTTTACCATGTAAAACTTACCAGAATTAGTGTAAAAGAATATTATTTTACAATTCGAAAAAACTTACCATTAAAATGCCCGTATTTTAGCTTTAAATTCATTTTAAAAACAAGTTTTTCTTTTCATCTCTTCATTTTCCGTTACAAAATTTATTTTTCTTCAAATTAAAAAAAATTTTTTTTGTCATAGATTACATAGCAAAACGTACAATCCTGAGAAAAAACACATACGGTACTGAGGACGAAATTACAGGACAAGAAGCGAGTAGAGGTTATATAAACTCTTTGTAATGGAGCTATTTGAAAAACAAACGAGGTTTAGAATTCGAAAAAATGGAAATTTCAAGCACTTTTTTGGCAAAAAAATTTTAACAAAATCGTCTAAAATTATTTTCAGTGGCTCTAAGTTTATGCAAAAACGGATTTGAAAGCTGTCGAAGCCTTAATTATGCTTTTATTTCGAAAAATTTCGAAAAATTGAAAATTTCAAAGATTTAAAAAGTAGAATTTCTCAACTATCGTTTGTCCTTGAGTTTTCTAAACTTGAACTAAGCCTAATTGGACTAGTTTCTTGCGTTTTTCCTGTTGCTAATTGAGATTTTTTGATTTTTTCTTTGTTTTGGCGGATTTTTGAATAATTTGGCAGTGAAATAGATTTTTGGACGCTGGAAGAATAATGAAAATTTGTGATTTACACTGTAAATGGAAGGTGTTAACTGCTAAAATTGAATATAGACCCATTTCCCGTCAAAAACCAGTGAGAGAAACACTTGACCCAAATTTGGGTCAAGTGTTCCTCTCGGATCGAAAAGCCCGGAAATAAAATGGAAATGAGTGAAAAGTGTTTTTATACCCTAAAAATTCTATTTAGTATCAAAAAATTAACGAAAAGCACCTTCCTTTACCTCCAAATCACCTGACAACACAAAAACATTACAGTAATTGCAGACAACACAAAACTTCAAAATTATACAAAATATAAGCAAACAAATGTTCGTAAATCTTCTTTGATGAGAGCGAAAAGAAGATGGCTCGTTGCGTAGATTACAGTTCTCCACTGCATGGCAAAAAAGATTGTTTTTTCGGATTATTTTAATCGCCGTTCACTGAAAACAGAGGGATTACTCATTGTTCGAATAAAAACTCATCGAAATTACTTTTGGCAAAAGTAATTCCGATAATTTTATTCGATTTCCAATGAGAATCGCACTCTTTTCCCTCGGATTCCGGCAAATTTTGAGATTTGGCCTGTTGTGGGGAGACAAAATTAGATTTTTCGTATTTTAAGGGGATTTTTGACTGGATAAAGACCGGAATAAAGTTTAAGTTAACTTTATAATGACTGTAGATTGTTTTATTATACATTTTACAATGAAATTTTATCTGAATTTGAACAAAAACTGGATTTTTTCGAAACTTTTGCCGAAAATTGGGTTAAATTCGCAAAAAATTGCAAATTCATCCATTCTGGATAGCTTACAACCCCGATTTCCTAACTACAATGTTATTGGGATACTATACACATATTAACACTATAACCCTAATCTTTCCCATCTATGTTTCCTCTATCTCTACCTTTCTTATGAGTCATCCCCCTCTGCTCTCTTAAACTCTATTTCCTCCCTAATCGCCCATTTATCTCCTGCCTATCTCTCCTCCATCTCATCTAATCCCCCTCTAATGATCTGTTTATCACCTATTTTTAACCCCCGGGCAATTAATTGAGCTGCTTTGGGGGCTTTTATTCCCTTTCTTCCACAAATTCCGATGATTCTCTCGGCCGAAAAAGAAAGGCTCGTTTTTCTTTTGGCCGAAACAAATGGCCAAGGAAACACAGATAGAAAAAAACTACTTGCCTTAAGGCTTCAGGAGAGCAAGGAATTTGATGGATTGCTCATACAGTCTAAGAAATATTAGACTATACATCTTGGGCCATCAAGTGTCAAAAAAAGTGGAAATTTTGCAATTTTTTTGCTTTTTTGAGGTGGATACGTATATCTAATGTCGCCTAAAATTCATAGAAATCTTGGCTCTTAAATATCAGACCAATGACAGCCATAGCTAACGGTGATTTTGATAGATAATACCCTTCTAACATCAGAATTCGTTTTCAAAATTATAAGGAGTATTTTATAAAGACAGTAAAAATGAGATCACGACGATGATTCTAGTCTACCAATGAAACAGTTAGTATAAACTAATCGACAGATGAAAATGGATTGACAGATAGCTGAAGCGTTATTGGGAAAAGAAAGAGAAAGAGGGATGGAAAGAGATCAACACAAAAACTAGTGCTGTACGATCACTGTACGAACACTGCACACGAATTCTACATACACCTCGCACTACTATGATCTATTCTACCACCTTCTATGGCATGTTTCTATCTAGCACATTTATCAACTGAAATTTTAACGGATCCGTCCAAACAAAGCTAACCAAAAATACGATTAGTTTTTGACGTCGTAGCTGAAAAATAAACCTTGTAACGGAATGCTTTTGATATGCAATATCATCAGCATGCCCTGCTGAACATTCTGATATCATATTCGATATGTCTCGATACGTTTTACATGGTAAAAATACGGTTTGATTAAAGGCCCATCAAAATTTTCTCTGGATAACAAAAACCTCGCGCAACTTATGTGCGAGTTGCGCAACACAAAAAACCTCAAGCATGTAGCGATTGGTACCTTTGACGGACGACTCGGTTGTGGTGATTTGTCGGACGGTGCGTTTGTGAACACTTTCCGTGCCATCCTCGTTGGTCCAGCCTTCTTCGTTGGCGTCGCGGCGTTTCAGATCATCTATACCATGAGAATTAAGAATCGGCCGGGGTAAATGTGGTATCACTTTGAAGCTCAAGCTCTGTTCTATCACATACTGTAATTTTGTTACAGTACGAACCCGTCATTTTGCAAAAAATAGCTATTTTTCGCCCAAGCCCCATCAAAAATGACGTTAGGAAATTTCCTTTTTTATAACACTCCTATTCCCCCTAAGGGCCGAGATTCCTCAGGGTCACAAAACATGGCAGATGCTGATTTACCTGGCTGATCCTTGGCGTCCACATTTTTACCGTAGTCGTTTCGTCCGCCTGCAAAAAACGGGTGCGATATTTCTGGTTCCGAGGTTGGGCACAGTGCAAATCATATTCTCATAAAAAAAACTCATCAAGCGGGAGGTCAGTAAAACATCTACCGGGGGGACACAGATCTCTCACACTACTTTTAGTACCAATCAATTTGTAAAATGTTAGAAATTCGCCTCAAAACTTTTAATTTTTGATATAAAAACCAAAAAAAATGTTATTTTCGCAAGTTTTGCCCAAAATGTTAAGTTTTTTACAGTAAAGAGTGTTGCTAGATAGCCTATAGTGAGCATGTTAGTGCCACAAACACAATACGAAATAAAAAAAATATAGGTGGAAAGCAGTTTGGTGAGTGGCAAGCAACGGAAAATTAGAGAAAGCAAGGCATCGTGTTAATGTTGTGTTAGATGTTAGACATAGATGGCAAAGGTTAGGAGTCAGAAGTAGTAGTAGCTTTTTAAGGCAAATTAAAACTGAGGTAACCTTCAAAGAAATGGTTAAAAAATGGGTTTCACTTCAAACGTTCAAACAAATATAAGTGGTTGTAAAAAACCGTTAAAAAGTAATAGTTACTGTAACACGTAGTTGATGAATTATACATCAAATTAAAGAATATCACTCCTAGAAAGCCTTGATGACTAAAGATTCTAACTTCAAAATCATTCCAGAACAAAAAAACCATTCAAAGTTAGGACGACTCTCAAAAAAGTTAGCTCCAAAAACCCTCAAAAAATTACAGTAAGACTACCTTCACCGTCACTTCTAAATCAACGAGGACACAGGTTACCAATAAACAATTAAGTTAGTCACCGCTTTTTGAACAAATTCCCTAAACTTTGGAACGAAAACCAACTCGGAAAGACCCACTGATTTTGTCCATGAGCTTGGTTTGGAGTTCGCGGAGTTGATCGGGCGCCAACCCCACCATACCCGGCGTCTCGGTCTCGTAGAACTGCGTATGCGAGGTGCTTTTCCTCGAGGCGGACACCACAATCTGCAGATCACTGTGCGGATACTCGGATTGGAGGATTTTGCCGACCAACTCGGTGAGCTGGGCGTCTGGCGGGACTCCCGTGTTTTGAAGCCGCATCTCCTCTTCGAGTTGTCTCAAGCGCTCCACAATATTGTCGTATTTCGGTTTGTCGGTCATTTTCAGCTCTTTGAGATTTCTGAGAATCGAGCTGATTATCGACGATGGCTCAGTTGCTGGAGCTGGACTGACCACGTTGGTCGAATGGAATCCACTTTCCTGACTTGGGGATGGTAGATCAACGACTAAAGTTGAAGCATTCACTGCAGGGACGATCTTGATCGGAACGTTGCGCTCACCTTCGCTTGTGCGGCTATCGAAATTTTGCACAGTGCGGCGATTCTCTTCTTCCGGTCGAATTTGAGTGTTCTGGATTACAGTCGTAGTAATAACTCGTTCGGTTTGATCAGTAGGTCCAGTAGGAAATTTGTATAGTCCAGAATCGCTCTCTCTTCCCTCAGGCTCCGATAATTTTACAGTAGAAAATTCTGGCTGCACAGTGCGGACAGTTTGCTCAGTACGATCTCGAGCCGGTGGCACAGTGCTCTCGGACTGAATTAGAATTGGAATAACACGCTCGGAATGGTTTTGACCCGACGGCAAGGTGGGTGTGGGCTGTTGGCCATTCAAAACGGCCACGTTCCCTTCGTCGGCCCTTTGTGTGGCTGGGCGCTCCCCGAATTGAATGGGCTCTTTTTCCGGCACCTGGCCGGATTGATCAGTGCCGACGGCCCGCAGGTCTTCCTCCGAGGCCCATCGCTCCAGCGGCTCTATTACAACGCGTCGCTCTTGTCGAGCCTTCTCTCCGTTCGGCGCGCTCTCTCGACGAATTTTGATTTCGCTGAGATCTTCTTCGCTTTGAACATTCTTTTTGAGCTCTCCAACTTCTTGAGGGGCCTCCTGCTTCTTGTCGATGCCTTCCTCAATAATAATCGGAATGCTACGCGACTTATGAACCATCGAGGCATGGCTAAGGTCAGGCTCAACTTTACTGTCAGCCTTGTTGTCATACTGTTTTAATTTGATTTGAATATCCTCGGCATTTACCGGCGTTGTCTCATGTAGTTGTACGTGTGCTTGTTGGCCGTCCCGGCTCTCGGATTTTGTTGAAATCAGCTTTACAAATCCCTCTTCTTCCACAACCGTATCTCCGAGAGACTCTTGAGCGGTGTGAAATTCTTCGGTGGTCTCCGTTACAGTTGTCTCATCATTATTTTCATCTTTATTTCCCTGTGGATTCTCTTGTTTCTCTTCTGTTTTCTCCTCAATTTTCTCGGGATTCACATGTTTTATCTCCTTGATCTCGCCTGATGCTGTGGGGGCGCTCTGAATCCCCTGAATTAACGGAAGCCCATCTGTCTGCAGACCTCCGACAATCACGTATTCATTCAGCTTTGTAGTAGCATGAAATTTGATTCCTTCCGCAATTCCTGAGGCTGTAACCAGCTCTGGAGGAGTTCCGGCGCCAGTCTGGTTTGGATCAAAAGATTTCAGCGAAGTATTGGATCCAAACTCACTTAGTGCGTCCCCAACAGGATCCACAACTAAACGATGAATATGTGGCGCTTCTTCGCCTGCAGCAACAAGTTCATCTTCGTCTTCTGGGTCATTTGGCGCGGAAGACAACTCTTTTTCTTGCTCGTCTACAATTTTAATGGCTTCCAAAGCCTTTGGATATTCTTCGCCGTGAACCTGAGCAGAGATTTCAGCTTCATGAACTCCGGATTCTGATTGAATTTCATTTGAAAAGTCTTGAGAATGAACTGGAGCCAGAGGTGCGGGTGAAGACTCGGTTGGCTTATAGTCATACGCGGCCAGAAGGGCGTCAACCTCTTCTGATGGCTTCTCAGATGATTCTAAAACTTCCAAAGGCTTTTCAGATTCAACGGCTTTGACGGGCACTTCACCCTCCTTTGCAATTGGCTCTTCAAAGCCAGCTTGCTCTACTTTTGCATGACCTGCTTCCAAGTCACTAGGACCAAAAGTCAGCCCCGAAATCAGAGGATAGCCGTCAGCAAGGACTCCTTCAACAATATACGTAGAATTCAGCCTGATACTCTCGTCCAGCACTGCTTCCTTATCAAAAGTGGAGAGGTCTTGTGCTTCCGAAGCTTCGAAACAAAAATCTCCAGTGTCCACTTCGCCTAGATCCGTTGCCAAGATGAGATTCTGAATGGGGTCAGCGTCATCATTTGGGATTCCGGGTTCACCAATCACTAGATTCAAGAGTCTTGGATCTTCCACTTCTGCAGCGTGATCATGTTCAACTTCAGTGGTCGGAAATGGTGCTTCATGTTGTGGTGGAGGATCAGCGGCACTCAACTGTTCCATTAGCTCGTCCAGACTTGGTGGTTGATAAAGCTTTGGGGTCGCCGGGAGATCAATTGAAGAAGTTCGGCGTTTCCGAAAATTCTCAGCCTCTCCCGTTGTCTGAGGCGATTCTACTGTCCTACCAGCTGCTTGATTGTCTTTCCTAGGACTTTGACTTTCTCTGAATGTAAATTGAGCATGTTGTTCTTGCTGTTCTTCAACCGCTTTTTCCACTTTTTCATAGGCCTCTTCATTTTGGTCGGCTTGAAGTTGACCGTGTTTATCTACTTGCTCTTCAGCTTGAACCTCAACTCCAGACAACTTGACGTTCTCGGAGGTCTCTTCTTTCTTACTATCATGACTATCCACCAATTCGTGCTTCAGAATTCCAGCAATGAAGCCGGCAACCAAAGTCTGTCCATCAGCCAAGAGACCGCCATGAACTATCGACATGGCCTACTAAAACCTCAATTTTAGAGCCGTGAAATCCTCGATATAACAAATCCATATAACGATTACTTCAATCACTTAACCCTCTAATAAATTCCATCAGCCCTAAGGGCATGGCTAAGTGAAAACAGAAAAATCAGCGAAAAATCAACTTGAAACCGCATATTGGGCCGTTTAATCGAATGCTGGCCTCATAAAATCAATCAAATTTTATGCGACTAAGTCTGTTATAAGGTCCTACATAATATAAAACCGGAAGCCCTCAGGATAAAGGAGAACGAAACTCAAATTTCTTGAGTTTTCCTCAAAAAATCCGTGAAATCGACGTTTTTGAAGGACACGAACCGCATTTGCAATAAATCCAGTTAATTAATCAGGGTTTAGGGCCCAATAACCAGAAGGAAACATGTCACCAGATAAACGAACAGAAGTTCCCTTTTCCCAGACAATAAAACCATTGAAAACGAGGGAGTCTTTTCGATAACCGTTGAAAAACAGAGGGCGCCTCCCGGAACTCACAAGAAACCGAAGAAATCCCCCGGAAATCCAGCTAATTGTCGAGGGCAAAGGCCATAAACACAAACCTCATATCCGCGGAAAAACGACAACTTCCGGTGACACGAAAGCATGAACGCCCGTCAAACTCCGAATAATCAACACATGACCGAAAAGTCGGAGGATCTCTTGGCAAAACGCCGCAGGCACGTTTGAAAAATCGGACGGACCGCTTCTAATAATCGTCAGCGTTTTCGGTGCAACTGTTCGGAAAGCGCCGGAGGGCCTGATCTTCGCTAATTGTGTTCTTTTTTGAGTCCCAAGTTTCTTCACGTCCCAAAAAATCTCTCGTCAGATGTATCGGGAATGAAAAATTGTTTTTTATAGTATTTCCAAGTCATCTGCAGCCGATTTCAACTATTGTTTTTGGTGTTTGATTGTTTTGAAAGAAAGATAAAGCGGTTCAAACATCACCACATATGATGATGATGACGTCATAAATTTGCCAATAACCTTTCGACAGCTCATTTCGACGACAAAATTTCTTTGCCTCTGGGTAAAAGAAGAAGCAGATACTCCGGAGAAGCCACATCTATCAACCCCAGTTCAGAAAATCATCGTCAAAATCCTGTTCAATCAAAACACCTCTGTAGAAGGAAATTTCGGTAAAGTAATGTTGAAAAGCAATGTTATTTTGAGCTTATTGGTCGCTTCAAGCTCAGAATACCGCAAGAACACCATGAAAATAGCAATCAATATTTTAGATTGTACAAAGCAAGCCTTCAGCACCTCAAATCTAATTTTTTCCCGGAAAAATCATCATCAATGTTTCTTGAATGGGCGGATATCCATAAAATGCGAAATTACAAGCTCTAAAACTCCTAAAATCATATCTGTAACATCCTATTCATCCTACATGAGATAAAAACTTATTCAAATTAACCAAAATTTATTACTAATTTACATAAATTTCATCTCATTTACATATTACACAAGCTTGGTCGGATGATGCCAGAATACAACAAACATGAGGCTATTGCAAAAATAGAGTGTTAGTCCAAAGAGGGTCATGTTCAGGCGAATTTGCATACCGTTTTTCGGGCGCTATTCAAATTGCCTTGGAAATGGCGGAAAAAACTGTTAGTCTACAAAATAATGGCAATTGGAAGGAACATAGAGGGCAACAAAGGGGTTGGTGATGATTTTTGGGTAGAGGAGGAGTCTGTGGCTTTTTTTACAGTAAGAAAATTAAAATCTTTATAGTGAAATTTGCATAAATTGATTTAAAAAATGGAAAAAATCTGCTATTTTCGAAAAAACGGGCAAAAAATTCCGAAAAATGGTCAAAAAATTGATTATAATCGATATCAATGAGCAAAAAAAGTACTGTAGATAGTACTATAAAGAGTATCCTATTGTCAAACATCCCTTCCAACCCAAGAATCATCGCGAAACCGCCGGAAAAATCGAAAATAAAAAGGCAGCACAGTGCACAGACCGCACGGTGCGGTTGAAAAAGGAAGAACTAGCCAGAGGTTCAAGGAACTAAAATTTCATTCAACCAAACCGTCAAACCGAACTGAAAATGGCGCCCACTCCGACACACGAAACTCAGATTTTTCTCCATTCCCCGCCGCGGGGGGAAACACAATTTTTCGGCCGCGCCGTTCGCACGGTGCGAGAGTGCGCAAGTCTGTGCACTGTAGACTAGAAAAAACAACAACGAATATATTATCGGTGGGCTGTTGTGATGGTGGTAGAAATGGTCGTTTAAATATTTTAAATTATCGGATTTTTGAAGCCCGGAGGGCGGGAGAAAAATGGTGGGAAAATTTTTGGCCAAATCCCAAATTTGCGTGGAAAAATGAGAGGGAAATAGAGTGCGGTTCCCAGTGGAATTGGAAGTATTTTCAAAATGAAATTTTTGGAATTTTTAGAGGTGAAAAGATTACTGTACCGGAAAAATTTGATGATTTTTGGCGAAAATGAGCGATAAACCGAGGAAAACCCTATTTTTCGGCCTAAAAATGAATATTTCACATGGCATAGCTATCGTATCCATAAAGAATACTCATTTGTCTTCAACATAGTACCATTTACAACATTAAATTGACATCTTTATGACTACTTTCGATCGTTTTCCTAACTCTCACTCAAAACCTCCGGTCTTTTCGAAAAAACCTTGTTTCCAGAGATGTTACAGTAATCCACGGTCCCAAATTTGGTCTTAAAATATCCGGTACAGTATACTCTTTCAGTTTCGTATAAATCTTTCCCCATTTTCCCACATTTCCCTTCAATTTTTTCGAGTTTTAATCGGCCGACTCTCTACCTTCGTCGGTCTGATGAGGTTCGGGCTCGGACTGGACGGCGGGACTGGATTCGTGTCCGGATTCGGTTGTAATCGACTCCTCCAGCGCCTCGTGATGATGGTGTTGGGGTTCGTGGCGGATGGTCTCGACCGCCTCCACGATGGGCTGGGGCTCGGCCTGACCCGCGACCGACTGCTCGACCGGCTCTAAAATTGGGTTCGCTGAGTGTTTGAGGCCGCTCGTTTCGGGTGGGTTAGGAGGAGGATTAGAGGACAGAGGTCTTGGATTAATAGTCACTTCAGATTCGGAGGTTATTCGAACATGATTCGGTGGGTTTGTGTTAGGGCAAAAAGCGCGGAATTTCGGTGATATTAGGGCAAGTTTAGCTCAAATAATGTGCTGATATCGAATATAAAACATTTTAAAGCATGGTGCGTAATCTTCATTGGGTCCTATCTCTCTGAAAAACACATTTAAAACTGAAAAGAACCGATTTAAGTTCCATTCCCATCAAAAAATCAAAAAATCAGCACATTACTTGTCTAGTACAATATAAAACATCGATTATTACCAAAATCCGTGACGGTTATTGGAAATGCTTTGTGCTACTTTAATTTGCGTGCCTTCTATTTTATTAATAAATTAGTTTTTCTCTACTGTTTATTAGTTCTTGGTGCATTTTAGCCATGTGGAGTTATGCATGTCTAGTATAATATAACAGCTAATCTTTTGTGATCCAAGCGATCCTGGACCACATTTTTTGGCTATAAAGCGGCTCAAAGTGCAAGCAAAAAAATCCAAAACAGCAAGTGTTGCAGTGAAGCGAAAAGTAGTCTATTTCGAAAGCTCAAAGTTTTCTATTCCTACGAAAGCCAAGGGGGAGAAGCAAACGGGACACAACTCACGGTAGAAGAAAACCTGCAGAGGAGATGAGTGGCAAGGGTCAAAGAGAGGTGTATTACGCAGTACGTGTTTTTGAAAATTTTCTAGTAGTCAAAAAGAAATCGGCTTTCCGAAGGATCAAAATTTTGTACGTAGATTTACAGTGGCGGCCTGATCCAGTGGCAAGAAACGTATCATTTTGCATTCGAGAAGTATCAAAAAATGTAGCACAATGCCTCCTTCTCCAGGTGAAAAAAACTCCGATTTCAAAAGCGCGCCTCACAAAAAAGCGGGCGCACTTTGGAAATTGGAGTCTTTTCACTTGGAGAGGAAGGTATTTTGCCACGGTTTTGATACTTCCCGGACACAAAATGATATGTTTTTTGCCACTGGATCAGGGTCGCCACTGAAGAAGATGAATTTAGCTATGGTCTTAAAAGGCCATAGATTCCGGGAAAAACTGCATAGCCTTTAATTGAGGGTCAGTCTAACTTTTCAGTTTGTACAGTGGTGAACCTGATCCAGTGGCAAAAACGTACCATTTTGCATCCGGAAAGTATCAAAAAATGTGTAAAATGCCTCCCTCTGAACGTCCGATTTCAAAAGCGCGCTCTCTCTTTTTGTGAGGGAACTTTCAAAACGGAGTTTTTTCACATGAAGAGGGAGGCATTTTACCACATTTTTTGATACTTCCCGGATACAATAGGGTATGTTTTTTGCCAATGGATCAGGTCCTCACTGTAGTTTTGCCAAATCAATATAAATCACCCTTAAATCAGGTTCTAAAAAAACTTAATGACTGTTTCGGTTTGACCTTCTTCACTCATCTCCTCCAAAGCCAAAAACCGCAAAATCAGCTGAAACGACACAAGAAGCGTTCAGAAGTGAGAAGACGATGACAAAAGGGGAAACAGGGGAGCTGAACTAATTTATGAAATTACCGGATGAGGACGCGGTCTGTGCTGGCTGAGCATGGGAGACGATGTCGTCGGCCTGCGGGGTCTGCTCTAGATCCGGGGTGGGCAAGGCGTCGGGGCTATAATCTTGGATCGTATTTTGATTCTGTACGTCTTGTTCATGTTGGCTGATCTGAGCCAGAGCCTCCGGCGATTCGGGAGATTCCGGTTGGATCTCAACTTCTGGAATATCAGCTTCTTGGGATTCTTGATGTTCGTCGGCTCTGGACGTTGATTCTTGAGGGCTGTATAGCGATTCCTCATGTTCATCGTGGTCGTCTTGAACAATAATACTATCTTCCATTTCCACGTCGTCCGGGATGCCGTCTCGATAGGCTTGGGCCTGTGGTTGCTCGACAAATTCATGCTCTACCTCTTGTTGTTGAGCAATGTCGGGTACAACATGCTGTGTGATCAGAGTTCGCCGTTCAATGACGCCATCTGGCGTCAACTCGACTTGTTGAACGATCTGAGTCTCTCGGCTTCGATTAAACAGATCCTCGGCCTCCGGATGCTCAGTCGGGTCTCTCATCCAATGCTCGGCTTCGGTTTCGTTTAGCGGGAGTCCGTGTTGTTCGTGGACAACCTCGTCGACGTCAACATGGTCATCGCCGTAAGTCCGAGTGACCACTCGCTCATCGACCACCGGCTCCGAGCCTTCGTGACGATGGACGCGACGTTCCGTTCTCGTGATTGTTGTGGTTTTCTTGACGCCTTCTACTGTAAGAGTGGCATAACCTTTGGATTTTTTTGGGGTTAGGGGAAAGTGGAAGATTTTTCGAAGGGTTTTTCTGCCCTGGTAACTGTAGTAACCCCAGTAACTTATGTCTCATCATGCTCAGTAAAAGCTACTATGTTCTAATCTAGCCTCTGAACGACATTTTTCTAATCAATCTCATAAAGAGAGCTTGTTTTATTCCAGTTCATATACGCATAGGCATAGTACATGAACTGGCTCAAGCTGCTAGCTTACTAATCAAAACTGCTTGATACTGGGCAATCCTAGACAGTATTCTTTGGCCTACAATTCAACAAAATTTCAGCTTAATACCTCTGATATTGCACATGATATAAACAAAAATCAAAAAATGCCCAAAAATCACTATTTTTTGGAAAAAAGCTTTCTAAAACGTCACAGCATAGAATAAAAGCTATCTTTAACCTACACTATGGTCCACTATGGTCCTCTATCTCCCTGTAATATAGTTTTTCTGATGATATTCGGGTTATATTACCCTTCAATCATCAATTTTCCCGTCATCTCCATCAAACTTGATACTACCTCAAAAACCCTCAAAGAACACAAAATTTTCCCGCTAAAAATATGTAACTTTACTGTTAATACCACTCCTTACACATCACCTCATCATCCCATGTTCAGGTTATTTTCAGTTTTGTTATTTTTCCAGTGAATTTTTAATATTTTTTTATTTTTGTTAACCTGGGGAACCGCAAATTTTCCAAATCAAAGACTCGGAAGGAAGACGAATAAAACCGAAGTTAAACGTTAGACGACAAAATAAAAATTCAGACAGTGTGAGTAAAAACCATAGCCCATGAAATTGGGAGGTGAAACCCGTCTCAATTAAGGAGAAAACATAAAAAAAATAAACGGAAATTTCCACTTCAAACCAACATAAAAATAACTACTAATGAAGGAAACATCTCCTATGAAACCTATTGCTATAGTCTTCAGACTTTTACGGGAGATTATTCGACTAAATTCTAGGCGGCGTTTGGTTAAAAATTCATAGCACACACACTGCAAACCATATGTTATCGTAGTCGATTTTGAATGTGAATTCGTTGGAACTGGTTAATTTTGGTGATTTCTTACATGGCTAGGTTAATTTCGGATTAATTGGTGAGTAAAATACAGTAAGTTTCCTTTTGGTTTTTGAGAAATTCGAGTTTGGCGAGCTGCGCCCGAGCTTTCGGATTTTCTCAAAATTCGAAGAAAAGATCAATCGCAAAATTTTTGTAGTATCAAAATCTTCGGAAATACAACTCCTACACTTTTTTTAAAAGATTCCGATACCATTAAACCAATTTCCAACGTAATCTCGGGCGCAGCCTGCCAACTCCAAACCTCTCCGCAATCTCTCAAACTGTTATCCAAACGTAAAATTACATATTTTTACCGCCCATTCAATGTTCCGCCCGTGAGATTGCGACCTATCGCCGCAATTCCTACTCTTACTGTACCTGTGATCGATGTGCTACGGATAATATCAAAGGGAAGCGTAAACTGGAAACCTACGTGAGCGATCGGCGAGATCGGCGCGCGAATTGCTTTGGGATCCTCGCAGATTGAAGGTGGATTGGTCGATGAGTCGGAGTGAGTCGGTGTCCAAGTCTCCGCGGAGAAGCTTGTGAACAATGTCATCGCGGCCAATCCGTCGGAGGGCAGAGTGAAGCTCTTGGACTGGAAATAGAATATTAGAGCGTTAAACGTTTAAAAATTGAAATTAAACCTGTCTAGCAAAAAAAATCATCTTTTTTAGCATAATCATCCAAATTCAGTCCAAAATTGTCTAAATTAATATAATTTTAATCCAAAACTTCAATAAATACTCTATTTTTCTATTCCAAAAAGCTCATCTCCCTTCCTAAAGCCCTTCACTTACCAGTAGCTTCCTCTCCCTTCAAGAAGACCCAGATTTTCAGCGCTGTGAGCGCTTCGTGTCCGCTCATTTCCTTCTTGATCTGCCGGATATCACTGTCGTGGATTCCCAGCGCCCTGGCCAGCCGTTGCCAGTCCCCATGGATCTTCTTGGCCACATAGTCCATTTGTGTGGCCAAATCTCCCTCCGTTGGGGAGCCGGTCAACGCGGTTTGATAGCGCGCTTGGATCGGGTCCAATGGGGAAGTTGCGGCTGGTTTGAGGGCCGGCAAAGGTCCTCTGTAGTCGGGCAAAGTGATGCTGAGGGTGCAGATGGGATGCTGAGGTGGTAGGTTCTCGGATCTGATTCTCGGCTCCTTCATCAGAGCGATTCGACCGGTCGCACTGGCCTCCTGATCATCCGGTTGACGGACCTGGAAAAACGTCAAATTTTATGCATTTTCACGTTTTCTCTGCCTAAGCTTTTGGGCTCAAAATTTCCCTTATCACTCCTAGTTTGTATTTCGTACCTTCGAATTGAACGCCAGCCGGTTTTCTTGGAATGGCAAGAAGAAAACGGCCAATTGGTCGCCACTTTTCGTGATCGGAACCAAATTGCCGGCAAACTCGAGGAATTGATGTCTTCCGCCGAGAACTTCGACGTCTCTGCTTCTGGCGACTTCGATAAAGCCTTCTTGTTTCTCCAACGTCTTGTCCTCCTTGTCATCGGTCATACAGAACAGTCGGAGTTGGCCTTCCAATGGGAACGGACGCCGGGCAAAGGCGACAAACTTGGCCATGTATGGAACAGCGATGGCTTCGTTGTAGACTTCCTGCGCCATCCGGGCGGCGTCACGGGGAGTCTGGCAGTCCATTAACCAGAATCTGGCGGACACTGTTGTCGTAAAACTGACTTCTTCGCCGGTGAAGGTCAGTTGAGTTGTGCCGGTGATATCTTCCCATTGAGCGGGAGATGAGCCTCCGGTGATCGAACATAGGAGTCTGAAATTAACAAATTATCATTATATTTTCGTCCAAAGTACTATTCCTTAATTTTTCAGCCGAGGAGAAGACTTGACACATTTGGGAGAACACTTGACCCAAATGTGTCAAGTGTTCTCCTCAAAGGCCAAAACGTTGTAATAGCCTTCACACTTCCAAACTACGATTTCTACGGCTTTTAAAACCCATTTTTAACTTGGTTTATTTCCGATTCACGCTAAGCGAACACTTGACTCAAAATGTGTCAAGTGTTCTCCTCAGTCCTCAGAATTCCGGAGACCATCTAAAATACAATTCCATTCACCAACTGAATTCCCCTTATCCATTTCAATCAATTTCCGACCATTACCAGCCCCGGGAAAACAGTTGACCCGCATGAGTCAACTCTTTCCCTCGCTCTCCAACCTACCTCAAAGTCGGCGGCTCTTGCCCCGGTTGTCCAGTATACTGTGTGAGCATGCTCTTGTTCGAAGACTGCGGCAGTGGGATGCACAATGTGATGGGTTTATGGAACTTTCTCCGCCTCGGCTCCACCGTAACAATCGGCGAAACGGCGACTCGATTTCCATGCAATTTGGTGACAATTTCGTTGGGTACGGGTTGCGCCTGAACCGAGACTTTGATGATCTTGGTCAAACTTCCATCCGGGAAGATGGCTTGGACTTTGGGGACCACCGAAGAGAGAATGACTCCTCCTTCCGGGCCCACGCAATGAACCTCTTGACGGACGCGCGTCACCACCGCGAAATACATGGGGAAATCGTTGGTGAGGATGCGAGTGATGCGAGAAGTGTGTAGGTCGTCGAGTTGGCTGAGTTCGTTGGCGTCGAAGGACTCGTTGAGAACCTGAACACAAGATTTTTGCTATTTTTTTGGATTTCATCGATGTTACAGTAATCCTTATAGACTGTTTTGTTTTAAAATTACATTTCAGAGCTCATAATATTATTTACTAACCATTACAGAGCCGCGCGATCCAAAAAAATGCAAAAAGTCACGTTTTTAAGCCAAAAATGGCCTAAAGTAATATCGGATTACTCAAAATTTTCCATTTTTTATATCAACAATTAGCTAATAATGTCATAAAAAGTCTCAAAAATAACAAAAAAGCAATTTACCTCCTGAACAGCATCTTCAGTGGCCTCCAATTGATGTTCTTTCCAATGTTGGCCATCATCCGATCTCAAGATCACGATTTCCCTTTCTCTCCCCCTCAACGATGCGAAGTGTGGCACCTCCAACACGACGGGTCCCAAGAACTTGGCACTATGCGGTCCCATCTCCAGGATTCGCGACGCCAGCGCCTCTCCCTCACTCAATGGCGGCGGATGGGCCAGCTTTTCTTTGCGCAGATATCGACAAGTAATCCGCATTGGCTGGGCCGCTTTTCGTGGTGGAATGATGACACGGACGCCCGAATGACGACAGCCTCGCATCGCACCGCCGCGCGCGTCCACCAGGAACGAGATCAGGAAGCTAAAATGCACAGTAAGCAACTAGGGCCAAGAACGGGCAAAAGATCAACGAAAATACGGAGATTCAGGCCTAAAATGAGTGGGAAATTGCATTAGCTATAATCACTTATATACTAAACTTTCATAAATTCTATTTTCAACCAATTTGAATATAAGTTTTCGTCTCTTTTAGGCAAAAAACACAAAATTTCGACACTTCTTCGTCAAAAAGTCATCATTTTTTGATAATTTTATAAATTTCCCACAAATTTTCAGACACAGTGCGTAGTGTTATAGACGATAGACCAGTTAGCGTGTTTAGCAATCATTTCACAGCAGCGCACGTTCAAAAACCCCGAATTTAGCGGCTTGTTGCAGAATGCCAATTTTCGTCTCAAGACCCAAAATTTTCAAAAATTAATCTCTCAACTTATGCAACCACGATTTCAGCTTCTACACAGTCGATTTAGCTATTCTACACATCAAAAGCCCAACATCTACGTCAACTTTTAGCTTCATCTTGCCCTAAAATCAAGTCTAATATTGTTAAGCGACGAGTAAACTCTCCAAAATACATGGACAAGATTACCGCACACCAACCAACCAAGTCTGTAAAACCTACGTCTTCAGGTGTAACTTGCTGGAAATCGGAAAAAATGGTGTTAATCAAAGAAGAAGTTAGAAGTTTGCGAAAAAAGCGAAAAATGTGAAAAAGCGATAAATTTATTGAATAAAAGGCAGTCTGATGGCTTATAAAGTAGTGTAAGACATCACGACACAACTAGATTTTTTTTACTCTACCAAATTTTCGATGATTTAAATTTGCGAAAGTTTTTTTTCGCAGCGAAGAAAACCTGCGAAAGATTTATTTCGCGGCGAAGAAAATCTGCGAAAGATTTCAAAATTGTCTTAAACTAAAGACAATGAAAGACAAAACTAAATGGAAAATAAAAATCGTTCAGCAGAAAGAATTAGACATGCTAAAAAAGCGAAAAATATAATAACATACCTGGGCTGGATGGTATCTCGGACAATGATGATATTATCATCTGTGGAGTGATCCAGAATTGTTGGGTCAGGGATGGCAGTGGTTACAGGTTCAGCCTTAAACATTAAACGTCATATTTTCTATCTTAGATAGGCCATGGACATTTTATACGATGAAATGTGTCAAAAACTTCTTCGGAAGTTTTCATCGTATAAAATGTCTTCTAATATCTTAAAAGAATAGATAGGTATTAGGCGTATTTTATGAAGATGTTTCAGTCATCACTACATTCTAGTGACATTTTATACGATAAAACATGACTAAACTTCCAGACACTTTTTCTCGTATAAAATGTCTCCTATTGTCCCAAAAATTCTAAATTGGTATCTAGGCGGCTTCATGAATATTTTTCAGTCTTCAACTACAGTCTAGTGACATTTTATACGGTAAAACATGACTAAACTTCCGGACACTTTTCCCCGTATAAAATGTCCCCCAAAGTAAATTTCTTTAACTGTCAAGACAAAATGGCCCAAAAGGACTTTTTGTGCACTAATTAAGTTTAACAAGTGTGATATATATTAATATACGAACAAGAAAATCAAATCTTGTCTAAACCATGAAGGCTAATCTCATCAAGTCCAAAACCAACCTGCGCTCGCTTGATCACTGCGTCCAAATCGGCGTCAGTGGCGTCAAATGTGCTATTCTTTCCTTGTTCTCCAGTGTGGATCAAATGGATGACCGCCGAGTCCTTGAGGCCTTGCGTAATGCTCTCATTAAAGTCCTTGGCGTGCTCCTGTTGGGCCTGTTGATGTTCGTCCACCTCGTCCTCCGAATCCGAGAACATGGTCTCGTTCATGCGCTCCGGGTTCTGCGGCTTGTATCGCTCCTCCGTGACGGTGGTGGTCTCGGTGATTACGGTGGTTTCGGTGACCGTTTTCAGCGTCTCCACAACGCTCACGTAGCCCAGTCTTTGGGCGATCGACAGCGGGGTTTGGCCGTTCTGAAAACAAAATGTTTTGCGGTGAAATGAAACACCTCATTGCCACTAGTGTTGTGGGAAAATAAATCACAAATTTCACCGTATTTTAGACACTAAAATTAGGCTGTAAGTCAACTATTTGGGTTGGGATAATCGAATTATGTGGAAGCCATTGAAAGCATTGGGTGTAATGTTTTCGCAGGCCCCATATGTTCCGCTGGGCTCGGCTAATTGGACTAATTCAATTAGAACCGCGAGCACCATGCAAGCGATTGATTACAATAGAAGAAGAATTTTCTGGATTTTTTGGAAATTTTAGGATCCAAAAAAATAAAAATGAGAAAAAAATTTCGAATGTGGTATAAACCATTACAAAAAACGCAAAAAGTACAATGACGGACCTGATCCAGCAGCAAAAAATGTACCTTTTTGCATCCGGGAAGTATCAAAAATGTAGCAAAATACCTCCTAGTGGTACCCCAAGTGCAACGCTCTGATTTTCTTTCAATTTTGCACACACATAGGTCATCAACTAACTATCAATTCCTCAAAGTTTTAGCTCGCGCTTTGAAAGCGCTGCCGAAATATTGAACGATCTTCGCCGCCGAGAGAACACGCAAAACGTGGAGAGCAGTCAGAAAGAAACCATTTTTTGACCATAACTTTGCTAGTTTCGTGCGGGAAAAATTGATTTTTTGTGGAAAGATTACCATCTATGGTAGAAATAGGCATGAAACTTTTCGTGCCGAAATTCGACAAAAAGTCTAAAATTTTCGCCGACTTTCGATATAAAAATCTCGGTTGTTTCTGCAAAACGCGAGCTAGGATTCTCGCATATCTTTTAGGAAAAATTATTCTAAATTTGTGCGAAGTTTCATCAAAATCTAAGAGTCGCATTTTGGGTGCATCTCCTGTAAAAAAAATAAAAAAAAAACCCTAAAATAAGATCAATTTTTCCCGCCTAAATGAATATTTCACAGTATAAAATGTCCCCTGCTACCCTAAAATCACTTTAGATCTCATTTCCAAGCATCACACGGCCTCTGCCGTCCATTATATATCAAAAATTGCCACTAAACCCAAAATTCCGATATTGCCCGCAGGGCTAATGCACTCAATTTCAATCCTGAAAATGGTCCTCACCCTCAATTTGGGCTGTTTATGCCGTGCATTTATTTTGGAAATACACTTTTTTTTATATAAAAAGGAGAATTTTTGCGCGTTCAACTGGAAAACTCATTGTTCCAGGGGCCAAAAATTAATTTTATTGTCCAAAAATCGACCAGCCACTAAAAATTTTTGGGTAAATAGTACTCAATAAGGTTTTTTTGGGATCGACAAACAATTTTGGGGAATTTTGAGGGGGTCGGGTACTGTAATTTACACAAAAAATTTCGATATTTTCGATTTTTTTTTTTGATTTTTTTCAATTTTTTTGGGTAAATAGTACTCCGCAAGGTCTTTTTGGGGCTCAAAAAACAATTTTTTGGGCATTTTTAGGCGGTCGGGATACTGTAATTTACAAAAAAAAATTTTGGTTTTTCACAATTTTTTCAATTTTTTTGCAAAAACTAAAAACAAATGGTGACAAAATCACAAAACTAAAAGCCAAAGCCCCCACGACATTGGTTTGTCTCAAAAATTTCGCAATTTCCCTCCCTAGAACAATATCGAAAACACCTTTCAAAGCCAATTTTCTGTGCCTTTGACTCGCGACGGAAGCGAAAAGGCGTAAAATCTTTTCGTGGAGAGCCCACAATTTATTTTGGCACCACAAAAAAACCCCGTCACGACATGAAATTTCCGTCGCCAATCCCCGAGGAAATCAGGCGGGGGGGAAAACAATGGGGCTTGGTGGGACGTCACGGACTGTCGGTGGACTGCCGTAGGGGCCGGATTTTGATTTTCATATGTTTCAGAGTCTAATGAAACTGTTTGAAATCCAAAAAAATAATTTATAAGGGAAGTAGTACCCCAAATGCGACGCCCAGATTTTGATGAAACTTGGCACAAATTTAGTATATTTTTTTCTAAAATATATTCGAGAATCCTAGCTCGCGCTTTGCAGAAACAACCGAGGTTTTTAGATCGAAAGTCAGCGAAAATTTAGGACTTTTTGCCGAATTTCGGCACAAAAAGTTTCATGCCTATTCCTACCATAGAGGGTAATGCTTCCACAAAAAATCATTTTTTTCCGCGCGAAACTAACAAAGTTATGGTCAAAAAGTGTTTTTCTCTCTGACCGCTCTCCACATTCAATGTACTCGCTCGGCAGAAAAAATCGTTCAATATCTCGGCGGCGGCTGCAAAGCGTGAGCTAAAACTTTCAGGCATTGATATTTAGTCTATTCCCGACGTATGTACAAAAAAAATTAAAATTTAAAGAATATCTCACTTGAAGTACTTCCCATGCAAATATCAACTCCTACGACGCCCAGATTTTCTTTAAATTTTGCACACACGTCGGGCATAGACTAAATATCAATTCCTGAGAGTTCTAGCTCGCGCTTTGCGGGCGCCGCCGAGACATTGAACCATCTTTGAAGCCGAGAGAGTACGCTAAACGCGGAGAGCGGTCAGAGAAAAAAGCATTTGACCATAACTTTGTTAGTTTCGTGCGGAAAAAAATGATTTTTTGCGGAAAGATTACCATCGATGGTAGAAATAGGCATGAAACTTTTTGTGCCGAAATTCGGCAAAAAGTCCTAAATTTTCGCCGTCTTTCGATCTAAAAATCTCGATGGTTTCTGCAAATCGCGAGCTAGGACTCTCACATATATTTTAGAAAAAAATTTTCTAAATTTGAGCCAAGTTTCATCAAAATCTGAGAGTCGCAGTTGAGGTACTTCGCCAAAAAATAAACTCCGTATTTCTCCCAAAAAAAATTAATCTCCAACTGCCAAATTAGATCTAAACTTAAAATTACCCCCAGTAGGTCAGAATAAATCGGAATTGGAATAAAAAACCAGCTGAAAAAAGACCAGCGGATCAACTCTTTGTGTCAATGCCCGTTTCAAATGCATATTCGAGTGAATTCCGATGGTTTGTTTATTTCCCCGCAGGGGATTACGCGGCAAAACAATTTTCGGACTCTCAGCGATTTTTTGCAGCCTAAACACTAAGAAAATCGGACGAAATCTCCGCACCCAAATCTTCATGAATAACAAGTGACCTCCTATAAGGTTGATGCATAATTATCCGGCGTTTATATCGGCGCGTTTTGTTAGTTAAAATTGGCGTTTTGTTATATTTTGCATAAAAATAATCTTCTCTAGTTAGTTAATAAACATGAGTGTCGAAAACTATAGTCATATTCGCCATATTATGTTCGACGATCAGGCACTTCTGGCAGTCGCGGAACACGACGAAAGCTTGACAACACGAATACAGTCAACGATCGTTCGACGTCTCAAAAAGCTTGGAAAGGTATGGAAATTGGCTGGATGGGCCCCTCACAAACAAAGCCAATTGCGCAATTTGTTGAAAAACGCCGGATAATTATGCATCAACCTAATATAATGTCGGATGTCTTGACTTACCGCAGTTTTTGTATTCGGACTTGCTCCATGTTCGAGCAAGTACCTCACAACGGAGTTGTGGCCCTGTTGGGCGGCCTGATGAAGTGGTGTGTAGCCGGCGGAGGTCTCCGAGCCTACCAGCGCGCCATGCTCCATCAAGAGCCGGACCATGTTGAGTTGGCCGAAATGACAGGCCACATGCAGTGGGGTGTATCCGGCCTTGGTTTTGGCGTTCACTTCGGCCTTGTTGGCGAGAAGGACTCGTGCGGCGTCGACCTGATCCTCTTGGGCGCAGAGATGAAGAGGGGTGAGGCCGTTGTTGGCGGTCGCATTCACTTTGGAGCCGTTCTCCAACAGCAACGCCGACATCTCGCTGTGGCCCGATTCGGCGGCCAAATGAAGCGGCGTGAAGCCGGCTTTGCTCGTGGCGTTGGGGTCGGCTTTGTAGCTCAATAAAGAGGAGGCAATTTCCATTTGATTCTTCTTGGCGGCGATGTGCAACGGAGTGTATCCATTCTTGGCGGTGGCTTGGGCGCCGGCTCCGTTTTGCAGCAAAAGTTGCGCGACTCGATCGTTATTGTAGTGAGCGGCGACATGCAGAGGCGTCACTTGGTTCTTGCCTTCAATATCGACCGGTGTGCCGCGTTCCAGCAGCAGTTTGGCGACGTCGTAGTTGCCGTATTTCGAGGCCAAATGAAGCGGAGTGAAGCCCTTCTTGGTGAGTGCGCGTTGGTTGGCGTTGTGGTCGAGGAGGATCTGCGCCACCTCCTCCTTGTCCTCCTTGGCGGCTATGTGCAGGGCAGTGTATTCGTCTTTGGAAGCGGCGTTCGGATCGGCTTTCGCGTTGAGGAGGATCAGGACAATATCGGTGTTTCCTGCAAGAAAAAAATGATGGTACAGTACCCCCAGAAAAGAATTTTGCGTGAAATTCCAAATATAAACCAGGACGTATTTTTAAAATCATTTGTAATCCCCAACGGCGACTTTATACGATGAAACGTATCTAGACACAATTCATCGTATAAAATGTCCGACAACCAACGTCGAAAGAGACAAATATCGTATTTTACCATAAGTTTCTTATTTTTTGTAGCAACACTTCAAAGTGACATCATATACGACGAAATATTCCCAGGCATATTTTATCGTATAAAATGTTCGGCAACTAAATGCCGAAAACGATAAAATGTCGTATTTTACCAAAAGTTTCTTATTTTTTGCAGCAACACTTCAAAGCGACATCTTATACGACAAAAAATTCCCAGACATATTTCATCGTATAAAATGTGTCTGACAGTAAGAAATTTCCAAGCTTAGCCTCGCAATCATATATATTGCCCTGGTTATTCGAATAAAAGGCTTTTGTTACAGTAACCCACGTCATTTCTTACCTAGTCTACAAGCAATATGAAGTGGGGTTTGGAGTTCTCTGGCCTTGGCATTCACATTGGCTCCATTTCGGACCAGCACTCGCACAATGTCGGTCTGATTTGCTCGTGCGGCGAGATGCAGCGGGGTTTCGCCTCTCACCGTCTCCACATCCACCTTGGCTCCTTGTTGGATCAGATACATGACAATATTAATACATCCCATGAAAGAGGCGACATGGAGTGGAGCGAGTCCGGACTCGGTGGTGGCCTCGAGAGATGCGTAATACTTTAGCAACAACTCCACCACCTTGATGCGATTCTTTTTGCAGGCAATGTGAAGTGGTGTGAAGCCGTTCAGGGCTCTGGCGTTCGGGTCGGCATGTCGGTCGAGGAGCAGCTTGGCCGCTTGAACATGTCCGCAATGGGCGGCGACATGCAACGGGGTCAAATAGTCTACCGTGACATCATCCACAGGTGCATGATGATAAAGTAATATCCTCGCGCATTCCACATGGTCTCCTTGCGCGGCCATGTGCAGAGGTGCGAGGCCGTTTTTGGTTTTCGCATTGATCGGGGCGTCATTCTCGAGTAGCAGGTCTACCACAAGATCATGTCCGGATCTGGCCGCGCAATGCAGTGGGGTCAACAAATCCCTGGTTCGGCTGTCTTTGGTGGCGCCGTTGTCCAACAACAGCTTGCACAGGTTGACTCTGCCCCATTTCGCCGCCACATGCAACGGTGTGATGTCATGGCGGGCCTTGTGATTCACGTCGGCGCCTTTTTCAATCAACAAACTGGCCACGTTCTCGTTCCCGTAGTGGGCGGCAATGTGCAATGGGGTGAAGCCGCTTTTGGATGTGACATTGGGGTTCTGTTCGCTTTGGAGCAACAGCGTCGCAGCTCTTGTGTCATCTTTTTTTGCGGCGATATGAAGCGCGGGCAACTTCACCTTGCTGCTATTATCGTTCTCCAAAAGCAGGGCGACAACTCGGTCATGGCCCTGTTGTAGCGCCACCGCCAGCGGAGTGAACCCGTCCTCGGTGGCGAGGGCTTGATTCGCGCCGTGTGCCAAAAGATACCGCACCACATTTTCGTGGTTTTCCTGGGCCGCCATATACAACGGAGTGAATCCATTGAGACTTTGAGCGTTCACATTGGCTCCGTTCTCCACCAAAATCGTGACGATAATGTCTTGACCGGCGAGAGAGGCAATGTGCAGGGCTGTGTTGCCCTTGCGTGTGGACGAGTCCACCTCGGCGCCGCGGCGGATCAACTCGCGCACCACCTCGTTGTGTCCCTCCTTCGAGGCCAAATGCAGCGCGTTGAGTCCGTTCGAGTTGCAGGTGTTGATGTTGACGCCATTGTGGAGAAAGTCCAGGACTTGTGGAAGGTTCCCGGCTCGGGCGGCACGAAGAAATGTGGCGTTCTGGTCTTGGGGCTTCTGAAATTCGTAAGTGTCATGGATAATATTTGATTTGCTCGAATTAAAAAAATCTTTCAATAATATATTTTGAAAAAGAACGTGCGAGTAAAAAATCTCAAAAATGAGCGTATTTTACAAAAATTTTTGAAATTGCAGTTTTAAGCGACATTTTATACGATGAAAACCTTTAAGCACAATTCATCGTATAAAAGTCACCAAAATAAAAAATCTCGACTGTCATCGAATCCAAATTACGTATTTTACAACAATTTTCGAAATTTCAGTTTTAAGCGACATTTTATACGATGAAAACTTTCAAACACAATTCATCGTATAAAACGTCACCGAATAAAAAATCTCGAATGTCATCGAATCCAAATTACGTATTTTGTATTTTACAACAATTTTCAAAATTTCAGTTTTAAGCGGCATTTTATACGATTAAAACCTTCAAACACAATTTATCGTATAAAACGTCACCCAAATAAAAAATCTCGAATGTCATCCAAATTTCTTCTAGTTACCTTCTGCACAGGTTGTTCGGCATTCCCACTGGTCTCGGGAACCTCCTGATGTTGTTCATGGCCGTTCTCCGGCGACTGTTCGTGACCCATTTAGTTTTCGTTCGTTTCGTCGTTCTCTACACGAAAAACCAATTTTCGTCGAGGTCCAGGACCCCCGTGTGACACGGTGGTCAGCAGTCTAGAGGAGTCTTTGACCTGGAAACCCCGGATTTGAATAATGAGGCGGAATCTGATGAGTTTTTGAAAATCGCGAATAAATGGTATCGATAATTTCACGACAAGCTCTAAATATAAGCTCCTCGGTCGTATTACGACCTAAAAATTACATTTTTATAAAGGAAATACCATAAAAAGTTATCAAACTGGACGAAAATGGGGGCAATGCTAACTGGTTGGTAGAATAAGATAATTTTCAGGCCGCAGAAAACCCCCAAATTTTCTGGATTTAGCCTAAAAGAAAGAAGCGCAAAAAATTAGACAGTGCACCAATAGCGCAACTGGTAGTGAGTTTGTCACCAAAATGTCGCGGGTTCGAATCCCACTTGGAGAAAATGCAAAGTCTTGCGGTTTTCGGGCAAAATGAATATGCAAAACCATATATAAGAAGTTAGAGGTAATTTTGTTTAACTTGAAGTCCAGAAATATAACAAAAATTTAAAGTTCCCACAAAAAACCAAGAAAATCTTCAAAAAAAATGTTCCCAAAACAAATCATTCGTCGTTCGGACCTCCAAAAATTCCCAAAATATCACCCAGAGTCCATTCATTTCCATAAGCGGCGAGAACTCCGATTTCCCTTTACTTTTCTGGGGGAAAAACAAAAATATTTCCACACCGATTTCCATGTTTTCTTGGAGGAGAGCTGATTCATCCGCAAAGTTCTCTTTCTCTCGCCTCTAGTATTTATTTGCGAGAAAAACGGTCTGGCCGGCGGGATTGCGAGGATTTATGAGGTCGAAAGTTAAGGATTGAAAAATGAGTTAGTGAGATTTGAGAAAAAGAACTTGTTTGATGTCAGAAATTAATGAATATAGCGGCTTTTGATGGCTGAAAAGATTTAAAAAATGTATTTTTCAGGGGGTTTGAAACAAAAACAGACCAAAATTATTATAGGGACGTCGTCAATTGGGGAAAAAGACAATTGAGGAAACTGAAAAGTAAAATATTATTTTTCTTCGATGTAAGTGTCGAAATTAGGATAATTGATGGCGCTGATTTCGAAAATGACAATCATTTTTTTTTTGATCGTTACTGTTTCGCTTAAGTAGTACTGTAAAATTAGTAATTTTTTGAATTTTTTCACAGATACTCGATTTAGGGGTTTTCGATGGTGCTGATTTCAAATCAGAAAAAATGAATAAGATTTTCGGAATCAGCACTCTCAAAAACCCCCAAATCGAATATTTGTGAAAAAAATTAAAAAAAATTACTAATTTTACAGTACTACTTAAGGAAAAAAGTAATGATCAAAAAATGAATGTCATTTTCGAAATCATCACCATCGATTATCCTAATTTCGACACTTACATCGAAGAAAAATAATACTTTTCAGTTTCCCCAATTGTCTTTTTCCCAATCGTCACATTTTTAAAACTTCTAGAACATTATTTGACCTAAATAAGGTCGATTAGTAAACAAATACCACTATACACCTCCAAATTAAGAAGAAATAACAAATCCAGGGCCTTTCATCAATTCTACAACCAAAAACAATACAAAACTATCAAAAATTCCACCCAAATCTTGATTTATCACCCAAAACATCCAAAATTTCTAATCAGACCGCGAAAATCGTAATAACCCCCCTTTTCAATGGCATGTTTCCATCTCGGAAAAAAGGTGTTGGAAGGAAATTTCAGCAATTTTCTCATCCGTTCGCTTCGTTTTTCGCCGACACGCGCATAAATTTGCGGTTTTTACTGCCATTATGTTCAGGTGGAAAAAAAATTAAAAATAAATCTCCTGGGGAACTTGACAGGTAAAGCGGAATGGAGAGCATAGGGATTGGAGGTCATGGAATGGCTACTGATATTTGAAGGTGTCGAGCGGGAAAATTCGAATTTTCGAGGGGAAATTTTAAATTTAGACCTGATTATTTAGATAAGATGAAGACAAAAATTTGTGATGTTGTAGCTGATAAATCTTGGTGAAATTTTATATAAATGAAACTTGATGCGCATTGGGGAATGACGCAAAATTTCAAGACTAAGGTTACGTCGTTCATCGAGACATTACGAGTTTTCTTTCTCCCACTCAAGTACAGTGGACCTGATCCAGTGGCAAAAAACATATCATTTTGCATCCGGGAAGTATCAAAAATGTAGCAAAATACCTCCATTTCCAAGTGAAAAACTCTGATTTTTAAAGCGCACCCGTTCTTTTTGTGAGGGAGCCCTTCAAAACGAAGTTTTTTAGTTGGAGAGGGAGGCATTTTGCAGCATTTTTTGATACTTCCCGGATGCTAAATGGTACGTTTTTTGACACTGGATCAGGTCCGTCACTGTATAAAATAACTTTAAAGCTCATTTTAATCTCTCTGAATGCTTTGAAAAAAGGTGTCGCAAAATCAGGGTGGTCTCCAGAAATTCTCAGCTATATTAAGTATGTATAAGATTTTACACAACGTTAGAGGCATCTCTCGGCCAGAAATTCTGGCTCCAACAATCCTCTAAGCCCTTTGGGTTACATTGAATTTAAAATAGAGATCATGGAAGCTTAGACAGGAACTTTTTTTTAAACAACAAAAAAAAACATCTTTAAAACCTATTCATCATGTATAATGTCAGATCAAAATTGACTTCAAAAATCGTTCGGCAACCTCCTCAAAACAAGTTCAAATAGCTAATCTCGCTATGTGGATCCATATAAGCGTCAATTTGATCAAACATAAGAAACCAAGGCAATACTTACGCAATATTGCACAAGTTATTCGATGATTTAGCTTATGAATCACTTTTTTACTGCCTAAAATCCCATTTTTACCCAATAAAACAACTCTATTTTGCCCGTTTTTACTTTTTTTCGCAACAAATCCTCACAAATCCCACCTTTATACGACTCTTTTTTTACCAAAATTCAACTCAAACCCATTCATTTTTGCAAAAAAAAGTCCTCCTATTCGTTATAAAGAACAGGGCGGATAGGTGCGGTTAATAACGAGAAACAAAAGCCGACGGGATGGGAAATCCGGCACTGGGGGGACGCGAGAAAGGTCAGCAAGTGGATTATGACAGTAGAGAGTGGGGAAAGGGAAGAGAGCGGTCAGAGAAAGAAAGGGTTTGGTTATTTTGAGGGAAACGGGATTTGGCCCGGGTAAATTGAGCGGCTCCACATGAGATTTGCGATATTTGAGGAGGGTAGGATTCAAGTTTTTGAGGGTTTGAGACAAGGTTTTTGAAGGGGGAATTGATCATGAACAAGGTGAAGATCAAGGTGGAAATGATATTTCGACTTTAAAATAAGGAATAAATAGCTTCTAATTTTCCTTCGAGAGTAATTCTTGGATCGTAAAAACCCAATTAACAGTGATATACAACCATTCCGATATTACTTTAGATACAGATTTTAGGTATCAAATCATCAAAAAATTGCTCCAGATCTCCAAAATATCGTTCCAAAAACATCCTACAAGGCATGAGAATACCCGAAAAACCAAATCCGACAACAATATTCCAAATTTTCCCAACAAACCGATCAAAATTATATTATACTAGGCAAGACCAAATATTCTGTAAATTATAAAACGCTCGTCGATTGTACGCGTTGTAAACAAAAGCCAGCTGAAAGAAACAACAAAAAGAGCGGTTTTTGCATCCGTTATCAGACCGGAAACACAAATAAATGAGGAGAAGATGAGCGAATAATAAAATCAAACGAACAACATTGAAAATGGCGGTAAAACTATAAAGAAATCAAAAATTGAAGTGCAAACTATTTTTAGACAATTAAATATTGCTTCTAGAGTAATAATCCGTCCCTTTGAAGTCTAAATAACAAGTGGAACATCCAAAATGTAAAGAAAATTACCGAAAAAAGCCGTTTTCTCGAAGAAAACACGAATTCCGGTAATGAACTCCAATTTGCGGGAGAAATGGGAGTGGTAAACAACGTACAACTATACTGGAAGGCTTCTGGAAAGCTGTTTAGACTTGTAAGATTCCGAAATTGAGGAAAAAATCTCATTTTTCGGACAAGGACAGGTTCCATCGTATAAAATGTCGCTTTCCAAAAAATGGTAGAAACGGGTTGGAATCAATGCTAAATCGAGCTAGAGGGTAAAATACGTCTTGATTTCCATAATTGTGACTAAATTTGATCAAAATTTTTATCTACCAAGTAAAAGGTTGTTTTTGCATGAAAAAGTAAATTTTCACAAATTGTTTGCTGAAATTCATCCGAAACTTTTCATAGAATAGACTTTTAGACTTTGTATTACACTTTTTACATGCAATCTACCTAAAAAATCTTTAAAATCCCCGCGTTTTCGCTCAAACACTTTATTTTAGCCTTAAAAATGAGTATTTCGCTTAAGAAACCCCAAAGATCTTCGTATAAACAGCCACACCCTTGGCTATCTTTTGCGCCTCGAGTATAGGGACCAAATAATGGAAAGGAGAATGTGCATTTTCTGACCCCCTCTCCCTTCGGCGGGTCTTCGAACGTCAAGAATTCACCGCACTGTGCAGATGGTCAAAAAAGGGCAAAAAAAAGAGAGCGGGGACAGAGTGGGGGCTCGACCGACTGGCATCGGCTGCAACGTCGGGGACCCAGCCGGACGGAAAAGACCGGGGATGGGAGAAAACGCGAGGAAATTAGCTCGAGACTCTCGAAAAAGCGCTGCACTGTGCGAACGGCATGGCGCGAGAGAAGCGGGGGATTTGAGAGAGCGGCGAGAGCGGGAAAAAGACGGGTGTGGGGGGATGGGGAAGTAAAACGAACGTTTGAGAAGTAAGTAGGACGCAAAGCGAGATTCATTTCGACTTCTGCGGGTTATGACCTGAATTGAGGTCGGAGCCGGGGTTGGAGGTCAAGTGTAAGGTCAGCGAGGCTCGGAACAGATTGAAACTGAAAGAACAGGGCGGTTCCGGCCTA